GAATAGAGGAAAATGAAGTTAACCAAAAAAGAGTGAAAATCTGTGAATTCAGCTAAACACGAGAAATGTGAAAAAGTTGAATCTCAACTTTGAACCGAGAATCAATTGAGCGCAACTGAACATTATGAAAATGAGTAAAACTGGAAATTAAAGGTTAATTTGGAAAAGGTGATTAAAAGAGATTTTAGAGGAAAAAGTTTCTTCTCTTCTAATGTTGGCTAATAAAGTTATTGAATAATATTTGATTGAACATTATAAGATAATAAAGTGAAGGTAAAGCCAGGTTATCATTGAGTAAATCAGTAAGTAAATGAAGGGCGATGAAAGGAGAAAAGGTAAAAGCATGAAAATACAAGTTTTGCCGTTTGATGGTCCATTAATCCTTGTTCCTCTTATTGATCATCATGATTGTTATTGTTGTTGTCGATTGGTATGAAAAAAGGTTGAGTTGTTGGATGAAGATGATAATGATGATGATGATGATGATCCTAAGTGAACGTTATTTGACTCGGTAAAATTTGATTAATGGCCTTCTCATTCCAATGGGAAGATTAATATAAATACAATAACGGGAAGGAGAAGATGAAAGGCGAGGAAAAGGGAAAATCGGTGAAAGTGAAACATGATAGTCTGTTTGATAATCTGAGGGATGAAACTGATTATTTGCTTGGAATCATTCCTCATCAATATCATCATTTCCATCATCAACATTGATCATTTTTCTGTTCGCCTCTTTTTTATCCTTTCATTTGGTATAAAAGGAAAACCAATGAACTTGCAACTTCAACATATCGCATTATCATTATTGACCATTTTTTGCTTCTTCTTTAATACAGATTATTATTTGTATTACTATTAACTTGATTGCATTTAGTTTCATTAGTTTCATTTGTTTATCGTCAGGTTCGAGGTTTTCAGGGAAATGTCTTTAAAATTGTTTTCGCCTTTTCTTTCGTTGCTTTTTATTTTTCATTTTATATCAACTTTTCGTTTCTTTTTTGGTTCGAGTTTTGTTGAGTAATAGTCAATAAACAGTGTAATCATTGGTTTGACGATCATGAACTGACAGGATTTAAGGCAAATGATTATCATGATGAACATGGGAAACATGAGCAACATTTCAAATGTAATCTTTTCTCTTTTCTTTTGCCAATTCTTTTCATCTCATTTCCTGATCATCAACTTTTCTGAATAGAGCAAAGAAAGAGTTTGATGATCATTGAAAAGATTGAGTTAAAACTGATATGTATTTCAATGGATTCCTGGATAATCAAGATTTATCATGAGAACGAGTATAAATAGAAATTGAAATGGAAATGGAAATTTTGCAAACTTAATTGATAGTGAAATTGAAAATGCAATTTCAAGAAGTTGCTGCATAAACAGTTTATTAAAAACGTTTTAACATTCAATATCGAATTCGTTATATTGCAATTTTAATGCTCAGAATTAGCTGTTATTGTCTAGTCAATTTTCAAAAACTCCAATTAGAAACCATCTTCGATTGTGATCAATTCGATATTGGATAACTTTTCGTTTCTCAGTTGAATGAGCAATCATCAAGATTTCATAGAAGATGAAGTTGAAGAGTTTCTTACGTTAGTAGCTAGAATTTTTGAAGCTGAAGATCATTCCATCTCAGTTTTCGAAGGCAAAGTAAGATTGCAATTGATGTCCATCTTTTTGTAACTTCATGTCAACTTCATTTTTGCTTTAATCGAGTCAAGTCAATGATGAGGGTTTTGCAGCTCAACGGTGAGAATCATTTGCCGTGAATAGTCACTTACTGGTTACAGATGTAGATCTTGTAACCGTAACTTAATACCAAAGAGCAGGATCTTACTCGCTATACTTCCAAGTGTTACGGTTACAAGTGAAACGATTGTAAGCCAGACTGGTTAGGAACTGGTGCATATGGCTCCTCATTGATGACGGTGCTCACATTCCCAGTTTAGAGTAAAAGCTTTAAGTAAATGAAAATGAATATAAACTTTAAGGTTGGTTCCTTGAAATTCCCAGTGTCTTGAGAGGAATTTACTAGGTGTTCAAACGGGTAGGTCAAAAAGTAAACGGCTATATCTTTAGAACGGATTTGTTTATTGATCTGAAAATTTGTATAAAAATAGATTTTCATCAGGAATTAATGAAACGTGTGCTCAAAATACCATCACCTTTTTACAATTAACGCTATCAGACGATTTTCAAAAATACAGCTATAAATTTGTGAAAAGTTTCCATTGAAATGTTATAATCCCATTGTAAACTGCTTTCTCGAGTCGGGTGAGCGTTTTTGTTTCGCTTTTAAATACCCTGTCTTTCAGACATTCTCAAATTCCTGGTAAAGCTAATTAAAATAAAATTAAAATGACCGCGATTGTATACCTATTTCTCGAGATATAAAACCTCAAAGTTTTACCTACCCGTTTGAACACCTCGTATATCAAAAGAAACACTTTTTTAAAAACTTGGAATTTCCATTGACCCAAAGCGCTTTCTTTGCCTCTGACACCTGAACCTTCCTTCATAGGGAAAGGATGAACTTTAGTTATTCGAGTTTTCAATATCAAGCTTTTGTTTCTCTGGTTTTACCGAAAACCGAAAAATTACTATTCGACTCAAAATGTACTTTCACTCGCCAGTGAATGCAGACTGATTCCAATTGTTGGTAGATCTTTTCGTTTGATGACTGCAGACTGAAATAATTCAACTGAATATCATGACGATTCTTTCCAATCTGATTCATCTAAATGAAAACTCGATAATTTTTTTCAATTTCCGGTTCAATTTTGTCCTAAAAAACTATTCACGGTTGATTCAACTTTTTCATTAAACATTTCAGAAACTTTGACCTGAGAAAAGGTAAAAGGAGGGAAAAACGAAAAGAGAAAAAAAGCGATTCAAAGTTGTCTAAAAATTGTGTTCAATAATGAACTGATATGAGCATCATGATAATACTCAGTAAAAACCATTAGATAAATTGTTCAACCTCAAGAAACGAAATTAAATTTTGGTTAAAAAAAAAAGTTTCTAAATGTAAAGAGAAGGGAAAAAGAAAATGTTGACAAAATGGGAGAAAAATGTTGAAAAGTCATGTAAAAGTGAATCAAGAATAAGTTGATAAATGAATGAAGTGAAATCAATCAAGTTGTCATGAAAATTGAATAATGAATGAAGTAAATGCGCGTAAAATGAGGTAAAAACAGCAACAAAAAAAAATCAAAACGCGAAACGAAATTATCATTATCTTATTGTTTATAAATTGTAAATTACCTTTGCGCAAGAGAAAAAAAAGAACAGGAGAAAAAAGAAATTCTTTTCTTCTTTCATCTCAACAGCATCCAGTCAGCATCATTTTTGCATCATCAACATGATCTTATACCAGCTTGAAATAAGTCATACATCTTTCATCAAGAATGTTGCCTTGAGCTTAATGATATTATATAATATTGAAGGGAACAACAAATGGTAATACCTTTATAAGAAGCACCATAATAGGAGTTTAATCAAGGATAAATTGAGGTGATGCTCTGTATATGAAGCTGATGAAGAAGAAGAAGAAGAAAATGTTATTCAAAAGTATAAGTCAACGTCATCATGTTTACCTGTAAGTTCCATCATTGACGAGTAATATTAAAAGTGAAATTCTGTCATCATAACTCTTGTTCCCTTCTTAACTGTTCATCTTTAATTTGCACTTTACTTTCACACTTTCCCTTCACTTTCCTGTCTCCAAGGCTCAAGATAATTTGTCATTCCCAGCAAATCTGGAGATGATAAACACTCCCTGGATGCATAATGATAATATTTATAGTCGTGATGAATATCCCGATAACTTGGATAACATTTTTCATCATTGACAGAACTGGTCATAGAAAGAGTCCAACATTCAATTTGACACAATTTTTATTCTTTTTTTCTGTTTGGAGTTTCGTTGAAATTATATTGAAATTTATTTCACTTTTTGTCTTGAGAAGCAATTTATCAGACAATTAGCTAATTTACATTCTGGAAAAAAGGAAATCTTGAAATGAACATTTTTCGACTTTTGGCCTTTTCTTTGCAGAATTTTGTATTCAAAATTCATTTCTTCATTTAATTGTTATCCAAATATTTAAATGACTATTAATAGTTATTCAAATTTCGCTTCATGATATTCAGAGGAAAAAAATGGATGCAAAATTTTTCTTCATTGACATTGTGTTTATGATGAGACTGTTTTCATCATGTAAATTGAGCTCAATTGAGTTTCCATTTTTTTTCTTGCGAACATTTTTCCTTCTCTTTTTCCTGGTAAAGGTGAATAATGTAATGATTATCATTGATATGGTAAAATGAAAATCTAAATTCTGTCTATTCTTCAATCATGTGTCAAGGCAAACATTCTCAACTTGATGTAATTCATGTTCCTAAATAAGTGTATTTCCTTGTCATGAAACACCCAATTCTCAGTTGAAAATCTGGTGAATGTCGATTAGAATCTTGTGATTTTCATTCTTATTCAGGGAAATGTTCAAGTTGCATGATAATCAAATGGTTCAGCTAATAATTGAAACTCAATGAAATGTTAACAAAGTTACTTGAAAAAATGTTGAAAAGAGAAAAAAGAAAAACCAGAAAATTTAAAAATGTCAAGTAAACAAATGATTGTTCAAATGAATGAACAATTTTGCTCCTCTAATGATAACTCAATTATTCAATCAAAATTAATTAGATAATGAAACAAAATGTTGAAAAATAATCATTAACCTGGAAAAGCTGGAAAAGGTTGGAAAAGTTGGAAAAATCTGAAAAATTGGGAAAACAAAAGAAACTGAAAAATATAATGAAACATGAAAACATGAAACAAAGTTGAAAATTATCCAATAATTATGCTTATTAACATATTCAACGTTAATTACTCAATTGTCACTGATTAAGCATCTCATGTGTCGTCTTGTTGGACTGTAACTTTGAAAGAATTTTGTTCCGTTATTAATGTGAAATTCATTTTCTTTTTTCAGGATTTGGTTTTGTAACATTCGAAAGTGAAGATGTAGTTGATAAAGTTTGTGAAATTCACTTCCATGAAATTAATGATAAAATGGTGAGTAAAGAGTTTACTAATTGAATGTTGGAAAGGTAAACATGAGAAAACATTTAAACATGGATTCCATGAAATCGTAGATAAAGTGAAACAAAATTTTCATCGAATCAATGAAAAGTTCAATTTATTCATCATTTACCTTTTGTCGATTCTTTTGCATTCTCAATTGATGTTTGGATTAAACTGGGTTTGATATTAGCTATTTGTATCAATCGCTTCACTGAGTGAAGTCGAAGTTGAACAGTTCGACTTGAAGTGTAAGAGCACTTGAAGGATGGCAAGGATGATGAAGATGATGTTTCTTCTGGTCTTTTTGAGGTAAATTTGAGGAAAGGATTTCCTTTTGTAGTTCGTTACCAGAATTACTAATGTTGTATAATAATGATAATGATAGAATCCCTGAAAATGTAAATGATCTTCTTGTTGATGATGATGATGAACAATCAACTGGGAGTGATCTTGATAAGAATTAATATTATTATTGTTGGAATAGAAAAGGAGGCGAAAATGGCGAAGACAAAAGAATGCTAATAGTTATAGAAGTGGGTGAAAAATGACCAAAGATATTATTTAAATCACCACAGAGGAGTTACTAATTAAAAGAGAAGTAATTATATCCGAAAAATGAATGAATGGTTGAGTTGAACAAAAAAAAGAGTTTTCATGATGATGATGCTGATGGTTATTACTATTTTTATTATTCCCTTTTTTCGGACTAAACATCATTTTCATCAACTTCATATATTTAATAAGTATTTTGTATTGTAAACCAATGAGCAATTGAAAAGTTGACCAACAATTGAAGCTTGTAATGGCTTTTGTTTTGTGTTGGTCAAAACAAAGGCTTGCAATGAGAAGAAGGCAAAGGACTTAAAATATGATTTCTGTCAGTCAATTCATTTACCATTCAATAACCATTATCATGAACCCTGAATTGTTGTGGAAAAATAATGGAACACAAAAATTGATTTTGCTTTTTCTTCTTCTCTCCTCTAATTGCAGGTTGAATGTAAAAAAGCTCAACCCAAAGAAGTAATGATGCCTAATAGCGTAGCTCGAGGCCGAGGAGCAGGAAGAGGTGCCTATGGTAAGTCCATTATTAATTGTTGAAATCGGTTGATTGAGATGATTTGATTTGTGGTTTGGATAATAAATAAGCTGTTACAGTTCAAATGAGATAATTTTGTGTGTTTGAATATTTCGCTTATTAATTATGTTTTGGGTAAATAGAGATGGCGTTAGTTGATTGTGTCTTATGATTGGTCCGATCAAAACAGGTGTAAATTTAAGAATGGTTAATTTAGTGAATAATTAATTGATTAATGTGTGCCGTTGAACCTTTAATGGTCCCAATGGTTCAATCCCAATGTGTATCAATGGGCAAGCCTTCAAAATTTTCCAAGCTACTTCAAGGAGAATCTAAAATAACTGTGAAAAAGTGGACAAACAAGTGACCAGAAAAGTGAACCAGAACCGAAACCCAAATTGGGTGACAAGATAAGTTACAGATGTAAGTGTCTTTACTCGATCTACTTCAACTTGGAATAAGAATAATCTGGAAAAAGGTGATCAAATTGGTCAAGACTGAGAAAATGAACCTGAATCGAAACCAGGATTTTAACCAGAATAAAAAGCATGGAAACTCAACTCAAAGTTTGGAAAAAATTCAACGATTCAAGCTCCATCAACTTAACCATTTAAAATATCGCCTAATTATAAGCCTAATTGGACAATCAATTGATGCAAATGCGATTTAATCGACAATCAAAATCGTTCCATTTGAACTGTAATAGCTTTATGTGAAGATCGGTCAAGATATCTGGACAGAAGAAGGAGAAAAATTTCATCTTAAAATTTGACTTTGAGATAATCTCAATAGCTTGAAAAATGGATAAATCTAATTACATCCAAGGTATCTTGATGATCATTTAAAAATCAACTATTGAATTTCCAAGAAAAGTCAATTTCTCATGTTGATTGAAGTGACTGGAAACGTGAACAACTCCATCGTCTTTATAATAACCAATATCAAGTTTTTTCTTGATGGGAGTGAAGCTTTTCATATTTAATAACTTTGACTAGCTTACAACACTTATACAAATGAAAAGTGCAACATTTAAAAAATTGATTAATAACAATTTTTGAGACTATTTTGTTTCTCACAATCAAAGCTTATCACGAACCTTCCATTAACGTTAAAATCAAAGTTGAATTGATAACAATGTTGAACAGAAATACTTTAATACTTTGAGTCAAAATTATTATAAAGATGTACAAGGTTGATATCAATATAAATAATGTTTTGTTTCATCTTTTTGCTTTCGCTTCACGTTATCCTTCAACCATCTCTTTCCACTTTACCTTTTCATACTTTCTCATCATCTTCATCATCTTTTCTCTTCTCTTGTTAAAAACAGATTTAGTATGGCCCTTGGGTCCTATCACTGATGGTAAGTATCATTAACCAATTTACTTGTCTCAACAATCAATTGCATTTTTTACCTTTCCTTGAACGTGAAATGAAGAGAGAGAAAAATCTATTACAATTCACATGATTACAACAATTTGTTCAGTTTTGGTTGAAATTTTTGTTGAAATCATCATTTTTATCTCTTCTGTCAAATTGTTACATTTTTAAGTTTAAATTTTGTGCCAAATGTGCAATTTAAATGTTCAATATTACCAAATGTTTTCCAAGTCAACCGTTGATATTGAATCAGTCAGTTATTGATTTACTTGAACATTTCTTCTGGTTACAGGTAATGAGTTTTTCAAATGGCAAAAATTTACTCTTGCAAATCCCTCAACTTGTAGATGTTGACACAAAGTTTAACTGATTCAAAGGTTCACATGATATTATCATGATTGAAGTAAGGCTCAAAACAAGATTACCTAAATGGTAATAATATCGATGAATAAAGTTGATTTGATCCAAATAAACATTTCATGTTTAGATTAGAGTCAATTTTAGCTGATTGAGAGACTCAATGTCAATGTTAATCATCGGGTTATTTTGCATTATCAGTCCAATAATGCATTAATCTTGATTCGCTTCCATCGATGAGACATTTAATATGGTACTTGATGTCATCCATTGAAAGTGGAAAAGTGAATTTACCTTTTCCCTTCCAATCCTTAGTCAAACTGAATCGTTCAAAAGGTTGAAATACGAATGGAAACATTCAAACTCTTCATTCGACTCATCAACATTAGCAAATTTTACTAAAAAGTAGAGCAATCTATTCATCAGTTGATCATTAAAAGCTAGTAATTTGTGGTTAGATCGGTCAAGAACAATAATCTAATTCAATCAATTTTTGTATTCAAAGGTAAAGTGATCGGTTCCTCAATCGTTTAACAGGTGAAACTGCAATATTAAAACTGATTCAATCAATATTAACAATTTTTAATTCACTTAGAAATTTAATCTTCATTAATCAGTTGCTTTTGTGTCTAATTTTCATTTACGATTCTTTCATTTCTTTGCACTTGAGTTGAAAATGAGTTTTATCCCTTTAACAAGACCATTTAATGGCGATTTGCTTGAACAATAAAACCATTTCAACTTTTGATGAAATTTCATTATTTGAAAATTAAAATAACCTCATCTGATCTCAAAACAGAAAAGGTCTGAAAATTAATCTATCAAATCCCATGTTTAAGTGCAGTTTCCAACATTAAAAATGGTCATAGCGAAAATGGGAAATGATCTTATTTGTGTGTTCGATAAAAGTTGGCTTTCAATGAAAATTGACTCAATGTTGAGCAGTTTTAACAGCTATTCAGTTGATGGCAAAGCATTAGATGATCAACTCCAAAGACTTGATAAACTTGCAGGCTTAGAGGAGGCAAAGACTATCCTTTAATGCAGTAGCTCAATCCATTTCAGGTCAAGCTATTACAGCTATTAGTTATATTGAGTGATGAGTCTACTTGAAAAGTCAAAATTGGAAAACTCTTTTAATCGTTAAAACTCAGTTTCATCTGTTATCGCATCTGAATCTATGCGAAATGAATTTTCCATATTAAATAGTTTGCTTGTTAGCAAATGTTGCGACAAAATGAAACATTTTTTTGTGCATCTCAACCAAACCATTAGCAAAAGCATAATTCTGAGAATTATTATTATTACAATGAAACATGTTGTATTCAGTGATAATGAGATGATGATGAAAAACATGATGATCCAGTGACAAACGGAAATGAAAAACTGGAGTAAAAAAAGGAAAGAAACTGGAAAAAATGAATAAAGAGATTAGATGAAGGAAGAACTGGAAAAAAGCTGAAAAACATTTTCAACAGTTTTCTCAACATTTTTCACCTTCCATGTGATAATAAGAGATAAAATTTAGCAACACTTTATTCAGTCACATCAGTATTCAGAATAAAGGTTGAAACAAAAAGAGCAGCAGCAAAATTATTCAATTGAATGGCAACTCTTAATCAACTTGTTAATCTCATTATAATTAGACTTTTATAATTTTATAATAATGATATGTTTCCCAGATTAATTGAATTGATTAGCTATAATTAGAGTTGATCCAGAAAAGAGGAGAAGAACGCCAAAGAATAATTTTCAAGTATTCAAATGATTTTCAATGATTGCCCAGTAAATGTGGTTAACTTCAATTCAACTCCTCCTTTTCATCGTTACTTTATCCTCATCACTTCTTCCTTCACTCCTTCCCATCATCATCTTCACTCAATTGTATCACTGGAAACAATTTAAAACAAAGAACCCAACCAATGAAACTATTAACCATCGAAAGACCCAAAATTGTGACAAAAGTCTCTCAACAAAATAATATATAAGGAGCCAAACTCATTACCGTAGCAATCAATGGACCAAATAACCAGTTTGCCAAAATTACTTTTTTTTGATTCACTTTTTTTGCTCCTTTTTTGTCTCTTTCCTATCATTTTTATATTTCCTAGTTTTTAGCATCAACTTTTTTCCACATTAACCTTTCAACCTGAAAAGCTTAACTATCATCAGCTATTATTGTTGGTATTATTGGATTCATCATTCATTGAAACACACACAAAAAACAAACTTCATTGATTATTAACATGAGAACGCCTTTATCTAATTGTTAATCACAACTTGCTTTTCATTTACTTGTTTGTCAGATGAAAATCCTTTCCGGTTTCATTGCAATTTGCTCAAAATTAAGCAAAATGTTGGACCAAAAGTTTCATCAAAATTCATCAAATCTAGATCAAACCAGAACTTCATTTAAACTCTAGAAAATAGTCAAATTGAACTTTGAATCTTTCAAGTTCAACTGACCAACAATGCTTTAACAAAAAAATTTTTTATGATTTTTATATTCTGCCACATTCGAACTCAAAAGATTTCAATTTTTCAGATTTTCAATTTTCTCTTTGCATGAATTCTCTATCAAAAGATTGGCCATATTTTTGTAAATCTCAAATTCTGTTTCGTTCGAAGCATCTTTTCAGAAGAAATATATACAAATTTTCTGAAGAGAATTTTTATTTTCGTTGTTCAAACTCAAAACTCTATTTCTATTTCTTGATGTGATCTTATTTACTGACATAGAGACTCAATGATAAGATTTCAATTTTTCAGATTTCCAATTTTCTCTTTGAATAAATTCTCTAAAATCTAAAATTCTGTTTCGTCCCAATCAAGAATCGTTTCTAAGAAAAATATTTAAATTTCCTGATCGCAATTTTCATTTTCGTTGTTCAAACTCAAAACTCTTCTGTTTCTTGATGTTGTCTTTTTACTGCCATAGTAGAGACTCGATGAAAAGAAATTGAAAGTTGCGTTTCAAAGCGAGAGCGAATTCTGAAGAAAATGCGAAAAGAATTTTTCCTTGTGAACTTTTCTTGATATTAAATAAAATTGACTCTCAAAAGTAACCTCTTATAATGTAATGAAGAGTAACGACTCAACGCCCTTTTACTTGTGTTGAATGAAAAGTGAAAATGTTTCCATTGGTTGAAATGTTTAATATAAAGGTTAACAAACGACACTTGATTCTATCTATTGAACAATATTGAATCTCTCTCATTTCACTCTTTTCACCAATTGAACCACACCCAAAGGAAACCTCCCCTTATCAGCATCACCATTCCGATGATCATCTTTTGCTCCGATCGAAAAAAAGAAACTTTTCCTTTTTAATCACTTTTTCCTTTTCTTTCAATGTTTCAGATTCACTCAAGTCACTATCTTCTTCCACATCAGTTCCCTTATTTCCAGGATTCCCTGGAGCCTATGCTGGTTACACAGGGCGTGGTGGTTATCCAGGTTACCCTGGCTTTGGTTATCCTTTTGCAGGTATGACTCTCAATCAATTACAAGGAATCTGCATACCTCTGGACCATATCAACAATGTGCATGCTGCCGCTGCCGCACTTCAACAGTTATGATACGAAGAGGCAAACGTGATTGGGCAAAGGAAAACGCCGATTGGGTTGCACTGGTTGCGCCGAGAGGATTGTTGGGTCAACCCGACAAAACACCAAACATAATTATTATTAAACACCATAATTGACATTAATTATTAACCAAATTGTGGGTTAACCAAATCATATCAAACAGATGATTTGGATCGTCTTTCTTCAATGAAAATATGCAAAAAAGCAATATTGATCTTTCATTTCATCTTTCATTCTTAACTCATTTCTTCTGCTTTCTTCTTCACTATTTCATTTTCAAAGTACAATAAACAATTTATTTCCCTCCATCAACTTCACCAGGATCATCATCATGATCATCTGAATTTCATTCATCTTTTTTTCTTCTCTTCTCTTCTTCTTTTTTCTTCACCTCAATTATCATTTTAATTTTACCATGTTTCTCTTACCTATCGTGATAAATGTATTATCATTTACCTTACCAAACACACACACACACACAAGACACAAAAGCAAACCATAATCAATGTTATACACTGAACAGTGATATGATTCAGTTGGAAAAGCAAATTCATCTAATGATAACTTACAGTAAAATAATAATAATGACAATAATAATCCAATAAAGATAACAGTATTAAAAGCTCATACAATTACATTGTAACAATACAACAATGTTAGGCAAAGAAAGGCAAATGTTACCGATTCATCTATTGAGCATTGCGTGATGTAATCTTGAAATATAAATGAGAATCAAATTTTCATCTCAACTCTCCAACCATTAAGGTGTAAGCATGAATCAATCAGCAAATCGCACAAATTTATTGCAAACTAATACCAATGTTAACAGCTTCGATACTTAGCTTGAACAAGAAATCATTTGATGGTCAAATTGGCTGAACCACACAATTGATTTTCAATGAAACTCAACTTGACTGTAAGAAATGCCATCAAATTCATCATTCCTTTTATTCAAAACCTTCATTTTCTTTTCGATTTTTTCTTTTTCTTCTTTTTCTTCGTCTTCTTCTTCTTCTTTATCAATATGAATAATGATGATACAAAATGTTGAAAGATTCACGGTTCAACTCTAATCGGTCTGTCTGGTTGACGAAAAGAATGCAAATTCAACACAATTTTTTGACGTTTTCAAGACTTTCGTTTCTGTTGGTAAAGTTAGACGATTTCATTGATTTCTGTAGGAAAATAGTGAGAAAAGGTGAAAAGCAAAAGCATGACCATGAATTGAAGTCTGTATGAAAGAAAGAGTAAAAATCGATAGAAATCGAAATCGATAAATTTCTTTCGTTCGCTTTTGTTTCCATTTTGAAACACAAATACTGAGTTTAACTGTGCAAATAACGATTCAAAGTATTTTCAGAACTTGATTTACAACGAAATCAAAACACATTGGAATAACTTTCAGAATCTCGCAACTTCGCTTTAGTCAGTTTCGAAACTTAATACTCAGAACTTTAAAAATAAATTTTACGAAAAGTTCATTTCTTGTGAAGCCTTTTTTAGCTGAAAATGTCCCGATAGAAAAGACTCACATAATCATTGGAATAACATGATTCTGCAAGTTCAATGAGCGAACCTTTATAACGAAAATAAATTAAAATTGATTTTGAAAATAATTCCTTTCTTTTTTCTGGTTTTCTGAAAATTCTGTTTCAACGATCTTGTCTCATTGCCTTAGTAATAAGTTTAAATTAAAATGAAATCACAAAAAGACTAAACGCTTTTAAATCGAAATTGAATAAATCAAAAACTCATGAAAATTCATTTTCTTCAATAATTTTATTGAGGTTAAAATGTTGTCCAACGTTTGAGCTGAAAATAGACTGGAATTGAATAGAATGTGAAAATTGAAGGAATCGCCTTTCATTGAACATCTCAGGTTATATAAACATATTGAATGACATACCTTGACCATCATCAGTTGATTATTGTCATTAGTATCATAATTATACTGGAAATTCATTTATCCAATTATGATCATTATCAACTGGAGGAAGTCATGTGGGTGGAAAGTGGGTGGAATGAAAGTAATATTGTCAAGAGAAAGATTATCATCAGTCTTTTTATTACTCATATTATTAATATAATGGTGAAATTACAATACAATATCATTATAAATGGTATGAGTTAAGATTTGGACCAAGTTAGAATTTTATATTCAAATAGTTTCGACGTTTTTTTTGGTTCCTCTTTTCCTCGTCTCATCATCATTAGGAATAATTGTGTTTAATTAAACCTTATTAATACAATCAAACATTGAGCTAATGAGGATGGTTAGGATATGAAGAGAAATGTCGATAAAAAAACTATTATCTAGAGATGAATTTGCAAATGATTGGAAGGAAATGAGAATCATGAAAATGATTAAATGATTCCAGAAGGATAATCAAGAAGTGAAAATGTAAGTAAAAGACAAAACCCAAAAATGAAGGAAACTCTGGTTTTCTGGTTTCCCTATTGATTATGAACTTGATTTAAAGGAAAGACTTTCAACGGTTTTTTACCCTTAAATTGAAGTGATTTAAATTGTGAATTGTGAAGCTCAATTGGATGCTGACTGGGAATGATTGGGAATCTTTTCCTTGCTTCTTCCTTTTCCTGGAATCATTAAGATTGGTAAATAGTTATGGATCCATAACAACTAATCAATATGATCAACTGATTTTTGCCTAACTTGTGTTAAACTTGAAACTGGTTAACCCAAAGTGTAACTCAACTGTAAATGTACATATTATTTGATAACTTGCCATTTATGTTTTGCATTCATGATAATCACCACACCCTTTCAATAATAATGGTAACAACAAATTATCAAGTAAATTACAGGGTTGGGCAACTTTACCTTTTTGCCCATTCCAAATGATTCCAGATTGGGTAACATTGACTCAGATCGACTGAGGTGTTCAGTTTAAGAGGAAGCCTTTGTTTACATATTATTTTGAATCAGTTTAGGAATTGAATGGATAAAAGTATTACATGGAAAATGTTGGTTAAAAGATCACTTTAAGACGGAAAATCAGGAAATTAAAAAACATTTCCTTCTACAAAATGGATTGAAATGTTATTCAAAATTTTTACAGCTTTAAATCTTCTCTTCAATGAAATGTCTTGAAAATGTTTCGAGATGATTGACTGCTTTTCATGATTCCATCGCCATTCAGATGAATATTTCATGAAATTTTATACACTTTTGAATGCCATTTAAATTCTCAGTGAAAATGATGTTCAAGTGAATCAACGTTAGGCTCGAAAAAAAGCCAAATTTCGATTTTCGATTCGGATTAAAATTCCAAAAAAGTCAACATCAAATGCATATTTCAAAGAGACAATTGGTTGTTATGGATAATTCAAAAAATTGGGTGAAATTTCGTTTTGAATCTTGAAGTTTTCATTTCACTGACTTCAGACATTTTCATATTTTGAGTGTAAATTTGGTGAAGAAACTCGGATTGAAAATTTCCAATCAATAATTGTTTTGAATCAAGAGTGAGAAGTTCATCTAAATCTTTCATTAGTCTGAAAATTTGTAGCTGTTAATTGTTGCAACGCAATTGCATGAATAGTTTATTATTAAGTCTTGATGCATCAATTTTAAAACCATTTAGATTAAAGTTATTCATTTTGATCGGTTAATCAAAGGATATTAGGGAAATATCTTTATTCGAGAAAGTCAATTGATTAAAAAGTCGACTTCGAAAGTGAGTTTTTTCCTGGCCAACCCTGTACAGAATGTTTCAGCTGCTTCACTTCATGATAAAATACAATTTAGTGAAAGTTAAATTAATCTTTACTTGTATCTCGTCATTTCTGGTCAACATTTAACTTAAACAATTGAAATATCAATCTTGTTAACTTGAAGATGCAGAGTTTCATCACGAATGGTGATGTATTCAGTTGAAAGGTAAAGAATCCTGGATAATGATGAAAGAAAACAAAGCAAAATCAATGTAACCAGAATAATGGTTTGGAATTGAAAAGAATAGAAAGTTTCATTTGATTCAACTTTTTGTTTCTTTTCCAGTCTTGTCCTTCTCTTGATGGATGTTCAAGCCTCAACAGAACAAGCTGATTAATTGTGAATCCCCTGTATTTACATTAGTAACATCTATTAAAGAATGTGAAAAGGTAAAGGAAACAAATTCGAGAAAATGAGACTCAATATTAACTTTCAAATGACTTGTAATCTTTCAGGCAACATTAAAGTAATCGTTAACTGATTGTCTTACCATTCAATTATCATCCTTTGATTGTCACATAAACACAAAAGCTTCAACCCAAAACCCAAAACCAGGTTTTGATGAAATGTTTTTTAAAATGCCTTTAAAGTCGCCTCTTGAAATACATTTACATTGAAACATTGATTCATTTTTGTCTGGCATCAACCGATCAGCATCAGGACAGGATTTACCATTAACATTGAGCATCTGGTTGGAAGAAATTCTCATGATTGTGAATGAGTTTCGATCAGAATATTTTATTGATTAGCTTTGGAAAACGCTGGCTCGAGTTGAGTAATTTTGCATAGACAGCCTGTCAGTTTGCCTTTTTGTTTGATTGTAATTTTTGGCATTTACTGTCAACACACTTTTTTTGTACATCTCTTACAGTCTTTTCATTCAATTATTGATCAATTTAGTCTATCAACAAATTCAGATAATGTTCAATATGTACTCTTCAGAGTTCAGGGAACAAGTGCAGACAAACACAAACAAACAAAAAAAATGAAAAGCAACATTTTGAGTTAACAAACAAATGATTGATTGACTGTCAACAAGATTTTGCATTTCATTTGATCAAATGAAGCTACTAAAGGCAGAAGGGAAATAAAATATTATCTTTTCACCTGATTTTATCATCAAAACATTGGGTACATTCAATCTAATCATAATCGGAAGCTCAACAAATTCACAATTTTTAAACAATAATTTCTTCTCATATCCATAAGTCGCTGTTGTATATTTCAATGTACTTTAGCCATTTAAAACCAATCATGGATTCACTCACAATTATCATCGATTAAGGTTGAAACACTGAAAATTAGAAAAAAAATTGAAAAACTGGTTAAAGGTTAAACGGCATTGAGATACAATCAGTTGATGAAGTTGATCAATTGGTTTGTAAACATCCCATGAGGTAGTAGGTAAGTCAACCAATAGATGGTAGTAAGGTAAAGTAACCGAAAAAATTGATTGAGTTTTTTTGGTTCAAATATGACAATGAGTTTCCATTGAATTGGATATTTAACTGGACATTTGATGAAATTAAATCAGGTTTGGACAAGGATTAGATTGTCACCTGATCGGTCTAGTTAAGTCAGGTCTAGGCTATTAGTGTATAGCTCCTTATTTTACTTTGTTTATAACAAATTGTGTCTCAATTTTGGATGTTACCCATTTATTCAATGGTGATGTTTTAGTTTTTTTTTGTTCTTACTTGACTTCGATTCAGATAATCAATCTTTTATCGTCATCCTAGTGATTCTCATCTTCATCTTTGTCTTCATCGTCATTCTCTTTTATCTTTATCGTGTACTTTCTTCACTATTTTTGGCTCGTCGAACTCCTTTTTTTTGAACCATCTTCTTATCTATTCTTGGTTTAAGTTGTGAGATGTTGATAAAAAAATAAGCTTGTTCATCAATCTAATTTAATCTTCTGTTCTTGAATGTGTTTAATGTCAATTGTGAAGCAAATATCAGTTGAGACAAATTGTTGATTGTCTTCCGGAAGCTTTAAAAGGAACCCTAAAATTAACCATAACAAGAAGATAAAGGAAGAAAGAAATGCATCCAAACAAGGGATAACAATTCAACCCTTTGTTGAAGAAAAACCATTTTTCTTTACTTTCCACTATCTTCATCATTTTCTGCGCCTTTTCTTTTTTTCTCTTCCATCTCAAGTAAATGCATTAATTAATTAATCAAAGGGTTGTCGTCTTTTGTTCGTCATTCCTTCTTTCAGCGATTCACTGAATGGGTCAAATTTTAACACACTGAATGAGAAGCTAGATACTCATTTGTAACTTTATTTACTCAATGTAAATTTTTGACAGTAAATGTGAGTTACTCTGAGAGTTAACCTGAATTTTTTCATATTTTAAATATCATTGAGGAACAATTCTGACTGCAATTTTACAGTTGAACCATTTATTGTGTGATTTATTCAATTTCAATAAATGAAGCATTGTTAGGGAAAGAAGATTGATTCATGGCTTTTCATTTTTTTATCACATAAACCCATGCGTTCACATTTGAAAGGAAAGTTGGCATTTTACAGATAAATTCAACAAACTATTTTATTCAAAGCAATTTAACAAGGAATGGTTGATAATACCAATATTTGAGATTCTCAGGTTGACATTTATATTAATCTAATCCAGTGCTGGAAGATGATAAGTACAATAACAGGGTTTGGTAGCAAAAAACACAACGATTACCAAAATTGAATCAAATTTGTTGATATATCAATAGAGAAATATGTGTGATCTCACTTCGTCAAAACTGTTTTCGAAGACAGTTTATTGTTGATTGTCTTACAATTTGATCCTCTAATGACTATAAATGGTGAATTTAAACAAATAACAATTGAAGTCGAATTTTATTCGGTTTTAGGAGTTCCTTTGTTGGCATCAACACCTTTTAGAAGATCAATAACATCATTGTGATTGAAACGTCTCGCCTCGTCCAATGGAGTGTGGCCCCATCTGAAACAATAATAAATTTCCGTTAATTAATCTTCATCATTTGCTTTACGTGTTGAATGTAAATACCTGTCTTTCGGGTGAGGTGGAACTTTACAAACTTTTAACAAAAATTCAACACATGCTAAATGACCCTCTGAGGCAGCTAAATGTAAGGCTGTCCTACCATCATAATCACTCAGTCCCATTTCCATACCAGAAAGATAATACCTGAAAAAGACAGAAATTGGGTTAGAAATGGATGAGAATTATTGCAGTAATTTAGGAAATCGTTACCTTCTCATAGCTGAAACATCACCAGAACTAGCTGAGAAGAGAAGACTGACAATCTTTAATCCTTTTGTTTCAAATCGCTGTCTTCTTGGATCTTTCTTATGTGGAACATGGCGTAAATTATCGAAATGATGAAAATTAAAAATTTTAACTAATTCTCGACAAAATTCTAGACCTCGAACAGAGTTTCCATAATTGTCTAATGGTGGTGACCACAAGCACAAACCCATAACGTTGGGAATAACCACCATTGTGCATCCAGAAACACCTAAATGAATAGGAAAAATTAAATAGAGTTAACTTTCAAATTTTTATCAACAGTTACTTATCTGTATATTTTGACTGAAACTAGAGGGCAACACATTACGGTAACTGGAGTAAAGTAAAAAGATCAAGATCAAAGTCAGGAGATACCAACCTGATTTAGCAGGTAATCCAACATTAAAAGCAAATTGTCCTGAATAATCATACATTCCACAAGAATGCATGAGAGAAAGTACATCCCGAACAGCTTGACTTGAGATCACTCTTTGACCAGTAATTGGACAAATACCTCCATTAGCTAAAGTAGCAGCTATTACTGAAACTGTCGGACAATTAACTTCCAGAGAACACATCTAAATGAGAAGAAATGTGATTAGAAAAATTTTAATCTACATTTAAACATTTGTAAAATTACCTGAAAATAAAAATCCATTACTTCTTTTAAATTGGCTCTCTCAGGGAAACACTTATTCTCTTTCATATAATATCCAATTGCATAATTACGATCAGCAGCTTCTCTTTCTGAAAGAAAAGTTGCGTTACTGAAACCAAGATATTCATCACCACCCATAGCTTTGAAATAATTACAAACCCAATCAAATTTTTCCGAAACTCGCATCTCAGGCTGTGGGTAGAAAGGGATATAAAAATATATCATTAATACAATTCATCATTATTTTGGTACAAAAATCGGTGAAACTTACTTCAACTAGATAAAGGAGCAATGAGCAAACAACAATTGCTCCAGCGTTAACCATAGGATTATGTGGCTTACTATCATGATCAAGCACTAGTTCATTAAACATACGTCCGGAAGGTTCTTGGCCTACGTAACGATGCACAATATCTGCTCCAAGCTCACTTAATGCTATAGCATAATTGATCGGTTTACCACATGATTGAATTGTAAATGGTATCTCTGTGTCGCCTATGCCAAACCTTTGACCGTCAATGGTACATAATGTAACACCCCAGTAATCAGGATTGTATTTGGCTAATTGGGGAATGTAATTGGCAACTTTACCACCAGTTCTTGCTTTACAACTCCAATAAAACTCTTCGATTTGTTTACAAAACTCTTGGAACTCTGGAATGACAAAATGATGGCGAAGAGCACGACTGATGAGCACAATGTTTTCCTTAATAACCATTTTAAAGGTTTCTCTGTCCAGAGAAAGAGCTTCAAAAGATCCAGCATCTTGTTTAGCTTTCCAAATCACATTTAATTTACTAATTATTTCCTTCAAACGAGGATCCGTAACTCGAAGACCAGTTGCTGATAATGCTGAGAAAAATTTATTCACACTGACTTGGCCGGAAGAATCTTCAAACATTTCAAATAGTACATCTTCGGTTGTTTTGTTTGCCACTTTAATGCTGTCAAAAGAAAAGAAATAGATTATTAATACTTATTAGATCATGATTTAGATTATATGAAACATCAAAATTCGAACCATTGACCATACATCAAACTTGCTGATCTAATGGTAGGTACAAGTATCAGAGAGCAAAATTCATAGAAATCGCAATCATGTGATCGCAAGTCTGTCGATCTATTGGCCAAAGGAGACAGAGGTAAAAGCAAAAGGTAGAAGCTAATGCTAACAAAATTAAAGGTTCCACAGCATACCTGGCTTCATTGATGAAAACAGCTTGAAAACTCAATTAAAATAACTTTTAATCGAAAATTGATCGTAAAGCATATTCAGAATGATATTAAACACTGAAATTGGGTAACTTTCAGAAGGTTAAAAGAGTAAAAATAAACTGTAAACATCAATAAATCTCGTATTGTCTTTTCAACACTTTATCATAAGTCACATTATTGGTGAAGCTGTCTGATTATTTCAACGGTTTGACACTAATGATGTTTGAAAATGAAACAGTTATCGACTTGAGCACTATAAATGACAAAAACGACAATTACTTTACCTTTTAATTGCCTCTTGATCAGGTGAACCATTTTTAGTTTGTACAAACTCCTCTGGTGGCATAAAAACCTTACTTGTCTGGGAACAGAGAGATCTTGCGGTAATTATGAAATATCCTTTGGAAACATTAAAATATTTAAATTGTCTGCATAATTGATGATTAGCCGTTGAAAGATTAAGGAAACGATTAAAAAAATGTTGACTATGGTGATTACATGGGATAAAATTATTAAGGAGTTTAGTTGGTGGCAACCGGTAACCAGTTTTAGATTGATTTCCAGCTCGACCAACCATTTGACCAGCTTTCATAAATTTCAGATTACTGGGTATAGCATTGGTCAACATTTCAAAAATTATCCTTGCTAAATTGTTCAGCTAAAGAGATAGATTTTAATAATATTTAATTTTAATTTAATAGAACAGAGGAAAAAGAGGAACGTGCAAGTCAGTGATTCAACTCGGTGCAGTTGCTCTTTACTCTCGACCTGGTGCAACAAGAGGCTGCTCCAAAGTTTCATGTTCATATGGTTGGAATGATGATGACGAAGATGAGGATAAAGATGATAATGGTGTTTCCTCAATTATAATACTCACTCAAAGGGAAAACATGGTAAGATTAAACTAACCGAAGACACAATCGATATTTTTAGTTCTCTGGTTAACCAGAGATGTTGCTCATTGTATTACACTGTCAACCATTTCATGTTATCATGAAAATTTGCACCAAAATTTTGGATAAATCATTTCTCATTAAATCCTTTGATTTATGCCATTTTTAAATACGACTCTTGATTTATAACAATTAACCATCCATTATTTATATTTTTTTTAGTATTCAACATTTCCAATTGTTAGTCTTCATTTGGTTGCTTCCATTGTTTCTAGATATTGGGTGAAAAATAATTGACAGATGTTTACATGGCATTCAAACGTCCGAATAATTAAAAAATGATCTTTATTTTTGTAAATAATTAATGATCTTTATTTGCCAACATTTAATATCATATATATTTTATGAATATATTTTTCTCATTAACTGGCAGCTTACAGAGTTGAAATCAGATTCAATTACAATTTGGATGAAATGATTAACAAGAAGGGGTTTGATGATGATGATGATGAAAAAAGGATAAGTGCGAGACGAAGCAGTGAAAAGGCCAATTGTGATTATCATTGTGAATAAAATAAAAAATAAGATGGATTACACACAAGTGATTAACATGTATAATGTAACTGAATAATAATTTAATTTCTTTTTTTTCATCATCACCTTCATGAGGTTTAATTATTTAACACTTTGGATAACAATTAGGGATTTGGGTGAAGGGGCGAGTAATGAGTTAAGGTATGTAAGGTTGTAATGTGTGCGAGGAAGAAAAGAAATAGAGATCTTCCGAGAACATTGATTTCTTGTTAGTAGATTATGATTAAAACTAGTCAATTACTGGGAAGAGATCAATGAAATAGAAAGTTTTCTCTGGAAAATCAGAAAATAGGCAATGTGATGATGATAATAGTCAAAAATATCGAATCAATTGTTGTACAATATTTGTGGTGAGGACGAAACAATGAAGAGAGAAAAATATTGGTCAATGGATTAACATTGGTGATTAAATATACAATTGAGTTAAATTTAAACAGGCAACAATGAAGTCTTCAGGATGAGAAAAGGTACAACAACAGAAGACAACACAGAGTTTCTTTTGTGTGTTCAGAGCATACACAATGTTTCAATTTCGGAGGTAAAATATCATATAATCAATAAACTGTTGGGTTACAGCATTCAAACATGGATTCACAATAATTAAACACTTCTCTCTCTCCTAACTAACAATTGAAACACTTGCTGTATACCCTGTATATATCACAATATGTATGTAAGTATGTGTAATATGTAATGTATGTTATTTGTTTGCTTATTTTGTTTCAGTTCATTTGGTTAATGCTGAGTAAGCAGGATTGGAGGCTGCTCCAGCTCCATGAACCTTCATGTGAGCAGAGCGAGATTTAACTTTCGAGAAAACTTTACCACAAACCCGACATGGAAAGTTTCCAGATTTGTCTTTATTACTCGAACCTCCGACACTGACGGTAATCCCTGAGGTTGCAGTTGAACTGACTGAAGAAGGTGATGCATTCATCGGTGAATCAATTGATAAAGCATCATCATCACCATTTTCCCCTTCAACAGCACTTTTGTTATCAACATCGTTATCTTCGGTCTCCTCTTCTTTGGTAACAACTTGGTTACCATAGAAAAGTCCTTCTTGCTCTTTACGGCGGCGAATAATACGCAGTCTTTTGTACTCTTCGGGACATATTTTTTTCCATAAATAATAGAACTGGATACACTCTTTAACAGTTTTTGTTTTAACCTGAAAAAAGTAAAAAAAAGAGGGTCAAGATTAGAAATTATGATTAGATTTCAATTTTTGATTAGTTGATAATTTGTGTGTGCTTATGCAACGTTTGTTTTTTTGTTGGTTGCTTTCAAACTGTTGCTAAGTAAGAATGTGAAAAATGTGGCAATTAAACTTACTTTGTGAGCGATAGTATGGAAATCTTTGTCAAATTTAATTAAAGCTTGATAGTAATGATTAATTTCCTCTTGTGACCAAACATCACTTTCTGGATATTGATAGTCTATCAGTGGATGGTCTGGTCGCAATTTGATTGGATCCGAGTTTAACAATTTAGTGATTGCTTCTTCCAAATCACCATTACACATGTAGAGTAAATGTAATGCAAATTCAACATTTCGACCTGCACCAGGAACACAACTAGAACAGGCCAATTCCAGATAATAATCAAGATCCTCGGGTTGGTTTAATTTGTCCAAAACAATTGGATTCCATACTAGATCAGCTCTCTCTCGACGGTAACGTTTAGAGGTATCAACTTTATCACCAATATAAGCAGGAATACTGGCTTGATATTGTGGCCCAATATTGACATGAGGTTGAATATCACTTTCCGATGGAAGAAGATCCAAATCGTATGGAGCTTCAGGCTCAAAGGCTGTGGTGGGTGTCGATGAAATAATAAGCTCGCTTGATTTGGAACAAATGGAAATCTCTTTACTGTGTAAGATCGTAGAAGTGTTTAGGTTTGTTGTTGAATTTGCGTTAAGAGTGGTTGAAGAGGAAGTAGACGTAGCAGAATTAATATTTACACTTAAATCATTTGTTTGTAAATTAACAGCACTGGTATCACAAGGAGCCGATGAGGATAAACTTTTACGCGCATGAATAAAGGTTCCAAGGGTTGCTGATTTTGGTGTGACATTGCCGTTGTTAATAATGGCCCAGTAAAGTCCTGAGCCTTTTCGTAATGGTGAAAGCATGGGTGGAGGTGTGTACGGTGGAGGTGAACTTTTGTTTACATCATGTGAAGGTAAAGAATGAAGTCCGGAAGGATCCCAAAGACGTGGTGATCTTAATCTGGACGCATATTGACCGAATGCATTAACATGTGGAGGTATGTATAACGGTTCGGGTTTGTGCTTTAACCTTTTAGGTGATGATCTCTCATTTACCGGGGTCACCTTGATAACACTATTTTTATTAGTGATTACAGAAGTATGTGATGAATTGGTTGAAGTGGACGTAATTGTTGCAGAGTTGTTGTTGACACTTTTATAATTATTATCCTTCAAATTAATTGTATTACTTTTAGGTGATGTTACCGGTGATATGACCGCGGGATTTATGAACACATCATCATCCTCATCTTCATCATCTTCATCGTCATCATCTTCATCATAGGAAATACCAATTGTCTCATCTTTACCATTGTTATTGGAATCGGCATCATCTTCATCATCTTCATCGTCTTCATCATCATCTTCATCAATATCTTTTGCTTCTTCGGGTGAAAGGTTAATGACTAGATTGGAAGACGAACTTCGCAATGTTGAACGTGGTGTAGGCGAATCTGTGCCACAGGATAAAATTGGCGTATTACTGGTTGTATGAGTAATATTTATAGTATTATTATTAGTGGTAGTAGGATTATTATTGTTAGTATGGATGTTGTTGCTATTACTGCTGGTTGAGGTAACAATTGAACAAGAATTTGATTCCATCAACTCATTCTCATCAACCTTACTGGATGATGCACCTGAGGTAGAATTGAAGACTGAAGTTGATCCAATGGTTGACGAATTGATGTTACTACTGTTGATGTTGCGTATGTTATTACTGCAAGTTTCCTTCTCGTCACGTTCCTCTTTGAACAGGTTACTTTGCACATAATGCGTTTCCACAAATGATTCGCTTCCTTCTCGAGGCTCATTTAAACCTTTACCAGATCTATTCCGATGGATTGGGTTTGCAGTCGGTGAAGTATTGGTTATTGTAATACTTGGAAGAATATGTTGAGAATGTTGACTCTGGTGGTGATGATTGGGATGCCTGTTGAATTGACTTGTGGCAAGGGTTTGCTGTTGGTGATGTTGTTGTTGATGATGTTGATGGTGAGAATGTTGAAGATTATGATGATGTGCAATATGTGGATGATGATTTTGATGGAGATGTTGGGAAAGATGGTGATGTTGTTGTTGTTGTTGTTGGTGTTGCTGTTGCTGGTGGTGATGGTGGTGAGGATGATGGTGGGGATGATGTTGGCTAAGTGAAGAGTTGGAAGATTGCTGTGGGTGTTGATTTAACTGGTGTGCACGTTGGTTGTGATGGTGAGCTGTTAAACTGTAATTTACAGATGAACCATCCAACGATTGCGCTTCGAGATCATCGTTAGGGAAAAAGCTTTGAGATTTATTGATGTTGGATAAAACAAGTTGATCACTGTGGTCACTTTCTTGTTGAGTAGATTCAAGATGCGCTGTTGATACTTGATTGTAATTGGTTGCGTTTTGCGTATTTTTCGGTTTCTGTAGATAGAGGGATTAGGTTGAAACAAGATGATGAAGAGAAAGAGAGAGTCGGGTTAGTGAGTGAGAAACAAAATAGAGAAGCAGTAAACTTGGATAAAAGTGTGACCTAGATTCGTTTGGGATCTTTTTTTTCATTTCGGGCAGCCATTGTCACGATGGCCATTAAAGAGAAGAAAAAAAAGCTCACCAAGCAAACGAGTAAATGGATAATTATCCAATCCTGTTCTACTTTTTTCAACTGACTGTAAATACACTCTGATTTGAGTGAGTTTCTTTTTTGTTGTAACATGTATGGTTGGTATGTGTGTGTGTGTATTTGGTTGTATGTGAGTGAGTAAGTGAGTGAATGTGAGTAACTTTGCAAATGAGTACTTGTTGCGAAATGGTTACACCGTAAATAGTTGGCCCGTCTACCCCTACCCTGATTCAAGCTATTGAACTTGCTTATGCTCTTTCTTCTTCCTCCTCCTCCCTTCCTCCTTTTTTTCACATAACATTCTGTACTCACTCGGTTTCATCTTTATCTTCATTCTTTCTCTCATTTTACACACTTACTCAACGGGTATTGAGGCTAGTTATGAATGGAATTTTTTCCTTCTGCTTGTTTGCAGTTTTACTTGCAATGCTTAAAATGCGGCTGACATTTTATTTCTCCTCTTCAACACACACTGCAAACAAGAATGCAAAAAATTGACAGCAAACATAAATTGAAACGAAAAACGATAAATTAAAGTGAACTAACTGGCTCCCCCTGTTGTTACATATCATGATTCAAGATGAGAGTTCATTTTGATGGATCATCAACGCACAACTGATTCTAACACTGCAAATAATGAGAAATAACGTCAAGATGGAAATGTAGATAAGAGAGAGAGAGAGAGAGAAGAGAAGATATTTTGTTTGGGAAAATAATGAAAGAAGATGATGACAGAACGAAGATACTTTTGTGTATCTAAAATTGCTTATCAAGTAATACTATTCAAGATGATCATCATGATGGTGACCTTAATTGTAAGTATTATGAAAAGGTAAAAAATTGATGAGAGTCAAGTGGAAAAATGAGTGAAAAGTAAGGACAAAATAATGTACGAGTTTAACAAAAATACAAGTAAATGAGTGAGCGAGTTTTAAAAAGATGAAGTCCTTGGTAAACGCCCAACTCATCCAACAGCGGAAATGGTAACTGATATGTGGATTGAGGGGGAAATGAAATAAGCAAAAAAAGTTTTTCTTGTTTTCTTGCTGCAGTTAAAGAAACCCATTTAGGGTAATCAACCTTGTTCACTTTCTTCATTTCCAGCTTGAACAAAAATCAGTAACTCAACCTGTTTGCTGGTGAAAAACACACATAGGAAAAGTGTACAAATTTAAACTAAAAAACTGATGAAACAAGTGGTATAATAATCAAATAGGCAAATGGATACAAGTTGAACAATGAATATCAACAAATATGTGACTATTCCTAGAGGGGTGAAAAGGGAGCCAGCAAAAAAGGGGAGTGAAAATGCCTTTTTTTCTCGCAGCATCGACAAGCTGATGTCTGGGTATAAGATAGAGGATAATATTGGGAAAGCTTGAAAGATAATTATTTAAAGCATTTTTTGATATCCGGTCTTTGTTAATGAATGTTAAAATGGGTAAAAGACATTAATTAAATGGTTTGATAGGAATCAAGTTGAAAATTGAGTTGATAGTGCAAGATATAACTCATGGTTTCATTTAACTGCAGAGTTGAAAGAAAAATTGTTTCCCAGGAGAGATAATTGGATGAAAATCACAGATCTGATTGATGAATTGTAATCTTGTAAAGAATTTTTTTCCTATGAAACAATTTCGGTTAAAGTTTAGCTTTGCTTTTAACGCAAAAAAAGTATTCTTTTTCAACTCTGAGTTGATTGAAAGATGAAATGCATAGCAGTTTATTGCGTCATTGCTTAAAAAATGAAACTCAATTGCAAATAGTCAAATGAATTTATCAGTTATAGATCATGCAAACAGAGAGAATAATTGTGAGCTTAGTCAAGAGTCACTCCAAATAATATCCCTAAGCTGAAAATATGGTGAGCAACAGGAAGCAGATTGAATAATTATCATGAGATTATTATGATGAATATTTTTTCATCAATAAGTGTGTCGTATGTTTCAATTAAAGCTTGGTGTAAAAGTATTGGGGAAATTCATTTTAATTATGGATTGCGACAATTTATCTGTATTAGGGTTCGGAGTACAAAAACAAAATGCTAACTCATTCTGGTAATTTGAATAGAAACTTGTAAACATTTCTTTATTAAACATTAACATTGAAAAAATAAAGGCATAAATGGAGTTCAAGTTTCCATGAATTGAGTCATGAATATCTCATAATGGAAACAAGATACTACATTGAAATCGAGTTTAATTAATCTTCAGAAAATAAACTATTACATTTACTAAATTATGATCGTCGAGTGACCTTTTTATTTTGAAGCTAAAATTTATTATGTTCAATGCTCAATACTTTTGCACTAAGCTTAAGATGCGTAAATACTGTTTATTAATAGTATGAGAACAAAAAGGTAGACAAAAGGAAATTACAAAATTTGCTTTATTACCTGTTGTTGTTGTTGCTGTTGCTGTTGGTGATGGTGATTTTGACGATTATGTTCTTGCTCATGAGTTGTTAACATTTGTTCAATCAAAGATTCATCCTCAAAGTTAACAAAACCGACATCATTAACATTGGTTTCTTCGTTATTAGAATAATTCATTTCTTCGTAAATCGGTTCAAGACCAGGTTGGGCTGATCTCGTCGACGTAATCGCAGGAGTTGTGGGCGTAGTTGGTGTTTCGGATGTTGAATAATCAAACGTAGGTACACTGGATGGATTGTTGGTTGATATATTATACGATGGACTGGAATAGTTGACAGAATTTTGTTGAGCTGGAAAGTTGAACTGCATTTGATTATCGGTTGGTGTTGCAGGCAAAGATGCTTGTTGTTGATGATATTGCTGAACCTGGTGAGGACTAAATGAAAATGAATTGGTCTGTGTAGGTGTACATGGTAAAGATTGGTTAAAATTGTTGGTGGGATTTGATATCTGATGAGGTACAGCAGGCGAAAGTAGAGGATTGAGATTCGTCGGTGTGGTTGGCACAGAGTGCGAATGCATTTGATGGTGATGACTGTGATGGTGATGGTGATGGTGGTTGTTATAATTACTATAATGATGATTATGGTTAGAATTGGAATAAATTTTGGCCACATTGATAGTTAACAAATTATTGTTATTGTTAGCCAATTGATCTGATTGAGCGGTTGATTGTGAAGACGTATCTTGGTCATCTAATTCACCATTACCTGGATCTGAAGTCGCCCTTTGATGACGCCGTTTTAAGAGATCAAAATTACTATCAGTAGGATTATTAAAATTGGTTGCTGACGATGTAGGCAATGAACAATCGTGATTGGCGGTGGTATTGGTGATATTATTGTTATTACCATTAACATTGGCATTAGTACCGTGATTTGATTCATTCCATGAACGAACTTTACTTTCGTAATGAGAATTGGAAGATGAGTAAATCATTTCAGCAGCACTATCGGAATGGCGACGAGACTTTTCACCAGGTAAAAGAAATTGAGATCTGTTTCGCAAAGAATCATGCGAATTGTTAAAAGGAACATCATTTGGTATCCTGAATTGAGGCAAATTCTGTTGTAACTGCTCTTTTAGAGCATTGATATTCTGGTAGTAATTGGCATCCAAATGATCATCATCGGGTGAATTTTCTTTAATAGTTTCATCTTCTTTACTTGTACTGGAAAGAAGTTGATCCAGTTCTTGATTTGAATCACTTTGAAAAGTGTGAGTATCTCGATTGTGAGCTTCGACAATTAATCCATTGTCGGACGAAGATTGAATAACTTTTGTTAAACATGAAGATATCGGGGAAACAGTTCCAGTTGGCTTCAAATTAATGGTGAGATCAAGAGTGCAATCGATATCTTCCTCTTTTGCGTCTTTGTTGTCGTTACCATTTGTGACACCACCAGAGTGATTGTTATTAGGTGAAACGTCGAGGTTATTAATGGCATGTTTAGACATTATCTTGTTTTTAAGCATGGAAACCTCGAATAAAACTTTATTGTTGTTATTAATATTGATGTTGTTAACGTTATTAGTATTAACATTATTTTCAGCACCATTCATAATAACTGATGTAACATTGTCTTCTTTCTTCAATGATTCCGAGGAATTGCTGTTATTTGCAGTAATAATCTGTTGTGGTCTTAGATAGCCTCCATGAGTTCGCATATGGCCATTTAGTGCTTGTAGATTTTTGAATCTTTTCTGGCAAATTGAGCACTCAACTTGATTTAATTGACTTTCGAGTAGCTTGCAAGCCCATTCACAAGCCCATCCATTTATTTGTGAATCATTGTTATTATTGTTATTATTATTATTGTTGTTGTTGTTGTTGTTGCTGTTGTTACTATTGTTACTGTCCTGATTAGTAATATTATTATTGAGAATATTTCCACTGTGATTGTTGTTATTGAGATGATTATTGAAATTAGCTAATGTTGGTGCAAGTTGATTAAAAATATGAGAGCTTTCAGATGATGGTTCTTTCAGTTGTTGGGTTAAAAGCTGATGTAAAAGATTTTGCGGGTCATTAATGGATCTTCGCAGTATGGGTTGCCCAAAAACTTGATCAACTTGTCTAGGATCATCATCTACTTCCATTTTTACTGAGCTATTGCGCTCTTTAAGATGCAAATGTATATTCGGTTGCAGGTGATGAGATGAATGAAGCGGAGGCGGTGGTAGTTGTTGTGGTGGTGGTGGAGACGCTTGCGGTTGATGCTGGTGATTAATTTGGCTTGGATCAGGTTGTAATGTATTAAGAATCTTTTCACTGTAAAAAAGAGAGAAAACAAAGAGTGTGAGCATTGAAATAAGAAAGAAAGACATAAACTCAAAGAGTCTGATGATTCAATCTACTTGGCGACTTTTGTTAGTGATTGGCTTAAGTTTGTGAAAGAGCAAAAATATGAGGGAAAATGTAAATAACGTAAGAATGATGTAAGCTTTAGTAAGAAGGAAAAATGACTTAAATGAATAGAAAGTCAAAATAAAATGTAACAATTTAATGCAACTATGTAAGCACAATAGAGGGTTTAAATTAATAATACAATTGTAAATTAAATACAATTGTTTTTACTTACTGGTATAATGGTTGCCCTTGCAATGCCAATAATTGTAATTGAGTTGCAGCTGAGGATAAAAACGAAATAGAGCCTGGTTTAATAGTATTTGCGGCTGATCGTTAAAGAAAAAGAGTTAAATAAATATAAAATAATAAACATAAATGAAAACATTATTTTGAAAAGGTAAAATATGTTAAGAAAATTTACCTATTTGTGCAGGTTTTGATTGAAGTGCACCATTGACACTAATATTATGATTATGATTGATGGCGGCATGATGATTTTCCTTGTGTCTTCTTAAACTTCTTGCATCACAGTATGTCTTCTCACAGCCTTCGACATCGCATTCGAATGGTTTTTTATCCCGATGGGTTAACATATGACCATTAAGGTGGTCTTGACGTTTGAATGCCTTTTGGCAAAGGTTGCAAACAAATCTTCGTTCATCACTGTGCGTCAATTTATGTTTGGAGAGGGCACTTTGATTGCTGAAATCTTTTCCACATTCTGGACATTGAGGCCGAACAGGTGGTCCAAGATTTTTAATTCTCCTCTTTTTCACTGTTTGCTGATCAGTTCCATCACTTAAACTATTCGTAGGTGGAGGTAGACCAGAGAGATTTGAACCACTTCCACAATTAGCACTGTTCGTTACAACACTATTAATATTGTCGTAACCGGGTTTACCAGTTTCATCACCTAAGAAATACATTAAATTGTCAAAATCCATTAAGACACAAAACAATCAAATTTAACAACAATTTATGAAAATTAACAACATCTTCATTTTTTCATAACAAAAAACAGACTTTAACATTATTCATTCTTACTCTGTCTTCCAAACACAACCACTCTCACCTTGCAACCAATAGATTTGACGTCATGTAACCATTTATCCAATGAGAAATCTTCTAGGATTGCTAGTTGCGCCATCTGTCAAGACAAAATCTATGGTCAAGGTCACATGTTAAGTGTAAAAGAAGAGGATAAAAGGAAGAAAGAAGAGGTTTTGCTGTCTCTTAAAAAAGTAAAGAAATAGAGCGAATACAACTTTCTTGGATTCAACAGCAGTGTTTCATCCAGGCCTTTCGCCGGGCTCCTCATCATCTTCATCATCTTCTTTATCATCATCATTTTCCCTCTTTAGTTTCTTTCCAACAACTGGACTCACATTTAGCCTCAACTTTCTCCTTCTTTCATCCTCTTCATCGTCTTGAAAGTGATTTTCTTCTAGTTTTCTTATTTTTCTCCTTCTTTCTCCTTCTTCTTTTTTCATCTTCTTTTTCTTCTTCTCCAACTTGATCTTTCTTTGTCTTCACTCTCTCTCTCTCTGCAACTTTGGCCCATCATCTCTTGTTCGTCTTTGTTCGGCCTGATACCTTCTTTCTTCCCACTTTGCTCTTATACTTTTTTTTTGCTTTCTTTATATTTCATCTTACTAGAGCTTGGGAACTTTTCCTTCGTTGTTAGTCATTATTTTGAGCTTCTTTTCTACTTCTTTTGATTGAAGGAGCAATATATTTTTATTATTGGCCTTTTACTTTTGCCCTTTGATGACCTTCTCAAGAATGCAAACACCAAAGTTGACATAAGTTAACGTTTAACAGTTAACATATGCATTATCAAGATAATCAATTTCATTATCATCATCATCTCCATTAAAACGTCGCTATCTTCACCATTAAATTTCACTGGTATAGTTTTCATTGATGTTTGCAACTTGCAAACTTCAACAAGCCAAACCTGAAACTAGACACTGGAGGATTCAAGAAAAGAAGCAAGAAAGACTACTATTAGTTAATGAAAGCTAGTTTCATTACATCTAACAATTCAGTTGTAATTGAAGATGCCTATTTTTACCAGATATTAGAGTTAAAATGTTTCAAAATCAATCCTCCATTTTAATTAAATTAGATCTTTGAACCAAAGAAAAGAGTGTGACCTTTTACAAGAAAACTGTTCTCAACCAGGCAAAAAAAGGATCCATGGAAGCAAAAGAATAAAGAAAACCCAAATTAACAAAGAAATTATTTGGATGCAATTTACCAACCAGATAGACAAATAATTGTGATTCAAGTAATCGTATTTGAATATATAATCTTATTAGAAGCAAATATGAAATTATTGGCTTTGTTTTAGCTTTGATCGTTTTTCTGGTGCAACAATTTTGGGTTTACCTTCGATCTTTACCTGCAAAAGTTAAATTGTCTTGTTCTTTCACTTAAATTCACAATTAATTGGATGTAATTGTAACACATGAAGGACAAACTATCGATCAGTTTAATGTAAATACTGAAAGGTTGGCTTGCTTGAATCGAGATGAGCATACACATGAAATAGATGAATGCATGTAAAAATATTCATCTGGTGTATAAAATCTGAAATGAATTTTGTTCCTCAGGTTTGTTTTTCAAGGTTAGATGTTCAAGATGAGCTGAAGAAGAAAATGATGAAAAGATGAAAAAAGGAAGCAAACAAAAAGATTGATGGTTTACAGTTTGGTTGCTTTTTTTGGGTAAAACAATTTTCTCTTGGTTAAAGGTAAATGAGTTAACCTTTTCAGATTTAAATTTTACCCAAAAACCCAAAAGCAAACAATGTATTTCACAGCAATACAATTAAATGCAAAATTAATCAACCGAGATGAAAACAAATGAGTTGTCCACTTGTTGGAATCATTTTTAGGTTCATTTGCTTTCCATTTTGTATTTACTTTTCAGTCAAGCTCACTTTATATTTGGGTAAAGTCGCTGGCTTTTGTTGTTAACCAGAAAAATGGTCAACTTTATCAGCCTTTTTAGGCAACAATTTAACAACAACCTTACACAATCAAATAAAATGTTTATTACATTGTTTAACTTTGATTCTGGTCGAGTGTTTGACTAACTCACAGTTTGCGTCCATTTCAAGCTTTTGGACTCTCACTTGTTTATTATGTTTGCTTAACAATTAGTTAGATGATAAATTTAACTGCTAAACATGGTTTGATGCTTTCAATTTTTCACAATTTACAATTTGTCAGCAACAGTTGTTGAAGCAAAATCAATTAACCAGAAAATCTGATCAATTTGTTTTAACTTATTGTGCAAATAGCTTTGATTGTAACCAAAATGTTTTAACGAGATTCACTTTGATTGTTGACTCTTTCAATGCTTTCAATGTTAATCAACTTTTTTGTTGAATGGTTTAATGACTTCTATTTAAATGTATATTAAGGTTAATTAGGTTTGCCATGAACGGAACTCTGAATTATATTCCTAAATATAACTGATTAAGAAGATTAATTTTTTAGGTGGAAAAAAAATATTGATTTTGTGTGTTTATTAAGGTAAATGGTAAAAATCTTACATGATTAGGTTGATTAATGAATAATCATGGATAAATTATGCTTTTATTATATTCTTCATCATTACTTGGGTGTTTATCAATGATTTAGGTTGAAATTGCTCCAAAATAGACTTTTGTTTCAAAAGGTATTACAAACAACCTTCTTGTTGGCAACATTTTTTTGTATCCTTTAGGTACTTCAATCAAATTAATTTATGCATTTACTTGTTTCTATTGTCTTTACTATAAATGTAAGGTTATTAATCAATTACTACTGTTACATTTAGTGTTGGGCAAAATGCGCACAAAATGGTTTCAGGTAAAGTTGACTGTTTTATGATTGATTATCTGTTTCAACACTTTCTTGTTTCTTACTCAAGTACAAGAAAATCCAATGAATATTTAACATTGAGACCGTGAAATGGTATCGATTGACCTTATTACACTCAAACAGTCTCATTATGATAGGTTTGAAAGGCTGAGTCTAGCTCCACCTCTGGTTGCAATATAATACTATCGCTTACGATATCGATGTATCAAAAGCTGAAGATTATTTTTTGATTTTTTCAATGGGAATTTTGTTGTTTTTGAAGTTGATTGAATGTGATTTTAAATTGATTTGGTCTTGACTTTTTGATAATTTAATTGGGTTAATTTTGGTCCAATGTTTCTTTAGTTACAAAAGGTAAACTGGCCTTAAGCCGAAAGTAAGAAGGCGAAAGTTGGCTGACAGCTGCTTTTAGAGGTTTGAATAGATAAGTATCGAGTCCAGGATCTGGTTGTTTTACTGGCCATTCAGCTTTCAACTTAATTTTTGTTTCTATCTTTGTAATTAGTTTGATTTTCGCATTTTATTATTCAAATAAGCAAACATGAGCCTGCCACCTGCAATGTTCCGGTGTATTCGAAATGTCCATTCTAGTGGATTGTATTATAATTTTGCTAAATCTGTTTGTTATCGTTCCTACACCAGTGAAGCTGCTGCTCAACCTGAAAAACCCTTAACGATGCCCACTCCTGGTGCCGAGAAAGTTTTTGATGTTAAATTGTCGAAAATTGTAGATGAAATTGAAAAATTGACCCTTTTAGAGGTATCTGATTTAAACCAATTGCTTAAAAAAAGGTTGAATATTCCAGATACTCCAATGATGGCTATGGGAGCAATGCCTGTTGCGGCAACACATGCTTCAGCTCAAGTAAGCTTGCAAATTAAATTCCCTCTTATGATACTAATTTTTTTCATCTGTTTGATTATATTTTAAGGATGAAGCAGAAGAGCCCAAAGCTGTTAAATCATCTTATACTGTTAAAATTACGAAATTCGATGAGTCTAAAAAGGTTGGATTGATTAAAGAAATCAAAGGATTAGTATCTGGTCTAAATCTTGTCCAAGCCAAAAAGTTTGTCGAATCAGTGCCACAGATAATTAAATCAGATTTATCTAAAGAAGAAGCCGAAAAATTAAAATCTCATTTGGAGTCCCTAGGAGCAACAGTAGTGATGGATTAAAATTTGAGCTTTGCTTATTAGCAAGTAATGATGAGTTTATTGCTTAAAATTGTTCATTTGCAACTAATTATTGCTTGCCTGTATTGACAATTGTTGGAACAGCAAAGACTAGTCGAAGCAAAATTGATCTTAATAGAAAAAGATTTGAGAAAATGTAAGTTGGTTTAATTTTTGAACTAAACTGTTATGTATTGTCCTTTCTCAATAAACTGCAACTTGGTTGCTTCTTTAAGAATAACAAGAAAGAAGACAAAATGAGCTTGGTGATAGTAATAATGATGATCAGGATGATATCGAATGAAATGCCAAGAAATTTTCTTACAAATATAAAGTAAAGAAAAAAAGAGGAGCAAAGATTTCAACAGATGTAGTTTTAAGATGAAACGAGAACAATTAATTAAATTAACGTCATGTGTTAATTGGTTGAAATTGATTAACAAGTATTTTTCACATTATTTTTCAACTTCGATGATGGAAATGCAGAAAAAAATGAAAAGAATTACTTTTTTTCTTAAATCTTACATCTGAAAGACAAGAAATGAAAAGTTTAGATTGGATTAAATGGTAATGAAATCCTGGAAAGAGTTATCAGGGAATTATTATTGAAATATTCCAATAAATTGGTTGATCCAGCTTCTCACTCTCTTTTCAATGGCTCAAATGGAATCCAATTTCACCCAAAAAGCTGTTACTCATTGTGAACCTGTGTCAATCTTTTTTCTGTCTTCAGATGAAGATGTCAAGGATGAGTTTGATGTTGAATTTCCGGACGATTTTTTCCCTCCTTCATTATTTTCATCATCACCATCCTCGGAATGATTACCACCTGGAAGCTCTGTCCGTTGATCTTCAATTCGAGCTGACTGGAAACGCATGATAAGTCCAAAGAAATCTTCAGTAATTGGTTTACTTGGTCCAGTCGGGCCAACTGCACTAGAATCAGAAACAGTTGCTGATCTATTCCGAGCAAAATTGGCTCGAGCTGAGGATGATGAGGTGGTTGGAGAAGGGTTAAGGGAAGACGTGGAAGGAGCTAAAACATTGGCTGATGTTGAAGGTGATGTTGACGAGGTTTGAGAAGCAAAAAGATTTGGAAGAGTTACTCGTTGATCCTCAAGGCGACTTGATTGGCATTTCATGAGTTGTTCAAAGAAATCATCGTCAGGCAAAATATTGGCACCGAGAGACATTTGACGAGTCTTTCGACCAGTTGGTTGTCCAAGGGGAGAAGAGGATAAATCATCAACATCATCGATTTCGTCTTCATCGGTCGCATTTCCCCCTTGATTTGATGATGCTCCTTGATTTGAATTGGAGTTATTATGAGACAACCCTAAACAGAAGAAAATAAATATTGATTATAAATACGCTTACATGTTTGGTAATTCCCACAAAACATACAACAATCCGTACTTTTCCAATCGAAAATATTACGCTATTTTTAAATTATTGCATTTCATGAAGACTTTTTGAGGGGTTTTATGTGATAAATTTGAAATTCACTTCTAACTGGCCAAAGAAGACCTTTTTTGAGTCTAGAAACCTTATTATGTAAAGAGTAGAGAAGTTCCTTTACTCTTTGTTATTATCTATCTTTTTAGCTTAATATTACAAAAACAGTCAACTGAATCTATTTTGATTCACAAATCTTTCCTTTTTAAATTTCATCACAAACCCCTTAATTCATCAGCTGCTGTGTAAACAAAGATTGATTTGGCTAAATCAGTTGATAAACGACAGTAAACCTTTAAGTTCATAAAATGTTTAACTCTGTACAATTGTGGTCAACTAATTGGCTTACCTGAATGATTTGCTCCATTAGATGTTGATGTTAAACTGCGTCTTAAAACGGAAAGTGGTGCTCTTTGTTCATCAAGTCGGCGACTTTGAAGGGCTGCAATCATGTCTAACAATTCATCTCTTGCGTTACCTAAATCTGAGCCTGAGCTTCCATACGCTGATGACAAAGATGCTGATCCTGAAGACGAGGTTGGACGATTGTTGGAACCAAAGCTAATCGGATTTGAACCTCTCCGACCATTTGTAACAACGTTATTCCGACTGTTACCATTAGTTGTGCTCCTATCTATTGTTGCTGCTCTATTCATTACTCGATTTGATCTTGAAGATGACTCGACTTGTGCATTATTAGAAAATGGTTGTGCATTTGTTGGTCTGGTACTTTGTACTGTGCCATAACTTGTTCCTGCCATGGACTCCACAGGTCCACTATTGGATCGTTGCATTGAATTATCTTGATAATTAGGTTCACTGTTATAGGGTGACAACGTTGAACCTGGCTGCTGGTTAACTCGTATTAAATCCATCCTGTCAATTGAACATCGCTGGTCATTCATACGTTGCTCTTGAGATCGAGCCAACATATCTAAAAAATCGTCTTGTTGGTGATCACTTTGATTACCTGTGTTAAATTGTGAGGAACTTGAACTTGAAACATTGTTCCAGTCAGCTCCAATATCATCTTCACCCGATTCATCTTCAATTACTTTTTCCTCATTAACCATGTTTTCATCTTGATCCATTTGATTTTCTCGTAATATTTGGATTCTTCTTGCCCTGTTTATGATTAAGGCTCCTTATTTTTCCATCATGAAACAAACACTTTGACCAATATTGATGCCAATTTGTCTCGGACAACTGGTTGGGTCGATGAAACTACCCTTTTGATGAAAACCAGAACGACAGTAACAATCAGCAATTCTGGTACTCGTGAAAGATGTTAAATCTGGTAACAAGGGCGATGAATTATGGAAATTTTTGTTTCTTATCTTTCCTGGTTGCTTCGTAAACAATGAAATGAAAAATGGTAACCCTTGAGGTTGATGATAAAAGTGATGGCTTTACTGGTGTTGGCTGAAAGGATTGGCAAAATTAACAATATTCAATCCATTTGATATTGAACCTTTGTTAGACCAGATTGTGAACCGTGAACTTACATAGTCTTTAAAATGTAAACATATTTCATTTGTCAGTTGAACTGCAACAGTCGATTACCATCAACAGATTACTAGTAATAACGATAATAATAAGATTAACGATTAACAGTTAGTTTATTCAATTTTTGTTCAATTTTTTCTTTTCGTTTCAATCAACATTCCTCTGAACTCATGCTCAATTCATTGAGTGAGTTGCTTGCAATTTTCTTTCCCTGACTCAACTCGAAATGAACGATTCTCAGTCAGGTCAACAAAGGTTTTTCCTTTTTTTTTATTTTCCCTATTCCAATGACTCGTCATTCAAACTCAACCCTCTGCAATCCCTGTTTTTGCTCCTTCAATCAACATCTCTAGACTACTTCTGAGCAGCAGCATGATCAACATCAACAAACTTACAATCAGCATTATCATCATCATCATCTTTCTTTCCCTTTCTTACTCTTTCTCTTCTCCAACCTTACTTCCATTGCTCGTGAGATGAAATGGCTGTTTCCAAGGTGCTTCACCATGTAAAACCGGAAGTAACACTGAATCCTCCCCCTTTCTGGTTTGAATTGTCAGTAAAAAAATTTCCATCTGTAACATTATCTCAGAAATGTCTTCAGCATCGCAACATTTTTCACTCTGTCTTTCAAGTATTTTAACGTGATGCACGTAAATGTATTGAGCACACAATCAGCAAACGACTCAGATTGTAATAACCTTGTAATAATCTTTGTTAATGGTGTTCGTTCAATTCAAATCCAAAGAGTAACTGTTGAACAATTTCACATTTATATGACTAGAAATACAAGATGCAAAATAATCCTTTCTGAGTAAATCCAATAAATTTCCTCGGTTTGACTGGTAATTAACATAAGGTGAATAAGGAAAAAGCCATGTGTCATTGAAAAAAGTGTGAAAAATTAATTTAAAAGTGAAAAATTAGTGAAATGAGAAAATTCATTTTTCTATTTGGGTTTCTTTTACTGTTGCTCAACCTGTCAACATCAACAAACCTTGCAAGAATTGACTTCATTTGTCAATAAGAGATGGCGACACTATCGAATTAGGTAACATGGTAAAATTGTTACGGCAGTGGTTTATGTAATTGCTAATCAATCTCATGGAATCTCTTCATATTTACTCGCAACACAATTATTATTTAACCTGGTTATTTAAATGTCCAACTTTACGATCATGTAGTTGAAAGTCATGTGTATACCAATAACTCATTTCTTATTGAAATTTCTTGTTGGTTTCCTTGTAATGAATTATGTAGCATCAAGTTGATAAGTTGTGTCTCATATTTGTTGAATCTTTGATATGTTGGATAAAGGAAAAGAGACTAAATTAACAATCAATTTCATTGTTCATCATTTATTATTATCCATGAGATAACGATGCTAAAAAATAACTAGAATCATTGAGTCAAAGATAGAAAGGTTGAAGAGAGAGAAAGAGAAGAGAAGATAAGTGAAATGAATGTAATAAAAACAAGGTTAATGTATCAGGTAAAATAAAATGAATAATCTCCAACAGTTATTATACATGAGATGATACATTCAACTCGTTCAATAAATTAATCAGATTAGAGTTTCTAATCAAATTGAATTTACACACACAAATCACACATTTAGAGAGAAAAGAAAGAAACAAAGAATGAAAGATATAGAAAGAGAATGAGAGAGAGAGAAAGAGAGAGGTAGAAAGATTATAATAAAGTGATAATAATAACAAGATGAAATGAAAGATAGGAGTCTATGTAACCTTGAGAATGACCTTATTATTTGAAAATGTTTAACTCATGTTTAACCCAATTAAAATCAATGATGGTTAGAGTTGCAAAGTGAAAAGGTAATTAAATCTAATCAATAAGATGAGGACAAAAAATGAAGGTTGTAACAAATTAAATAATAGGTAAATAAATTAAAAGAAAACTAAATACACGAACAAGAAAAATTTGGCGAGTTAACAATAATACAAACAACAAAATAGGAATACTTCTGATAATATGAACAACGTAACGATGAAATGAAAAAAAGAAAGCAATTCTTTAGGTTGTTTCCATTGCTGTTGTTTTGGTTTCTTGTTGTCATTTTTGCTTGTCAACAACAAACCCGAAAAAGTACCAGATTAATTTCTTGCGTCAATAACAGATGGAGATACTGTTAGGATGGGGGAAAGATTTTTTATCAACGTAACGTAACATTGTGTGATCTGCTTTCCCCTTCTTTTTGTGTGTATGTGTTTTGACAGAGAGAGAGAGAGAGAGAAAGGAAGTGAGTAGCAAGATTGGGTTTGGAATCATTTATTCCTTTATTTCTTCAGCTACAAGAATGGATTGCTGAGTTAATTTGTGTTTTTTTGTTGTAAAATTTTTCGAGGTTTTGCCTCTTGACCTCTGATTCTGCCTTGTTTTTTTGTTCTGAATGTACTGTTATTGGACCTGTGGTTTATCCAGTGTGTGTTTTATGTGTCTGGTTAAAAATCCCCCCATCTCTTGAATCATCAGTTGAAGCAAATCAACCCTTTTTTTATATTATATATTTTTTTGCTCGCTTTCTTCTCACACATTCTGTTCATATCTTAATTCTATCTCTATCTCTCCCTACTCGCAACCATCTCTCTCTCTCTTTACATTTCACCACTCTCGTGTTGTTTTGAGCAACAAAAATTACAAATAAGATTACATCAAAGTGTAGTGGTTCCTTCTTTTTGAAATAATATCTCTGTGTTTATATTATTGTATGTTTATTTGAAAAAAAGAGAGAAAAAATTCATTTCTCCTTCTCTCTCAATCTTCTTTCTCCTCTCTCTATCACATACACACACATAACACATACACGCATTACACACACTGCTCTCTTTACTTCTTTTGTTTTGCCCTTTGTGATACTCAGTTGTTAACCAAAATATATATATATCTAAGGTGTGTTGTGGTGTTGTTTTTTTAATTACTTGTGAGTGTTGGTTGTTTTTCTTCTCCTGTGTGTGGTGATTGTGAATAAGAGAGAGGGAGAGATTTTGAGAGAGAAAGAGTGGAGAAAACGAGAGTTTTTAAAGATAGAGAAGGGAGAGAAACAAGAGATAGGTTGGTTGGTTGGCCGTAGCTCTTTGAGGTTATTCCTTGTCAAAGAGTGAGATGAGCTATAACATTGCCACCCTTTTGGAGGCCGCTGAATACCTGGAGAGACGTGAAAGAGAAGCGGAACATGGTTACGCGTCAACTGTACCACCTAAATATGATCTCAAAAGTAATTCTAAGTTATCTAAATTAAAAAAATCTCAAGGCAATAGATCAACTCATAATGAATTGGAGAAAAATAGGTAAGTTATCTCTTTTTTTAGAACTGTATTAACCCCTTAATGCTTCTATCATCTTTCTTTTCCTCTCACAACTGCTTTTGCCTTTCTATCTTCCTTGTTTCTTCTAATGTTGCCACAAATGATGTTACTCACATGATGAAAGATATTAAAGTAAACTAGTATAAGGTGAATTTATTAGATCTTTCTCTTTCTTTCTCTTTCTTCTTCTCTTCGTTTCGTTCTTTCTTTTTTTCCATCTCCTTCTCCTTCTTGCTTTCTTTCTCATTCTCTTTCTTCACTTTCTTTATCACTGATGAATACAAGTGGTCTTATGTGTATGTTTCTGATCATGTGACTACACTTACATGCTCTGAGTGAGGATAGCTTACTGGTCTGTTGTGCTTTGATGTTACTTAACAGGTTAATGACGAGGATGCATATATTGATGGAAAATCAAAAAAAGAGAAATAAATGCTTGTTTTAAATATTTCTCTTTTGGATCTTATCCTTGCTTATTTCCTAATAGTAAACGTTAATACTTTATATTGTCATTACTGTTGTTGCTATTTCTAAAACCATTTGCTTTAGCTTCTTTCATTTTAACTCACTTATGGCAACAACAAACCCTTCTGCTGTTTTGACAGAAATTAAACTTAAATAAATGACTACAAATTTTCTAATGCATTTTTAATCTGTTTATTTGCAGACGCGCACATCTACGAAGCTGTTTGGAATCCCTTAAAATTCTGGTTCCTCTGGGACCTGAGGCCACTCGCCACACAACTCTCGGACTTTTAAATAGAGCTAAAGCCTTCATTAAGGTGCTTACTCATTCTTATAATTGTCACTCTTTTTGTTGCAATGTTTATCCAATTCTCTGTATTCCTGTTTTTACTATTTGGTCTTCCCTCATCCGTTAACCATATCTCGTTAACCTTTTCATCTTTGCCTTTCTGCTAATGTCCATCATCTTCATCTGCCTACCTCAATCTCTCTTCTCACCTTTTCTCTTTTTTCCCTTTATTCTTTATCCATTTCTTTATCTTCATTTTGACTCCCCTTTCTCACTGCAACCTTTTTTTCTCTATCATAATCATGATACAGTCTCTTTCTTTCTTGTTGATCCGGTCATTCTTTTTCCTTTTCTCCTCTTTCTTTGTTCTTCTTTAATTCGCAACGACAGTCATACATGTAATAATGGGTGTTGTTGCTCTTCCCTCACTTATACCATCCATAAACACCTTTTTCCCTTTATTCTCTCTCTCTCTCCCTCTCTCTCTCTTCCTACTCCCCCCTTTCATTCTCACTCATATTTTGCGATGCAACTATCAAAAAAATCTCACACTGATTGTCATTTTCTTTTACTCATATATTTTTTTCATCATTTTATTGCTAATTTTAGAATCTGGAGGAGAAAGACAAAAAACAGCAATTTCAAAGGGAACAATTGGTTCGGGAACAGCGATATCTTTTACGGCGTCTAGATCAACTCCAAGAGCATCTAAGGAACAGTACAAGCACGCACAGAATTCGAAGTATTAGTGAATCCAGTTCTGGCATCTCTTCCGCTTCCAATTCACCGACTTCTGAAGTTGGTGAGTACAAAACCTCTCCGACTCTTTCTCCGTACTTATTTTCTCCATTGGAATTGACACAACGTTGACGAGCTCTCAATCTATCTAATTTATCTCCTCCTCTTCCTCTCTCTCCCTCTCCCTCTCTCCGTTCTCCGTTCTCCTTTTTTCCAGATCCCTCCTAATCCTCCTACTCTTACTTTTTGTTTTTATTTATACTACAAAACCACATTTATACATATATACATATATATATAATATATTATTAATATAAATACAACTTCAAATTTAATTATCTAATTTTCTTTATTAGAAGAATGAATTATTTGGGAAAAAGTAAAGATTGAACTTTAAGAAGAAAGAAAAAAGAGAAAAAATTGTCAAATTGATTCTTGTAAAACACTTCACACAAAAAAATGAAATGAAAGTTAATCAATCCAAACTCACCAAAACAAACACCTTGTCAAGAACGAAAAGAAATCAAAGCATGTTATGTTTACATTTTTCGCACTAAATTTCGAGGTTTCCTCATTTTCTTTCTTCTTGCTTGTCATGTAATGTCATCGTTGTCCTCTATTTTCACCCTCACAGCATTTAAATCTTAATAGTTGTTAATTTTTCAGTTCGCCAATTAAATGCAATTTCTATCTCTTTCTCTCTCTCTTTTTTATCTCGGTATTTTCCCTTTCTCTTATCTCTTTCTCTTCTCTCATTCTCTTCTCTCATTCTCTTCTCTCATTCTCTTCTCTCATTCTCTTCTCTTCTCTCACTCTCTCTTTTCTGGCTTTCGTTTTTTGTCTCATCATTTGCAACATTACCATAATCATCTTAACCATCATCATCATCGTCATCATCATGTGGATCTCCTGCTATTACTTAAACTAACTACTATTGCTCATATTGCTAAAAAATGTACCACTTTGATGTTTATTTTGGGTAACAACGTTTATGAAAATTACAGAAAAACTGTCGTATTTTTGTCAAGACTGATGATGAATAAGGAAAACTATCCATCGTGATAGGAGTTGAGGATTGATAAAAGCAGAATCAACACAAAGATTATAAATATATTATATAAACAACGCAAGAAGCAAGAAACCAGCACCGCCATCATCATCAGTATCAACAACTTTATTACAACAAAACAAAACAAAACATCAACATCAATCAACAATTTTAACAGGACAAGTCCAAGAATTGCTTTTACAGTTTTCTTCATCTTTTCTCCCTCTTATCAATATCTCTCTTCATCTACCTTTGCCAACTCTTACTTTCTCTCTCCTACCCTTTAACGGAAATAAAAGGTATCAAGGATGCCCAAAGCAAAATTATACAAAAAACACACATCCAACCATCAACAGCGAAAGCACACTCAGTGAGCAGCGTTGAACACAAAACATACGTTAAAGGGAAATCATCATGAAGCAAATGAAGAAGGACTTTGGATAAATTATATATAAATATATTTAAAGAAGGAAAATCGTCAAGAAAACTACAAAACAACAACAACAAAAAAACACTTATTACTATCAACAAAAGGCATAGCAAACAGAGAGAGGGAGAAATGGAGCGTTTAAAAAGTGACGAAGGAAAAGACTGACTTCCTCGTGAGTTACTCAGGAAAAAAAGAGTTATCGACGTTATTTATGGTTATACTTTTTAAGTCAACGTTATTTAATTTAATCAACACCCAGTCAAATTATCCAGATTGATCCTGATGATGACGGTGGCTTTATATTTTAATCCACATTTTGAAAAATCATTTCATCACAAAATAACAAAGCACAAACAAAAAAAACAAGATTTTAGGAGAAATGCATCAACAAAATCAACATTCAAAAAAAGCAAAAAATCGCAAGATGAAGAAAACACCAAAAACATGTTCAATGTATTTAATCTCACTGTTCTTCTCATCATTCTCATTCACACGCTTACATTAGTTTTCTGGTAAACTAGGCACTTTCATCAACTTATTATTTGAGTGTCCCATTTTTATTTGTGCTGTGTATCATAGTCATTACCATCACCAACGCCATTAACATCATCAAATTACAAAGCTTACAACAAACCAAGCATCGATGACATCGCTTAACCTGAACATTTTACCAACAAGAACGTCGATATTTCCTCTTTTTTTTCGCATTATGCAAACACTTCATTCTCTCTCGTTTTATTGTCTTTCTTTTCTCTCTCTCTTCTCTCTCTCTGTCTTTCTTAAATATCAAAATTCCTTTATTATAATCTATTTCTCTTTCTCTTCTTACTTTCACTCGCTATTTCTCTTTCTTCTCTGTGTCTATCGCTCATCTCATGCCAAGATCATTGTAATTATGTGTACTTTCTCGTTTAGGAGCAAAAAACGAAAAAAACCAACAAAGTCCTCAGTTTCGATTGAACGTAAACTGCTGGACGACACCCACAATCAATTTGAAATTTTCTTGCCTCCCCCATTTATTTACTCATCGCTGAAATACAATGATGATGACTTCTGAAACATTTATTCACGCTTTTTTGAATAACATGTTTTCAATCTCACATCAACGTCATCATTATTATGTATCATCAACATTATCATCTCTAAAAAAGACAACATCAACAACAACTTTAGTTAACATCAAACATGAATTTCGTTATTTTACTTTACCTTTTCTTTTACTGCTGCTGTTAGTTGTTTATGGATCAACTATTAGTTTTTTGTTGTTATATTTGTTGATTGTTTCAGCTTAAAAGCTAACCTTGGGCCTAAATTAATCATTGGCGCGATCAGATAAACGTGAACAGGTCGAGTTAAAGACCACTAAAAACATGAGTTTGATCATCTTTTCCTCTCATCTTGGCGTTTGCATGTTTCTCTCGAAAAAGATGAAGAAAAAGGTTTCTTTTATATCATCATCGTCATCTTTTTCATCTCTTTTCATCATAATCATAACATCAACATCTTGTTTCTTCCTCTCCTCTTCATGTTGTGTTTCAGTGGGGTGTAAACTGTTTCGCTGCTTACACTAATTGAGGGTATAAGCAAAAAAGATTACTTGATTGTTTTGTTTTCTTCTTCTGAGGTTCAAAGAAAAGAATATGATGATGATAATGATGATGATGATGATAAAGAAGATAATCTCAAATGAACAAAGCAAATCAAAAAAGAGTCAAAGAAGGAAGGAAGGAAGGAAAACGTTTAAATAGCTGGTAACATGACAACCAGAATCATGGAAACTGAGAATAAGAAGCTGAAGGAAAGCAAGAAAACTGGTAATGATGATAATGATGATGATGAAGAAGAAGAAGATAAAGAAACCGATTGAATGTTGATCTATGAGCGAGGAAAATCGGTGAACATCAATTTTTTTCCAATGTGCATCTCAAATTAATTGGAAATAACCAGAAAATTTCAGCCAATTTGTGTACTTGATTGTGCTTTGTTAATTATCAGATTGGTATTGTTTCTTATCGTATGATTGAAGAGTGTTAACAAATGAACGCAATATTCAAGTTCAGAAGCGTGTTTCCAGTGATTAACCGATTCATTTGATTATCATTGGCATTTATTTTTGTCATTGTTTTAATTATATCTTTTGCTTTCTCTCTCCTCCTTCATGTTAACCACGAGCTAAAAATTGCATATTTTATAACAACTGGTAAAATTGGCAATTGGATTTGATTAGAGTAAATCAAGAGAATAGGTTAAAACCAGGGAAAAATTGTGATCAAAATAATTGATTTGACAACAAATTGGTGGCTCTAAATCGGAGGTTCAATCACTTATCTTTATTAAATCTATTTAAATGTAAACTCAAATTACCCTGACAATTAACTTTGCATGTGAATTTCTCACAATTAAAAATAATAGCTGGAAATAGTGAAAGATACAGAAGAAGCTCAATTTTGTTGAAAAATGTGAACATATTAACTGATAGCATCTGACAAGGTTGATTGTTGGACATTATTGACAAGCTAATGTCTAACAATTGACTGTTTAATCGATGAAAAATTAACATTTCTGCTTTTCCATGAAACTCTCAACCTGAAATCTGGTTTCACTAATGTCAATCTCAATGTTTACTTGAGCTAATTGTCAATCTTGACAATGGTAATAATTTAATTTTAAAACTTACCTTTCAAAGCTATTGACAATTGTTGAAGCAAATTTTGAACAATCAAAGCTTTGAATGTCAAGTAAACATAAAAGTCAACCTAAAAATATTAACTGTTGAATTAATTACGTTGTGCATTTAAATGTTGATTTTATTGTCCTTTTTCCGTTGCCTTTAATAATACATATGAACATAAATTATGATTACTCAAATAGCGATGATTAGAGCAGTTGTAGATCAAACGGAAAATGATAATTACAATGTTCATTTCACTGGAAATGATAGTTTTGTAAAACAATAATCATGATAATGGTGATGTTGACCTTTTTGTCTGTTAAATTGTCATTTTTAGTGGTTAACATAATTTCTTGGTTTAAAGGAAGATCATGAGAACAATAAAACATAATATTTCCTCTGATTAAATCAATTGATTGTTGATGAAATTTACTTTTTAATTTAATTCAATTTTTGCCATCTTTTCGTCGCCAACCAAGTGATTGAATCTCATCTGATTAAAGACCATTTTGATCAATTAGGATCAGGTTTAAAGCTGGTTAATACAATTGTATTTTAATTTCACTTCTCATGAATATAATTTTACAATGAAGGTTAAAAGTGGGTTTTAGGCATTAAAGTTAATTATGACACAGTCAAAGACAATTTAAAGATGTTCAAATCAGCTAAAGGTAAGTGCAGAATTAAATTTAATTGTTATAAATGAATGTGTTTTATGTACAAAAGTATGTTTTTAAAAATGGAAAGTAAAGAAGCAAAAAATAGATATTTTAAAACCCAAAAAATCCCTTGAAATTTACAATATTTTACAATGTGATTTCATTGAATGATCAATGGTTTGGTTAGGAGTTGAAAGGTTCAATAAAATCATATGATTTGGTTATCATTTTCTGGTTGTGTGTAAGCCAACAAAAACTAGACTCTTTACCAGTAAAACGATGTGACCAAATTTAAGACTTGGCAGCATAAGATTCTGAATCTGGTTTGTCAGATGATTGACTAAAAGATTCGATGAGTTTATATCCTGGTCCACTGATTCCAGATTCAGGAATATACTTTGAATCATCGCCTCCTTTGGCGGAATAACTGTGGATTGATTTATGTCCCCAGCCGTGATCGTTTCCATGATCGCCCCAACCATGTCCATGGTGTCCATGATCATGCCATCCATGGTGATGGTGACCGTGATGGTGTCCGTGATCATGTCCATGATGGTGACCCTGCAGTGTCAAAGTGAAAAGAACATTAGATTTTGGAAAGAAAAGGAAACCAATTAAAAGCTTATTACGTGTTTGTGTCCATGTCCATGTTTATGGGAATGCCAATTGTCGTGTTTGTGATCGTGTCCATGCCAATGGTCGTGACCGTGTTTATGACCATGCTTGTGATCGTGCCCGTGCCAATGGTCGTGTTTATGCCCGTGTCCGTGTTTATGCCCCTTGAGTTAAAAGTGAAAAGATTTTTGTTTAAAATTAATTTGTTTCTTCAATGTTGATTAGTTGCTAAAATGAGAAAGTCATCGTTTTGGGTTCATCTTCAAAGCTTGCGTTTAAATGCGAATTGAATCTGACAGAAGCTAATTGTTGGAAGCAATAATCAAATTATGATTAGCTCGATTGATGACAAATATTAGACAATTATTTTCCAATTTAAAATTGAATTTGGATTTTAACAAATTGATTTATTTCGTTTGGAAAAATGTTGCTCTTGCAGACTTTTTTGCTAACCCAATGTTGGATGGTAAAACGGTTTACGCTTGTTTGACTTTCTCCCATTCAACATGTTTCCCTGATCAACATGAGATATTATCAGTTGAATAAATGAATCACATTTAATAATAGCTGATGCCAATAAACTCATGTGATCAAAGTAAGGTAAACATGAAACAATAAAAGATAAGAATTGAAAGCAAATTAAATAACAGATTAAATGTAATCAACATTTCAGTCTCTCAATAAGACTGGTTTAACCTTTCAATAACTTACATGATGATGACCGTGATCGTGTTTATGTCCATGACTGTGATGGTGACCATGATGATGATCCTGATAAAAAGATGAGTTAATAGAATTAGAAAAAAAGTGAAAAAAATCGAAAGTAAAATGATGGAAATAAGTGCAACAAATCTTTAGCCAATTTATCAATAAACAGTTAACTTGCGATTTAAAAGATTGATTGGAATAAAATTGATATAATTGAATCTTTGATTAACCCCAATTTGCCAATAATTAGCAATAAATGTTAAAACCTTGCCAAGAGCATCAGGTTTGAGGGCATCAACAAAGGCTGTTGATTCACTGACAACTTACATGTTTGTGTCCATGACCATGTTTGTGACCCTGTTGATGGACAAATAAAGTAATCAACAATGAAAATTGAGGGACAATTTTTTCGGACAACTTATTATTGTCTACTTACATGATGATGACCGTGATCATGTCCATGCTTGTGTCCATGTGAATGCCAAGCTTCGTGTTTATGTCCCTGAATCAATTGAATAATATGATCAACATTTTCTTCTAACATCAAAATGACTTCAACTTACATGATGATGACCATGTTTGTGTCCCTGTTGATGGAAGAAAGCAATTGTTAGATTTTTCGTGTTTACAATTCAATTGGTCATTTAACTTACATGATGATGTCCGTGTTTGTGGCCCTAAAGATGAAAGTGTTTTGAATTAAACGAAAATGAATTAAAAATGGGAAAAATGAAATTCCTATTGAAATCAATAATGTTATTGAATGGCTTTTGCCATTTTTTTATATCAAATGTTAACATAATTTCAAGTCTTTTTTTCAGGGTAAGCTTTCATGATGTGATGAGCATAAATGGCAGTTTCATTTAACTCTAGAAAGTGAAAATTTTGGGTGAAAACGAAGCAAAATGCAAGTGCTAAAAAAACCTCAACAACGAAGATTGATTATGGTCATTAATGTCAAAAAGATAATCTAATTATCTGATAAAAATGGTTGAGTTAGAAGAAAGTTTTCTCAGTTAAAATTTTCAATCAGATTAACATGCAGTTTAAACAAATTAAAAACAATCAGTAAATCAATGAGCTGAATATTAACAAGGTAAATAACAATCAAAATGATGGTGATAAGTTGAATGATTTTGACTGATGTGATCAGCATACAAATGGAATGGCAAATAAACCCAAGAAATCTCAATCACTCACTTGAGGTACTTTAAGGTTAAACTAAATGATCAATCTTGTAAATTAACTTATCAACAATCAAAGTTTCCAAAAATTTACAAAATTTCTTAACTAAATCAGGTCAAATAACAAATTGCTAATCATTTCAATCTTTGCATTTAAAACTTGAATTCGGTTCAAGACTTTCTAGAAATAAAGAATGAGATGCAAAAAAATATTCATCATTTCAGCTAATTTTGCAAATTTTGCCTTCTAATTGAGATGAATTAACTTGAACTTTTTTTGTGATTGTTGGTTAAAATGCAAAATCTAATTCAATTTTGAATCATTTGTAATCTAAGAATTGGTGTTGGTCAAATTGAGCAAAAAGATTTGAGCAAAATCCGTTTGCGCTAAGAAGATTTGAGCAAATTTTGCTCAAAAATTGTTGATAATTTTCAGAAATCATTCTTAAATTTTAGATCATTCAAGATCCTACAAAAAATATATCATATTATTTTTGTAATCGATAATAACATCTAATGAATGGTCAAAATCAATAGAACTGTCGATAAACTGAAAAAAGTGTTAAAACGATGGTGTGTACCAACAATTTTTATCGACGAATGATAAGTTTAAGCTCTGACTTTTACGGCCACAGAAAGCAGTCGATCTAACTGAAAATCGAAGTGATCGGCTGTACATTTTTTGATTTTTCATCGAAATTTACATTTTTAATTGAGTTTGATGAAAAATCTGCTTCCATAATTGAACAAAAGCCGGTGAAAGTTTCAAATTTGATCTCGATTATGACGAAAACTAAACCTGAGTTTAAAATTGTGTTTGCTCTAATCAGTTTTGCTCTTGAATGTCTTAGCGCAAAAGGTTTTTGCTCAAAGCTCTTTGCTCAAAATAACCCAAATCTAAGAATTAACTCATCGATTCGATAAAATTTTACCAAACCAGAAACTCTGAGATCAGGTAAAGTCTTTTTAGGTAAAAATGACTCGAAATTTGTAAGTCAACATTTGAAGATATTTTGGAATCTCTTTTGATTTCAATGAGAAAAGAAATTTGATTTTCGGACTTACATGGTCGTGAACATGATGAGCAATCATCTTTGAATGATGATGGTGATGATGATGATGATGAACGACTTCCTGGCGAATCAAAGAAAATTACATTTAAATATTGAATTAGATTTGGGTTTGGGTTTGGGTTGAGTTTTGGATGAACAATTGAATGACTATTAACCTCTTTACATCCATGTCCATGTCCACCGCCATGACCACCCCAGCCATGATGACCCCATCCATGTGAAGCTGAAGGTTGTAAGGCTTGGGTTAAAGTGTTCATCTCAAAAAGGCCATTTTTAGGTTCAACTTCGGGACTTATGGCTTTAACCAGAGCAGTCAAGGGATCACCAAAGGTTGCATCAACAATGAACACTGAGCACAAAATGAAAGCCAACAGTTTCATGGTTAATATTAACTGTTAACGCAAATTGAAAAATCGGTGTAAATCCTTCAACACTTGAACATGCACCGTTGATGAGGTTAAAACGGCAAAAGCCAAGCTTTGATTGAAATCCTGTAACTGATCAAATGAAGTGTCAAACCTGCAAAACTGAAATGAATCAATGAGATTATCACCAATCGGGTTATATATACTTTCGGTTGACATCGGGTCACTTTGCTGGTAACAATTAACATTAAAAATAATGTGAATGAAAAAAAGGTTAACAACAGCAACAACAAACGAAAGTAACTTCCGAAAAATGTCACCTTTTTTTAGGGTTAAATCGGTTTTTTTGGAGACAAAAAACACCTTTTTTCTTGCAGATGAAAAAAGCTTTTCTTATTTTTGTTTGCGTTCATTTCGTGTGTTTTTCTGGGTTCGCATTTTTTCAATCCATGCAATTGAATTGTTGATCAACTTCTCAATCAACTTGAACACAAAAGATACTCAGATGTTCAACTTTAGTTACACTTTTTGATTCACATTTATTATTATCATTATTAATGTTACCTTTAATCATAATTATAAGTCTTGAAAAAATGGCTCCAATGAATAACAATTACTTCATTTGGTAAAAATTCACTTTTCTCAATCAAGTGAAAGTAAAGTGTTCAAATATCTGGAATATTGTCATCAATTTTTCCCTTTTTTCATCAAATTTCATCAATTCCATCAACCTTTTCATTGCAATTTATTTAATTACATTTTTCACCTTAAATTTAAATTCCAAAGTTCCAACATTTTAATTGAATTATTTGAGCTTTTGCTTTCCATTCCCATGCAAAGGTTACTTTTAATTGTTTCAATTCAATTTACTTTCAAAAGTTAATTAAGTTTAGTTAAAATGGTCAATCACATTGATCAACATGTTTCTAAATTAATCCTCATCACGATAAGTAGTCATTGAAAAATTGGTTTCGAGTAAATTAATTGATTAAGTTGTTAATTATATCAGGCTTGGGTCAATATAATGTTTTTCATTGTTCATTTCATTCAATCTTTTTATAACTTGTTACGTTCCTTCATCCATTTGTATTAATACATTTCATCGAAATCAATCCTTTAAAGTGTTGATTTGTGAACAACAATCAGCTAAAAAATGCTGCAAATTTCAAATTAAACGTTAAACCAGATTCTCATCCCGTTTTTTGTCTCCTTTTATTGGCTGTTTCACAGCTGAGAGTTCAAAGTTAAAGCCTGAAAATTAGCTTCATTTTCAGGATAATGCTATAATTGTTGAATATATATTTTTGTTAATTGTTGTTTTTACGCTGCTCCTGTCAATCTGAACATGATCATCATCAATCTGTTGACAAGCAAGTTACTCCAGTCACAATGTTAATGTCAACAGGTTTTTAAGTTTAATTTCCCATCAAATGTGTGTTCACTTTCATTTTGTGTCTTCAACAATCAGCTAATTTCTTTGGTTTCCATTGATTTGAATCTGTAAATAGATGAAAATATGGATCAGTTGGGTGTTTAAAATCAGTCTGTGATTAAAATCATCTGTAGACAACATTATTAAGATTGTATTCAATTTAACCTGTCAATGATTATCTAAACTCTTTTAAATGTTCACAATTGAAGTCAATTTAATCCTTTTCAATCGTTATTGTTGAATTAAATTAATCTGTGTGTTGAATTTGAAACTCTCATTGTTTGGTTTATTGAAGGAGAGGTTTAGATTTATCAATTTGTTACATTTACCATTATCCAAGTTAATATTAACTTATGTGTTAATGATGATTGGAAATTAATATATTAGTTGATTGTGTGCAAGGTTTCATTTGATGTAATTACACATGTTTTAATGTAAATATGAATGCATCTAGATGTGTATATATTTTTTCATCCTTTGTTGATTTGAATTGTTAATGATTAAATCCGATGTTTTTGATTACAGGGTTCAATTTAAGGGAATAAGATTAAAATAGAATCAAATTAAGATTGGAAATAAGGTTTCTCTTCCTTCGGTTGCACTTATTCTTGAACCAAAAGCTGCGACTTGAAGCAAACCTAAAGAGAGAGAGAGAGACAAAAATATCAATTAAACTGGTTTTACTTCAATCTTTCATCAAAATCTATGTCTTTGTACACAGCCAGTAATCAAAATAAACAGTCAATAGCAATTAAAATCAAATCCAAATGAAATTAAAATTGTCAATAGATTGGTCTCATTTTTCACGCAAGTCTGGCCACAGCACAAAAAAAAGGTCAATTTTGTAGTAAATTAATACTATTGACTTTTGTGTTTCTCATTTGTTTCATGTTTTATATATTTTAAAAATATAAAGCTAAAGGTAACAAATCTGTTGACAAGTTGATAATGTTTCATTGTTTACATTGAATTAACAGGCGAAAAAAGACAAAATTAACAATAATCATAACAATAATGATAAAGGGTGACAAAAAGTACCAATAAATTGAGAGTCAAATCAAGTCTCTAAAAACCAACAATAGATGAACACAAAAAATCAGATAAGCTGACTGAAATTGAGAGTGAAAGTCTGTTTATTATTGTAAATTATAAAAAAATGTCAACAATAAAATAACAGTGTTAAGAGAAAAAAAAGTCAAACTTTCGCAAGAAAGCGTTGACCCAATGCTTTGGTTAATCAAACGGTACACACTTGACAAGGTTGAATTGGTCAAGATGTTGATTGATGTAAGGCTCAGTGGAGACCTGGTACTATTCCTTATGTCAATTGTAAATTACAAACATGAAAAAAACTATAAATGGTGAAAAAATTGTACAACCTTGTGAAAAAAAGCTGAAAAATAATCCAATGAAGACGCCATTTACATGTTATTATAGCTGTAAATGATCTGCATAATGGGAAAGGTTAAACACAGTTGAAAGTTGCACCAGAATGGAGGCTGTTTTCACAATCAAATATTCATAATTGATAAGTTGGTAAATATTATAATAATCAGAAGGTAAATGAAATTCGAGTTGAAATATTAAAAGATATTACTCATTAAAAATTATCGAAACGCATAATTAACATCTGATTGATGTAAGTCAACTTTAAGAAACGAGAGGGAGGGAGCTGCGAAAATTGATTTTCATTGGTCAATGTGTTCATTACCGGGTTAATTAAATGTGATTTAGTTTAATTTATTAATTTAACTATTGTAATTTTTTATTTTTATTTAATCTTTGTAACACCTTTGTGTTTTCCTCGACCTTAGTCTCTGCCGTTTAGTGGTACATTGTACGAGTTACGCTCAATTTATCGAGAGTAACCGTTTGTTGAGCGGTTCCCTTATTCCCGTAATTGGGTGAAAAGACAGTAAATTTGGCGCTTTTGTAATCCTTCTTTATGTCACACATGTTAAATCATTTATAATTGATCGCCATAATTTAGCAATTGTTTCTTTCAACTTAGTAATTAATGTTAATGAAATTTATTCAATACTATGTATGTGTCATCTTCCTTGGCCATTTTTTTCGCTTTATGATTATGATTTGCATGATTAAGTCCCAATTAACAACTTATGTTCCGTTTTCTCTGTTTGGTTCGCCTTGACTTACACTTTTTCTTGTTTTTGTGTGTTCTTATGCTTTCTCTCTGACTCTTTACCCTCACTTAACATTGATACATTGAATCTAATTCAACTAATTCATCTTACTCAAGATTTATTCCTACATGCTTGATTTAATTGTTACCCTAATGGTGATTATCAACGGCGATGATCTTTGAACGACTGAGAAATTTCAACAACACTGTCAATGGGAAACAGCAACGCTTCAAATTGCGCGTAGTGTTAATTGAAGACATTCAGGCGATGATTACACGAAGTAATTAAAACTGCTAATCGTTTATTAATAATTATTTAATTGTTCTTTTTGATAAAGCTATTAGCTTAATATTCCATGTTAGCTGATTTATTTTGACCTTTTTCCTTATTTACCATTAGATAAACTCACTTGGCTACGAAGATTCAGATCTGTTGGATCGAAATGGTGACTGGTCAATCATTATAAACCTAACGAAATATGATACAAAATATTATGCAAACTATGGTCAGAATGTAAGTCAATCTTGAAATTTGTGGTGTCCATTCGATGAATAACTTTCCATGGAACATGTTGGAACATTTTCTGCAAGTTTGAAACTTTCTCCTACAAGATTAACTTAAAAATTTCAACCGAGTTATCTTTGATTTTTAATTAATGAACATTGTAAGTAATATTGGAAACTTGAAGCCAGAAAACTTAACAAATATTGTTGATAGATACTAATTATGTATTCATACAATTTCATGGTTATAATAATCATTTATTAACTTTTAATTAATCTAGAAAATGATTTAGCAATGAAACTTGATAGAATACAGGTTTTCAGATTTTTTTGTTTGTTTTTCATTTCATATCAATTCTGACTTGTAGATAATCATTATGTAGAGTTCATTATTTTGTTTAAGATTAATTACGGAGCTGATAGTTCTTAAAGTGATTTGATGAATGTGCACTTTCAAATATTTACGATCCAGCAATTTTATTTTTTGGTGAAATTGAAAAAAAATTTAAGTTGATTTGGTTGTAAATTTCTTGTATGCTAATCGGCGATCAAAGCTAATATTAAGTGAATTTCCAAATGCATTAAGTTCATTGAAGCGCTTTTTTGCTGGTTCATTATGATTACTTTATACTAATACAATAGTCGATCGGTAGTCGGAAGATTACTTTGCATTTAAGGAAAAAGTACATTTTATCGTTTACTTTGTTTTCATTGTAACCCGATTAACATGTCATTCACCATTTTTCTTAAGGTTACTCTTCTTCTTTTTTACCCATCTGCTTTTTGCTCATTTACTGAATCAAATTCTTAACTTTATTCCATCTGCTTCTTCCTTTTTTAGATGTTTTGTTTTGTATCATCATCACAACTTTACCACCAATGGCGATCTGAATCAACAAAATTGTGCATCACTTCTCAACTTGATTAACAATGGCCGGATGAGCTTGGAATCATAATCGTTAATTATGCGTTAATACGCCAATTAAAATATCATCATACATTTACAATTCATATCAATTGATAATTGATAATTGTAGGTTATTGGAATCATCATAATCATCATCAGCATTACTGATTAGGAAGATGGAGTGAAGGAGGAAAAAGAGGCAAGTTGCAAGAAAAAAGAAAGTTGAAACAGTAAAGAAACCATCAATTTGTTGAAATCCAGATTTAATCAAAGGTAATAATGATAATGCTAATAACGTTACTCCCTTACATTGTTCAACTAACATGTATATGAACTTCCCTAAAGGATTTGTTGGTAAAAATAATTCTCGTCTTTTTTTTACCTGCAATTATTTCTCCCAGTTAAATCAAGTTAGATTGTAGGTAGGGAAGAACAACACTTTAATTATCATCATAAAAACGTTTTTTTTCTATTAGTTGAATAGGCCAGAACGGAGAAGAACCAGTAAAATAAGATGATAATAAAGAACGAAGAAGGAGAAAGTCAACCAACCAAGCAACCAGCGAACCAACAAAAAAAGATTATTTCATTATCAACACAGCGTAGGACAACTCCCACAATAAATTAGATAATTACATTTACTCTCCACATCAGCATAACCTCTGACGATTTACGGTCACTAATCAAACGTGTCTGAACGCGAGGATCGTCCTCATTCAAATATTCAAACTCTTCCTCAATGTGCTTACAACTTGGCCTTTTCTGGTTATTATTCTTACCATTTTCCTTCAAGATTTACTGGGATAATCAATGGCACGATTGGATTTATTGTGTGCATGTGTATGGTCGGTTTGAGTATTTATTTGCAAAATTGAAATGTTTGCATGAAAGTTTCATTTAAACGCGCGTGAATTGCTTTTTAAGCTAATTATGGTTCAGATGGTATTAATTTTTTTTCTTTGCATTTCTTTTTCTTCTTTCAAAACCAGAGAAACCTTCAAACTGGAAAGCGGTCAAGAGATTTAGGGATGGAGAAAAGCTAATCATGATATTGATGCTAAAAGTGATAGTTGCAAGAATCTGATGATAAAAGAAGAAGAACAAAAAAAATGTTGAAAAAGATTTGGTAAAACTGAAAAGCAAAGAAAAGAAGAAGAAGAAGAAAAAAATAAAAGAAGAAAGTAACTCAAATCCTGTTCTGGTTAATCAAACAAGTAATGATGTAAAGAATTGATGAAGATAAGATGACCAATTGGAAAGATTGATGGGGTTGAGAGATGATTGTTTGTTTTGCTCTTAAATATTATGACAGTAATCTATGCCTGTTGATAATTGAGTGAATCTAATTTCATTTAAATTAGTAATCTTCAATATGATTCTCGATTCATCAAGCATCCCGGTAAACAAACAAAACAAATCATAACTTGATTTTTTCAACATTTTCACCATTTACTGATCTCTTTCTTGCTCTCTTGCTCAACTGCAGAAACCAAATAATGAGGATAAACCTTATATGGAAACGTAAATGATGATGGTGATGATGAAACTTTTTTTTACCAAAACAAGATCAAATGAAAGTGAATTCTGATCAGGAAAAGGTGGAAAGTCAACTTGAAAGAAACCCATTTATGGAAATGAAATTGATTATAAATATTGCAGCATCGAAGGTCGCTTTACTCGATGCAATTGTGTTCACCAGTTTCGTCTCGTTGCTCTCTTTCCATATCAAAATGCCCACTTAAAGATTTTCATCAATTTATGATTATCATCATCATAATTATCAGTTCTGGTTTTGATGGATTTCAAATGGTAAAGAATGATGACGATAATAACAAATAAGTTTTTTTGTCAAAACTCTCATGAACAAATTGGTCCAAGGTTAGACTGGAGATAAAATTGGATCCATTATATCTCAGTTTGATACTTTGTTGCTGAAAAAGGTTGCCATTCGTATATAAGACTCTGAATTAAGAATGAGAATCTTGTTTTACTTTTTCTTGGTCACAGTAATCATTACTTCAGCATTTACTTTCCTCTTTTTTACTATTTTTCAAGAGTTCTTGTGTTTCCCTTGACTTCAGCCAATTGATGGTATAAATTTTGAACAATTTATCTCTATTCTCTCTTCTCTTCTCTTTTTTACTCTTCTCTTCTGATTAAATAGTAATATTGGGTATTTGATTGGTTGAGAGGTTACTACAAATTGTTCAATTTGTTACCTGTAATATCAGTTTAACCATGGGAGAGATGCTTTAATAACAGGAAGGTGAAGATGGATTCAATGATGATGAAAAAACAACAACAAGTAAAAACAACAAGTCCAATGGTGATAATAATTTTATTATTATCAACAAAAGAGTTTCATTGTTTCTGGTTTCTCAATTATCATTGAGTTTTGAAAGATGGTTTTGCAGCAAGTTTTTTAAGTTATCACTTGCAACGTTGCCATTATTTTACTTTACACAATCAATGATGAAAACGATGGTAAGCAAAAATGATTATATTGAATATTGACGGAAGTTGAGGATGTTTAATGAAGATGAGTAGTGAAGAGTGTAAAAGAAGAGCTAAGATGATGAGAAGCCTCTCAAAATGGTAAAAAAAGAGTGAAAGAGCGATGAAGAAGCTGAAATTTAAAAGATGAAACAAGCTAAATGGTTGAACATTATAAAGACTCAATCAACAAAATTGACGAACATAAATAAGTTTAAAAAGCTGACATAAGAAGAAGAATTGAAAGAAATTGAGAGTGAGCAATCATCATCAACATCATGTGAAGAGAGTTGAATATATGAGAGAATGACAAGGAAGATGAAGAAGAAGAAGAAAAATGAAGAAGCTACTACTTTTACTGACCTTCCAATGACCTTTTTTTTCTTTTCTTTTCTCTTAATAGATTTCTCTGGTTAAAATGGTTGCTTTATGCTTTTAACCTGAAAGATTTAACAAAATATACATAATTTTTGAATGATGATTCCCACTCGTTGTTGACTCGCTGGTGCTTCGGTTGTTGACCTTAACTTACATGAGATCAGGTATGACAACTTACTGGACCTGACAGGTATTACAGGGTATAAAGATGTTGAGGGATGAAGTGAAGGAGAGAAACAAGGGTAAAAAGCAGGAGGAGGAGGAGGATGTTAGGGGATAACTCATGATAAAGGAAAAAAAAGTTAGGTGTAATCAAAGAAGAAGGGCGCAGAGTTTTCTTCATCGAAATGACCCTTGAAACAATCTCCTCCTACTCTCTTTCTTTCTCTCTTTCGCTCAGTATCATCATTATCATCATCAACATTGTAACATTGAACAAAAACCTCGTTACAAGGTAAATGTTGATAGTGACGGTTCTCGCTTAGTCTCTCTTCTCTTTCTCTCTTCTCTTTCTCTCTTCTCTTTCTCTCTTCTCTTTCTCTCTTCTCTTTCTCTTTTCTGTATTAGTAATACTTGAAGAGTCATTGACTTGAGAGAAAGAGGATGATGATGATGATGATGATGGCATTGGTGAGCCTGATGTTACTGAGAAGAGATGAAGAGTCTTCTAAGTTGCTTAAGTTAATCCTCAACTAACAGGTAGCTTATCTGTGAATCTTTCTTTCTCTGGTGAATTAAATCATTTTTGGGTTATTATAAATATATATTTATATAAATAATTAATCTTAATTTTTCACTCTTTTTTTTCTCACTTATTTTCACTCTCTTCACAGATGATTAATGGGTAAATCAACCATGAGGATATCAACATCGCCATCAACATCAAAATCATCATCGGCGTCATCAATTGTTACTCTTTAATCTTTAAGTGAATCTTTAGCAACAGTGAATTATGGTCTGTTTGTGTGTTATATATGGAAAGAGAACAGAAACAGAACCAGATTTAGTTCTTTCTAATTTCAGTATTTTGACAGTATAATTGTCATTTATTTCACCTTGATAATCAAGCAAATTACTTTTCGTTTGTCTGCAATTTTATTGTTATTTGATTGTCACTTGCTTGTTGGCGGTCAATTAATTTGATTGCAACGCTTTTGATTCTGTCTCTTTTTTTCACTTTTCACTTGTGATTCTGTTGCAAAAATTGAATTTAACGACTAGTTAATTAATTCAATTGAATGATTAACAGTTTAGAGATGAGCAAACCCGGAGAAAAGGGAAGAACAGATAAGAGCAAAAATCTGGTTTACCTGTAATTGGCCTGGAAAGAGTTAAACGCCAGATCAGTATTTTTGTTACTTTTTTTCTTGCAAGATGCTGCTGATGACTACTATTAACATGATGAAGATGATTACTATTTGGGTTATTGTTATTGTTATTACCTTGTAAGAATTTAAAAGAGTCCAACTGAACGAAGATGAACGGAACCCAGCGTAGCGAAAAGTCAAATTGTTTCCAACGCAATTGACTGTACAAACTGTTGGTGCGCATTTTACATTACATTTTTAATTAATGCTAATAGACAAAATTCCTATCAGAGTGTACTATTCAAGCACCTTTCTCATGCAACTTCATGACTTAAAAACGATAAATTGCTTGAATAGTTGCATTGTGTATTAGATTTACATCTAAATGATTAATTGAGTGAAAGTTAATTTTTGATTAACACGTTTTAAAATCCCCATAAAGAAGGCTTAAAATGATAAATAGCAAGTCGAGTGAAAAGATTGAAAATTATGATTCGGAATACAATCGATTTAGCTTTTATTTATTATCAAAGAATGTGATAATTTGTATTGGAATGGATTAAGGTAAAGAGTTAAACATAACTAGAGATGTTGTTGATTCGTGATCATTTAACAATAATAATGAAAGAGTTAAACAGTTTATAATAACCTACAAAAATGAATTGAAATGAAACTCGCTATCAATTGAAATTGTTACTGAAATGAGAGACTTGTTTTGATAGGATCATTATGATGGTTCCGTGTTGATAAGTTATAAAGGAATCAAAATTATCATCTCTTCATCGTGCCTTTGTCTGAGCAAATTAATATTTAATTGTTAATTTATGTTTGCTGATGCATTATCTTTTCGCGTTACATTATCATTTTAAAGTATCAAAATCGAAGCATTGAAAGCAGCAAACCAGTAGATGTTGTGTTAAAGAAGCAAAAGGTCAACATCAGTTATTATCACCATTTAGTTGCACTGTTTAACATCATGATTACAAATTGAATATGATTTGATTGATTCCATACTTGAGGCTGTATTTGTCAGGTTTTTTTAATTTCATGATAAATATCCATAGTAAAGGCCTTTATAGTAATCAGAGAATGTTCATTGAGATATAATCATGTACAATTATCGTCTTCAGCTTCACCATAATCTTGCTTTTTCATAGTTACTTTCCATAACAAATAACCATTTATTCTCGTGTCAATCGTGTGTTTGTTTCTAAAACTCTGTTATCTCACAAATCAATTCATTATTCCACCTAATTGACATCTCAAACTTAATCACGGTATCATTTTGTACTCTAATGTCATTGCATTTGACTGATTACATGTTAGAAGAAGAGGGATGAATACTAAATGGAAACAGAGAAGAGATGAAAAACTGAATAAACAAGTCGAAACAACGCTTTCGTCAGAGACTATTGTTGTCAGCCATAGCAATTAGTAAAATAATGAAATCGGGTTTCAACATATTCATATAGCGAAAACAATTTAGACAGATGAAGTAAACTCCGTTCTGGTGTCCATTCACCTTTTTTTCAATGTATGAAAAAATCTTTTCTTTACTCTCCTTAACCTTTTTCTTCCATTTGAACAAGAGTTACTAGAAAAAAAAGGAAAAAAGGGAAAATAAGTTAAAAATGAGAGAGGAGGGAGAGAGATAAAGAATGAATGATGATGATGAAGAAAGGGAAGATAGAAATAAATAGCTATGAGTCCATTGGGTGTGCGCTGAATCAACAAACCATGAAAGGCTATTACCAGAAGCACGGAGTCAAACCTTAAATCGACTTTCACCTAACAATGCTACTGCTGCTTAACCTTACAACGCCTCATTAGGAAACATTCATTTCACCACTGACAGCTAGATGCATGAAAAACCATCATCAGTATCAATATAGCAACAGTGCCAACATCATAAAGCAATAAGAGAGGATCATGGTAAAAGGTAACCTGGGGTCTGACTCAATTCAGTTAAGCTAACAGGGAAAAGAAAGGAAAGAAGAAGAAGAAGGTTAGCGAATAAGATCAACGCAAAAATATAATAAAATAACAGATTGTACTTACTATTATCCACAAAAGAGGAGAGTGCCAACAAAAGCAGGAATAACAGGTCATCTCTATCTTCATCATTATCAACCTCAATGTCAACAATATCGTTAATCAGCAAGGGAAGAGAAGAGAAGAGAGAAAAAGGAAAGAGAGAGAAGAGAGAAGAGAGAAGAAATAAAAAAGATGATTGAGGCTACACGGGTTGAGGTTATATGTACACAAAGATACTATCCGATATCTGTATCTGATACCACCAATAATAACTAAATTTTTCGTTTAATGAAACGAAAAGCCTTAATCTGAAGTTAGAACAAGAATTTTTGAGCATTTTAATGATGTTGATGAATTGAAGAAAGGATTTAAATGAAAATTTAATAATGGATTAAACTGATCTCAAATCATTCTAACAGATATCTGTTTCAAATTTTGCGGTAAAAAAATTGCACTCGTTCAAGTTTCTAGAAACAAAAAATTTATCAAAACTAGAAACGAACCCTGACCATAACCTTTGATTTCGCTACACTCTAACCACTGAGCTATGAATTAATTTTCAAATATTGATTGAACTTATTAAGTGTATTGTTTAAGCAGGCATTGTTAAATGAAGTCAATACGTTAAACTCATCCCTCTGGCGTTAAGGTACATTAATGTATGCATTCTTTGAGTGGGATTTAATAAAAATTGATCAAAAAATTAACTTTTAATCAATTATTAAACTATTATTTGAATCTTTCCATTCAACATCATTATGTGTACGGTTAACTTAATAGTTAAAGATACACAGATTTGTGTACATATAACCTGTTCCGGCTACACGAGACTCACAAATAACCACGTGTGAATCCTCTTTTTATCTGTCATCTCCTTCATCAGGCTTTATTAAGCTTTCCTCTTTCTTTCGGTTAAAAAAGAGAGAAATGGAAGACAAATCAGCGATCAGCAGAAAGGTGGTTCCTCCACGGGTTTTGTTTCTCATCATATCTTTAATTTGGGGTTTCCATTACTCGTGATGAATCTTGATCAACACACATTTTGTTTCATCACTACTTTATAATCACCATGAGAAGTAAACCAAACAAAAGAATAAATGGCGCCAAGTTGAAAAAACAGCATGTTGATGACAATTATCGTCAATTGGCTGTTGTTGAGTTTAAACAAAAGGTTAGTTAATTAATTAAACAAGCAACCTGAACAGGAGGGACACTATTTTTGAAGGAAAGGATGGGTGTTGTGAGGATAATAAAAATTAAATCTTCATTTCCTACTTCTCAAGAATCAAACAAATTGTCTATTTGTCTTTGCAGCTTCAATCACATTGTGTTAACACAAAGCACATGTTAATGTGTAAATCTTTACCTTTTTTATCCACAACAAAACGATTTATTCTAATGATATTTATCCAATTTCTATTTAATATTCCTCCCTAGCTGTGCTAATTTTACGGAAGTATTCATATACATTACACGTCCTTGAATCACCTTAATTATTATCCACATAACGGCTACCAACAATCACCATTTCTCTGTTTATTGTGCCTTCAATTCACTCTCGGTAAGTCTCTATACTCCTTCCCTTTGATTCCAATAATTAATTTATACAATTTTTCTTCATTGCGCTATCACAGTGGTTTGCCATAGACAGTCCAATGGTCGCTATTAGGTCGTTGTCTTTGTTACTTTTACTCGCTTGGTATCAATTTTGGTCGCTCTGTGATTCCCCTTCAGTTGGGTTCTCATGTTACTTGGAAAAGACTCAGGCTTGACAGTTAACTGGGCTGCACTTTTGTCTTACACGTTACAGATCCGTTACAGATCAATTTGCATGCAAACATAATGAACAAAAGCGCTGTGTGAGTAAGTTGATACACCAATTTGAATAATAACACTAGCAAATGTTTAACAATACTTACATTTACCTCACGCAACCAGGAATGGGACATCAATTCGAGGAAAATACCCAGCGATCCGGACGACGACCTCTTGGAAAGTTATTAAAGATTTCGTTGACTACCAATTTGTTCACAAATGTTTAAAATCACAGTCAGATCCGGTTTGGTTTGAAAGATCACACCTGATTATGTTCCTTATAACTTTATGGTAAATCAACAAGTAAAACTTACATGTCAGATATAAGTGGAGATCTCATAAAAGGTACAATTTTACGACTAGACTTGAAAATTGCAATTGTTTTAAATTTTGATGTTCCAACTACAACAACTCAGCTATTATAATTCACCTTAATTTAGCTGAAAATTTTCCTCTTTAATAGCATTACATAATGTTTCTCTAAATGCAATTCAGCTCGTTAAAAAAGCCCAACTAGTCTTCCTTGAAAAACAGCAATCATATTGAAGATCCAATTGCTTCTTCAATTCTTTCCTTTTCAATTGTTTTCAAGTTTTAATCAACAACATGGCTAACATTCATCGTTAACTATTTCAATGTTAAAGATATCTTGTTACCATACAACTGTAATTTGATACAAACAGACAATCAAGGATGACATTAATTGTTGTGTTTTTGCAAGTTTCTCTGTTTTCTTTTGGGTTAATTGTTATACATTAGTAAGTGATAAGCAATCACATCTAATGATACTGGATCATCTATACATACAAAGTAACTAAATTGAATCATGTATGCTAATTGTTTCTCAATGTTTGCTTTAAATAATCAAACGATTCTTCAAAATTACCGTTGAAAAATAAGCAAATCTTTGTTAAACTAAATGAGTAGCTAATGAGTTGTGTGTCGTCTCGTTGTTTAATTAACTTATCAGCCGATTAGAAAGCCAATGACACTGTAAATAATAGCTTCGTATATATATCATTACAATACTCATAATTATTTATTTATTCCTTATTTAATTGTTACTCTTTTCTCTTTTTCTTTGCGTTTTTTGACAGAGTCACCCAAAAGTGAAGGAAAGATTGACCAACTAAGCAATTACTTTCATGCAAAATATCAGTTGATTTGGTTTACGCAAATGAAATGGTAGTTAACTAAATTAATGCTGCTTCTTTCAAGTATTAATTACAAGCTTTTTGTTTAATGATCATCAGGAGTGAGGTGATAATACAGCAGAAGAAGAGGAAAAATGAATCAATGTGCAGATGCAACTAGCATAACCATGCTGTTAAAATTTTGAAGGCAACAATACAAACCATGCTTGTTGGATAATCATTCTGGAAACGATACAAACTCTGGCCATTGAAACAGGTTTCTTTTTTTCTTCTTTTCATCTTACATGTTTAAAATAAACCAAACAAAGCATCATCATCATCATAACCCGTCAAATTCAATCAGTGTTGATCAATGTTGATTGATATTTGTTTTTCTCCTTCTCTCGGTCTGCTTGATTCAAATGTAACATAAAACGCATTAGGTGAGTTCATAAAAAAACGTATATTTACTCCAATTCCATGTTTACAATATCTGATCTTTCCTATTATTCCTGCTTTTTTAAAATAACTTTCAGATTTTTTTTCTTCTTTCCTTTCTCATTAAGCTGACAGTCAAAAAGGGGAAGTATTATTTCCATCCTTTCACTTTCCATGTATTTGAACAACCTGTCATATAAGCCCAATGAACTGACTTCAAGAGTTGATCGTTATTGTAATTGTAATGAACCTGTGTTATTTAACCAGGATTGTTAACATGCAGATGAAGGAAAAGGCGAAGAAAAATCAGGATAAAGTGTGAAAACCACTAGAAACAAAACTGAAAACAGTCGATGGCACTTTAGATAATACTTCATCATTAAATTATCTGGACATCTGATTGTGATCAGGTCAATTCTGCCAATTACCGATGCTAAATGTGTTAAATGGTGCTGATGAACATGGATAGCAAATGAATTGAAACAAGTGTTAATAGTTTTTGCTGGTTCTGTGAATTTCTTAATGATTTGGAATGAAAAGCGAAAACCCCAAATTCGACGACTGATATGATTTCAAATATAACATTGGGGCTATAAAAATGTCCAGAAAGGAATCACCTGGGCTGTTGGGATGATTGCTGATCTTACCTTATCTAATTGTGGCTCGCAATTTGGCAAAGCAATGTGAGAAAGTTGTTGCGATAAGAAAAAAAATTTCCAAACTTACATGATAACAAGCTGAGTCTCCAAGTTTTTTCAGTTAAAGACTCAAAAAGAAACGTAAAGAGGGAAGAAAGGAAAAGATAATTTGAACGGAGGAAACAGAAGGAGGTTCACGAAACGGAAAGAAAGCGATCAGGATGGTGAAGGAGGAAAAGCAGGGGAAAATAAAGGATCTTGAGGATGATGATGGTAATCAAAAGAGATCTCGTTAACGTCGGCAAATAGTCAAGAGTTATTTTTCTTAATGGTTTCAAAACAGTTAAGAATTTTTAACCAACATGATGATGATGATGGAGGTGATGTTGAAAATGGTTAAAATGGAAATAGTTAGGTGTTGAAAAAACTCAGCATCATCTGGAACTAGATAAGACAGGTCATCATACAATTGATGCTGTTTTTATTTCCTTTTTTTACCTTCAATCCTTACCATTTTTGACGATCTCTTTATTCATCATTTCACCATCATCTTGTTTTACCCTTTTTTTCATCACAATAGCTTGCACCTATTATCTATTAGCTACTATTTAATAGCTTGGTAAAGCTAAAAATTGAGAATCTAGAAAATTATTATGAAAATTTATCAGCGTTTTAAAAAAGGCCATTTTCCTTTTATGCATTTTATTGAAAAAAAGGTAAAATAGTTCTTGCATTAGCCAACACTAACCTGAAATATCAGACTAATTTCAATTTTTCCATTTTCTATTGTATTTTATTTACAGATTTTGATTGTTAACTTGTCCATTTAAAATTTGAAATAGCTGGAGATATTGATTGAGCAGATTGATCAAACATGGGGCAAACAATGCTTATATAAAATCAAGATTTCATTTTACCTTCTACCATTAATTCATGACTGGGAAATTTATTGTAAATTCAAATTGTAAAAATCAATGTCATTCGCAAATAGGTTGATGTGTTTGAAATGATCTGATTTCTATGAGTAAAATGAATAAATAGTCATTAATTTGAATCCAATTAACGTTTTTGCTGCAAAGTTTAATCAGTGTATTATTCATTTTCACACGGACCTTTTCAGTGTGACACCTTGAATGTAAATATTTGCCATTAAGATATAATACTCAGCAATTCCCTTTACATGGCTTTTCATTCAATTGTAACGGCTATATTGTTTCACAGTTTAATGATAATAGTTTTGGCTCAATAGCATTTCCATCCATTTTTACCTTTAATCATTTTTAGTCATGTAAATGAATGAAAATTTTGAATCATCAACTGATGCTAAATTTGTATCTTAACGTATTTTTGGAAATATGTAAATCTGGAATTAATTTTCCAATTAGACTTCATTTGATTGTTTTCTCTGTACTAAAAAATATCCATCTTTAGATAATGGAAAGATTGAGTTATTAGTGAAGTTTATGTAATATTCAGGTTTTGAATTTTGGTAATATTTTTTGACTTTTGTCCTGAAATCAATCAGTTTCAAGTAAAATAATTTGTTTGCATGAATCAATTGGATAGATCTCACACAAACTATAGTTAAATGGGTCTTTCATCCATAACAATTTACCTTCTGCAATCCTCTTCTTTTTCCTATTCATAATCTATTTCTCTATTACTTTCTATCTCTTCATGACAGAATGTCAATCAGCATTTTCTGACTGTTGAGTAGATGATTATTATTATTATATTTATCGTAAAACTGTTTGTTCCTTAAACCTTCGACTTTGCACATTTTCAATGAGATTCAAAAAACGATGTAATGATTTTCGTCCTCGCTAATTTGAAATGTACATCGTTCACTTTTCTATTTTTAATTTATTATAATTCACTTTTGTATACCGTTCTTATAATTTGATTTCTTGCCTCACAATCAACTCTGTTTAGATCTTGTTCAATTTTAAAATCATTTTAGCTTGGTTTAATTCAGTTTTACCAGAATATTAAAATTGAAAAAATGAAAACCTAAAAATAAACCACACCAGGATCGGTGAACAATTAACAAAGAAATCGGTTTTACTTATTAGCAATGTAAAAGTGGATTTTATAGCTTAAAATTATCCATTTAAAACTAATTATTTCTTCATTGACAATTGTTCTGACAGTGGCTAATCAAACGAAATTAGATCTTACTTTAAAAAAATTACATTGAATTTGGTTAAAAGGTGTAAGGAAAATTGAATGTTGCCTTAATTTTGGAAGTGAACTTGTGTTATTGTTTTTTCAATAAACTGAAACTTGGTTGCTTCTTTAAGAATAAATTGGATGACAAGAGAGAAGACAAAATGAGCATGATAATAAAAATAATGATGATTAGGATGATATTGGATGAAATGCCAAGAAATTTTCTTACAAATATAAAGTAAAGAAAAAAAGAGGAGCAAAGATTTTAACAGATGTAGTTTTAAGATGAAAGGAGAACAATTAATTAAATTAACGTCACATGTTAATTGATTGAAATTGATTAACAAGTATTTTTCACATCATTTTTCAACTTCGACGATGGAAATGCAGAAAAATTGGCAGAAATTGTTTCTTTTTTCGATACAGAACCTTGCATAAGAAAGACAAGAAATGAAAAATTTAAATTTATAATTGATAGATCGGTAATGAAATCCTGGAAAGAGTTAACAGGGAATTATCATTGAAATATTCCAATTGATTGATCCAGCTTTTCACTCTCTTTTCAATGACTAAACTGAAATCCAATTTTACATAAAAGCATAAAGGTAGCATAAAGGTTTAAGCTGCGATTCATTGTGAACCTGTGTCAATCTTTTTCCTGTCTTCAGATGAAGATGTCAAGGATGAGTTTGATGTTGAACTTCCAGGCGATTTTTCCCTCCTTCATTATTTTCATCATCGCCATCATCGGATTGATTATCACCTAAAAGCTCTATCCATTGATCTTCAATTCGAGCTGACTGGGAACGCATGATAAGTCCAAAGAAGTCTTCACTAATTGGTTTACTTGGTCCAGTCGGGCCAACTGCATTTGAATTCGAAACCGTTGCTGATCTATGCCGAGCAAAATTGGCTCGAGCTGAAGATGATGAGGTGGTTGGAGAAGGACTAAGGAAGAAGTAGAAGTAGTTAAATATTTTCTGGTGTTGATGAGGTTTGAGACCCAAAAAGATCTGAAAAGTTAAACGTTGATCCTCAAGGCGACTTGAATGGCATTTCATGAGTTGTTCAAAGAAATCAACGTCAGGCAAAATATTGGCACGAGAAAGTGGTGCTCTTTGTTCATCGGCGACTTTGAAGGTTGCAATCATGTCTAACAATTTATCTCTTGCGTTACTTGAATCTGAGCTTCCATACGCTGATGACAAAGATGCTGATCCTGAAGACGAGGTTGGACGATTGTTGGAACCAAAGCTAATCGGATTTGAACCTCTCCGACCATTTGTAACAATGTTACCATTAGTTGTGCTCCTAGCTATTGTTGCTGCTCTATTAATTAATCGATTTGATCTTGAAGATGACTCGACTGTTATAGGGTGACAATGTTGAGCCTGATTTGATGTTACAATCATGAAACAAACACTTGGACCAAGTTTTTCTTATTAAATGATCTTTGTAAGATTGAAGAACACCCACGCAAAATGAAACATATTCAATAATTTTAAGCATCTGGGATAATTAAATTACCAATTATTGAACACTGCTTGAAGGAATTAGAATTAACAGATTCAATCGAGAGGATCTTTGATTTGAATGCAAAGTCTATCAATATGGAAAAAGTTCACTGTTTAACTTTTAAGTTGAAAATAAAAATATAATTATCCTCAAAACACTTACAGCCCAACATTAATACTTTTAATAATTTAAACGTTTAAAATTATCTTTTGATAAAGACGAAAAATACATGGAGATTGACTAAAATCAGAGATACTCATTCAGATTATATTAAATTTTTAAAATTATTGAGTGATTTTTCATTTTTAAATGGATTTTCATGCATTACTAACACCACTGCATTTCGACCAAGTTGGTAACTTTGGTTTCCTGTATTTTTTCATTTTAATTATGGACTTTTTCAATGTAAATTGACTGTAAAATTAAGTTGATGACGTTACAATGGTAGAATGACAAGATGAATTGAATCTGATGAAATGAATTAAGCTCATTAAACCTTGGAACATTTTGTTCTTTCGTCATCAGATACAGAGCTTTTCCTACTGCTCACGGACTGTGGATAGGACGGCAAATTGTTTCTATTTGGATGGCGATATTGATTATTACCAGGTGGAAGTACAAATCGTTGATCTTCTATTCTGGCAGACTGAAAGCGCATTATTAAACTGAAGAAATCTTCGTCAGGTAAAGTTGATCCTCGGGAGTTACCGTTTGACGTTTGAGATGAAATTCGAGAAGGATGACGATTAGTTTGATTAGTTACATTAGATGATCTTGATCTATCGTTAGAACGCAAAGATCGTCGAGTAGTATAATTATTGAGCGATGTCTCTCGGTTATTCGAATTGAGTGTTGGAGGTAAGACGCATCTTTGATCTTCTAATCGGCTAGATTGGCACCTGATTAATTGTTCAATGAAATCATCATCAGGTGGTAAACTTGATGAAGTTGTTGTTGGAAGTTGAGTATTACGATTTCCATTTGATGAACCATGATTACTATAACGTTCAGAACTATGCTGCCTGGTCATGGTTGAGCCATTTGAACCTAGTAAATTGAAAATAAAATGAAAACGTTACTAAGAATGTAAGCTGGAAAATCAGAGAAATCACAAAACTAAAACAATGGCGAATTGATTAATTTCATGATTGATAATATTCATATTAATTGATTATATCACAATAATTTAGCCATTGAGTAAAGAAGAGTGACTACTTGGTTTGATAGTTGTAGATCCAATTGATTCAGATGCATTGAGTTCTAACTTGGTTACAACAACAAATTTTTAGGTTTAGGTTTAAAAGATTAGGTTAAGGTCGACCATTAGCTAGCCTAAAGAGCCTATCAGACTAACGGGTACGATTTTGAAAACCATAAACTCACCTGAATAATAATCAGATCCATTTATCGTAAAACTGCGCTTCAAAAGCGGAGCTCTTTGTTCGTCAAATCTTCGACTTTGCATATTTTCAATTAGATTGAATAGATCATCGGGATTTTCGTTATTGTTTGCTATCAAATGAGTTGATTCTGAGGTTGAATAAGCGGAAGAGCCACTCTGTGAGTTACCCATAGAACGAGTGTTAGATGTAGTTGAATTATTACCACGTAGAGTGTTGGAGCGACTTTGAGAGCCATTGTTACTGTTTACATCGGGCTGGTTGTTGGTTGGAAGTGCAGAATTACTAATAGGGTTCTGTGTGCTTGTAGTTACAGCTCCTCTCTTGTATCGAGAGGATTTAGGCCTACAATTTTCTTTATTTTCCAATGGGTCAAAAGAACATCTTTGATCATTCATCCGTTTACCTTGAGATTTCACTAATAAATCGAGGAAATGATCTTCCTCTTCGCTTTTTATAGCTATGTTACCATTGGAAGCAATGTTACTTCGACTGCCACTAGCAACACTGTTATTGGTGCTTACACTTGGGATAAATATATCTTCATCTTGTTTGGACGGAGTTAATTTTAAAAGATTCATATTTTCCATGCTAAGTCTTTTGTTTTTGGGTCTCTCTGGTGTTTTTTCACTCTTATTTACAGTTGAAGATGAAATTCCCTCCTTATTCAATAAAAGTCGCAACTCAGAAATAGTCTTGGTAGCTGTTTCTTGTCCAATTTTATCACCAATTTTTTTGGACACATCGAGATGTTTGTAAGCAAAATTGAGAGCTTCTTTGTGGTTGCCAATGGAATTAAAAGCATTACTAAGACTCCAATAGGCTCGTCCTTCGCCAACTTGATCACTTAGTTCTTGGGCCAATTCAAGATGTTTAAGATGATAATCAATGGAGGTCTTGAAATCTCTCAGAAGAGTGTACGTGTTACCAAGACTGTAATATGCTTGAGCTTCCAAAACTTTATCTCGGAGTTCTTGGGCGATGATTAGTGTTTGTCTGAAATAAATAATGAATAATATTCAAAAATTAGTCAAAATTGTTTGAAAGAAATCAAATGAATAAAAGTGCAAGAAAGATTTTTATATCCACAGTGTTGTATTATACCGTACAAAAGTGGGAACAAATGTTCTTGTTCTGTACCATCCATTTCTTGCCTTAAAAGTTACCGACGAAAACAAATCAAAACAATTGTTTAAATCGAAGCAAAAAACCTTCTACATCCAGAATCAAAGTGTTGATTAATTCAACCTAAAACTCAACTATTGAAAAGCATCTTCCATCCGTTGAATCTTGATTTCCCAATGCTGAATTGCTATTCATAATCTTGAAATCTAAAAGATAGCGAGTTTTATTCAAACGAGCTTGATTAAACTCTAATTTTTGATCTTTGTATTTATGTATTCATCCTAAAGCAAATTCATTCTTAAATATATTGCTATAATCCTGACCAAAAGTGTTTATCAATTTAATTCAAGTCGAATGAATACGAACATTTTAATCTGATATATTACTCAAAAGCTTTCTCTTGACCGCAACAGAGATCTATTTTGTGTATCATAGAAACTGTGTGAACAATAAAACATGATTTATGATATTAAGCAGAATTTCTAATCTATGGTTGTTCTTATTTGAATCCATAAAAATCTTCACAAATATGGAACTAGAACAAAGAACCATTAAATACAGCTACAGAAATACGGAACAATACGAGACTGCAATTCAAAAAACAATACTCACTTGAAATTGTAAATAGCTTTTTCAAAATCCCAGAGAAAGATATGAGCGTTACCCAAATTACAATGAGCTCTCCTTTCAGCAGCTTTATCTTTGAATTCTTGAGCAATTCTTAATCTCTGATATAAAATAGGAATACGAAAATTAGAAAAATTGACCAATAACTAGAGAATTTTGATTATATAACTAATTAAACTTATTCATTAAATACCTCAGTGTGGTAATAAATAGCTTGATCAAAATTACCCAATAAATAATGGGTATTTCCAAGATTACCAAGAGCACGACCTTGAGCGGATTTGTCTCCAAGTTCAATCATCAATTGTAAATTTTTCTCATAATAATCGACAGCTTGAAGAAAACAGTTCTTCACATAATCGGGAAAGTCACCTGGGTCTTGAAAGCTATTGGATGCAAGATGTTTGCCTTTGGTGTGGTACACATTACCTAAATTATAGAGAGCGCGGCCCTCACCAACTTTATCATTCAAAGACCGAGATATTTGTAAATGTTTATCACAATAAATGGCAGCCTCTTCAAATTGACCCAACATTTTCAGAGTATTTCCTAAATTTCCACTGGCCTTTGCTTCACCGATGATGTCTTTCATTGACTTGGCTAGTTGAAGGTCCAAAGAGTGATAGTGCAAAGCAGTTTCATAATTTGATAAATAAAAATGAGCATTACCAATTTGACTGTAGATCGCAGAAAGTGTCTTTTTGTCGCTTGTACCAATGTTTATGGCAGCTTCAAAAAAGTTGATGCCACCTTCAAAATCACAACTTTTACATAATCTTTCACCTTCAAGGGCCAATTCAAGGCAAGTATTTGAAGTTGCTGAAACATTGGTGTTGGTCTGTAAATAAGTGAAAAGGTGAAGTTTTTTATAAGTCATTTTGTAAATGATACCTTAGGTAAAGATTTTGTAAAGACTTACCTGTGAGTTGTGGGAATTGGCCGCCATGATAGAAACAGCAGAAAAAGTAAAAAAAGTTATAGAAATAAATATTATAAATAATATTAGTAAAGTTTGTAAAAGTTTAGAGTCACAAATAATTAAAAAAACACCAAAGTTATAAAACAACAGAAAGTAATAATCCTACAATAACTGTCAGTGAGCAAATTCAAAAATATTTTAAACAAGGTAACAAAAAACAAAAACAACGGAGGAATCAAAACGGTTTCTTTCTTCCGCTTCGGTAACAGTTGACGAAAACCGTCGATAGATGGAGCCATTGACTCAACCACCAGTAAAACAGCGCGTTTTTATCGTCCTGATGATTGATCCTGATTAACCCAGAAAATTAATTAATTGTTATCCGAATTCAGCCCTAACCCCATGAAAACCTACACGGAAAACATAAAACAGTGTCCTTACAACAATCTAAACATTGAATCAACCCTTTATTTAGCCATCTATTAATGGTAAGAATTGTTTTTATTGAATTCAATTTAATTTTTAATATTACATGAGATTTCATTTTTATTTGAATTTTTTTGTGGTGTTTTCGTTTAAAAAGGGTTTAAAAGACAATCGGATGTCTTTCGATTGTGATCGGTCTTTTTTTATATTAATTACAATTAATTGATTAAAATTGTCTTTGATCCATAAACATCACCAAGTTGCTTGGATTGGAATGTAACAACAATATTGGATTCACCAGGACGTCTTGGTGTTAATTGCACGATATGAGAAATCTTTGTTTTCTTGTTGATATCAGGTATGGCAACCGTTTGAACCCGATTAACTAGACTGGTTCCCTCAACGGTTAATTTACAATTGGTTAAGATAACATTCAATGGATTAGTTATCTCAATGGCAAGATTGAAAGGAACTCCGACCGTTAATCCATGGCCAGAAGAGACGACAGTCAAAGCCAATGGAGGCTTTTCAACAGCAAAATCATCTTCTTCCGACCAAGTCTGAGATGTTTCCTTGACCGAGGCAACAGCATAAATCTTTAACATTGAATAATCAACCAGATAAGGCAAATATTCAGCGACCAAAATGTTGACCCGATGTTCGTAGACTGTAGAAGGAAGTAAAGAAGAGAAAGAAAGAAAAAAATTATTATCAAATAATGATGAAAACTTCAAACAATATCGAAAAAATTTTTCTTCTTATGCTCAATTGAAGAAGAAGAATCAATAAGAAGGAAAGGAAAAGATGAAGATTGAGATGAGAGACACAAATCTATTCTAAATCGTTGATACAACACATACAAAGAGGTAATAACAAAAGATTGAGAATCAAATAATGAACGAAAAAAACGTGTTAAGGTAACAATACAATAGCCATTCAATTACTGTTGCTTTTGACCGATGGACCATCATCATCGATATTGAATTGATAGAGAGAGTTTACTTTCCCTACTTGTTATCAATTGACATACACTATGGGGAGTAATTAACCTCCCATTGATTTTGACAATTAAACATGGTTATTTCCTAAATACAAGTTTGAATAACATTCCGTTAATGGGAACACAACAAAAAAAAGGTAAAAAGGTAAACAGTTTTACTGCACAGAGAGTCAAGTGTTTCTCATATTAAATGGTGATCTTCATGTTGATTGTACATGAAACGTTCCATGTTAACTGTGTTGAAAACAAAAAAATGTTTTAATTGTCGTTTAACTGTTACTGTATTAATGTCATTAAGATTTATGTTTCATTATTATTCTGAATTATCTGTTAAACTTTCATTTTTCATCTTCTTCTTTTTTTCCAATCATGTTTTAACTCAATACTATTATAGCCAACAGCATTTCTCTCGATTGCATGATAACAGTTACCAATCATGCAAAAATCAAAGTTAATCAAATGAAATGAATTTTTTTCTTCTCATTCTGTTCAAAGCTGATAATCTGACATCTAACCTTGAAAATTACTAAGTCTATTTGGTTAATTTTCATTGTTTCATTGAGAATCAAATCAAGTTTGGTAAACACACTCAACATGGTTAATCATTAAAACTGTGGGAAGAGTTGAATCTCTTGATGAACGCAAAGTGAACAATCATTAAATAATTCAAGATAAACCCAACGATTATTTGAATATTGTTGGGTTGATCAATTGAACCCATTATCTGACAGAAATATCTAACCTTGAAAATGATGATTAATTCCAAGTCTATGTATATTTTTGTTTCATTGGACAATCAAGTTTCTGACTAACCAAAAAAAGCAGCAACAATAAATTGAACATTTTAAACTTGATTCACTGGTCAACCCTTGAATTGTATTAAACTAATTCATGTCAGGCGGAAATAAAGGAATATTAAATTTCTCTCAAATTTTAACCACAAAAAATGGTAATAATAGTTGAAGATATGAAGAGATGAAGAGATGGAAGGAGAGATGAAAAAAAGTTATATTAAAAGTGTTATTATTATTTATGCTATTTAAACAAATAAACACGTTCAACGTTCAACTGATAGGTGAAAAGATCACCCTATTATATTCAGTTTGAAACCTATTACAACATTCAATACAATAATCTAATAATCTATCAACCGGAAATTATAATTTAGGTTAAATGTTATCACCCTTAAGGCCACTTGGATCTTCATTAAGATACATCTTTTTCAATATGAATCAACAAGTTGACCGCATTTATCTTACTCTCTTATCTTCCGGAACTCTCTCATTATCATTACATCATCCTTTTCTCATCTTCATCACGGTGTTCACCTTGAACTGACCATTGTTTACCAATGAAACAACAAAAGGGACAAAGGTAATAAAGAAGCTTCAAAGCTCATAGAAAGTTAATCTCAATGTTAATCATAAAGATGATCATAAAGATGAGACAATAACGATAAGAGTGTAAAAAAATGCCAAAATGACAATAACGATCAAGATGAGGGTTTTAATGTCAAACAAGGTTGTCTTCTTGGAAGGAAGACAATGAATGACTTTTTCAAGTGGCTAACATTGATTTAAAAAAGTAAATAAAGCTTACCTTTATTAGGGCCAATATCAATTTCCCGTCTCTCCGTTTTCACTTTGTGTGCCAATATTCCAGTATAGAAGACACTGTTGACGCTAACGGAGAGAGTAACGGTTCTCTTCATGGGGCTCTTGTTGTAAACTCGGACAACAATTGAGAAAGGATTTCCAATAGGAACGCGATCCAGTTTCTTCAGCTCGAATCTAATGTCTTCACGGTCTGGTTCGGGAATCTCAAAGAGATAAGCCAATCCACCGGCTCGAGCTGCATTCAAAACCGACATTCGTTCCTCGGCGGTTCCTTCCTTGTTCTTATATCTGTCCGTTATTTCCTCGGCATCTCGGGTATCGGGCAACTCTGAAATGTAGCCAACCTTTTTGGTTATTATTTTACGACCAACACTGTAAGAAAAAGAAAAGAAAGTCTAGATTAATAAGATTGATAAATTGAATCACAGAATGACCAGGAAAAAAAGGTTAAAGGAAAATCAAAATGGTCAAGAAGGAAAATGATGATAAGGTGAAGACAAGAAAGAGGATAAAAAGGATAAAGAAAATGATGAAAGAAAAGATTGAATTGAGGAAAAAAAAGAAAGCAACTGAAAAACTGAGAGAAGATAAATTAATGATGAGTTATTAACAGCTATTGATTGAGTGAAAGTTAATAGTTGAATTGAAATTTTTCACGAAAATTAATCTTAGTCCAAGATTATTAAGATGAGAGGGAAAAAAGAGTTACTTGAAAAAATTTTGGCGAAAAAATTGTGATAACAAAAGATTCCCAATAAAAATTGGTTAACAGTTAAAAGATTGTTAAAAGTTTAAAGTTATTAACAATTTAACTGTGATCATCAGTAGATATTAAGTAGCAATGGAAGCAACATTTGATTGATTCAATTAAATTACTATATTTGATTAGAATTGATTAAAATGGAAGAAGAAAATTAAACTTTTGCAAAAATTGAAATGAACAACGAAATGATCATTACACCTTCAATAATCATAACCATTTAATTTAATTTTATATCAAAATATAATATAAATACATAATAAACTTGTTTTTTTTCATTTATCCTGACTATTCTAATTGAAGTTTTCAATTCACAAATAACAGCATTTTTATCTTGTTCATCATTTTTTCATGAATTAAGTTCCAAGTGGGGAAGACAATCATATTGAGACAATCAAATGTTCAATCACCAAGTTTAGAATCAGTGAAAAGATTTGTTCTATTGACCGGAATCGGAATTACATTTACATCTTTACTCAATCTGAATATACTTCCTGATTGAGTTGAAGCCAAAAAAGGTTGACTTGAGCCTTGATAAACTAATTGTTACCAACTCATCAAAACAAAGAGCTGTCATCATCATTGTAATACTTTAAATAATCAACAGTTAAACCTCATTCATCATTTAGATACATCATTCACCTTTATCATTAATCTTCAATCAACAGCAATTTAAAGATCAATTTCGCATGTTAATCAACTCATCTATTATTTACTTTGTCGAGCTATTTGTAGCAATTGAACAAGTTGATCAATTAATTGCCACTGATGAAAGTGATGCTGGTGAATGAAACAATTGAGGTAACAATGAAAGGAGTTTTTATGGTCATCATGATAATAGCAAGTTATCATGAAACTCGTCAAAGTGTATTTCTGAATAAATTGCTTTTTCCAATTGTTACCTTACAATCATTTTAACTTAATTTGCTCATCAATTTAAAATTAGTAACAATTGAAAGAAACATTTAGATTGGTAAAGATCAGGAAATCAAACAATTAGATATAAATTGATGATCGCCAGCAAAATTCCTTGTCCATTAACAAATGATAATTTCAGTGAAATCTTTCAGTAATTGGTGGAATGATCGAGGTCAAGGTCATTTTGAATATATTTAAATTAAATTGTCATTTTTTCAAACCATTTGATTGCTTTAATTACAGAATCAATCAAATGGATTCAAGTTGAAAAGCAATGTTAGTCTCAGTTTAATCTCATTTTATGTACTTTCTCTTGACAGGAATTTGAAAAAACTCAAAATAATCATTTCAATTGATTAGCTAATTATATAAATAATCAAATGATTTTCTTGGTTTTTTCCAAAAATATCAAGTTTCACCTTGATTTTAAAATATTAGCTGAAAAATCAAAACAAACTATTAATTGAAACCCACAGTTTTTCAGGTAAACAGAAGCTAATAAGGTTTTAGCTTTTTTTTGTTTGTTTACCCAAATAATCAACGAGGTGGTTAATTGCGGTGATTATTGTCATCACCATGTGGCTAACCATGAGCTATGGATTCGCAATTTGATTAATCATTTATCGATAACCTTACATTCCGTCTGTCAGAATTCGTTAGTTGAATATAAACTTTCATGGGTTGATCAATGAATTTGAGTTTTGGTGAAAATTGTAAACTGTTTGAAGGTAAATTGAATAAGTTAGTAGGAAAGGGAACTAATTTACCTTGTAATCAATAAGAAAATGAAAATTTTCACTAATTTTGTTTAATTTTTTGTTTTCTGTTTATTTCAGGCAATAACAATTACTATGAAATGATAATAATAAAAATTAGTAAACAAAATATATTCACAATTAACCGGTTGCTTTGAAAAAATAATATTCAATTGAATTGGTAAAACATGATCAACCTCACAATGAGTGTTATCAGTTCAAGGTTCAGAAGCATCTTCAATGCCATCTTCAGCAATTAAATGTTTAGTTAAACATTTAATTTCCAAAAATTATCAATTTGCAAATTTAATTAAATATTGCATCAGTTGTAATCAAGTAAGGACAATGTTTTTTACCCAAAAAAAACATGAGATAGAACATGGAATTAGGTGAAAATTGAATCTCAGATTTTGGCTCATTTTAGACACAATTGGTTCAATTGTGTGTTCAAGACACAAGATGATCTAATGGTTACTCTGCCATTTATCAGATCATATTTGATGATTAACATTTAAATTGAAACTGGGATTGTCTGTGATATCACAGCTGATGTAATTTTAATCTACAATTAACTACAAGATTTGGACAAGGTCAGTTAATTACAGATGTAATGATAAGTTATTTAATCATGTTGATCTTCATTATGATCATCAGTAAAAGTGAAAAGCTAAAGATATAATTACAAGTATAACAATTAAGGAAGAATCAAAGATTGTATATTTATGAGAAAATGAGTTTGTTATAAAACAAAGTTGATTAATAGTCAACCAATTTTGCCTTTAATTATCATGATAATAGATTGCAATCTGTAAATGATCAAAAAATTGGATGATATCATTAACGTTGGTTAACGGAAAAGGAAAGTTAAGCTAATCACGAATTTAAAATTAACATTTTCTAATCAAAGTTACATGAGACAATTGTTAACAATTACGAGTCTACATATTACGATTAAGAAATTGTTTGATCGCAATTAAACGTAAATTTGTTATCAATTTATTCATTTGTTGGTTTTGTTTCAAATGAAAGTTTCAAAAATTTGAAGAGTCAATATTTGAAACGATTGATGAGGATGACAATAATGTCAATGATTACAACTGGATTTAGTCATCTTTCTAGGTAATTAGATATTGATGTCAAGAGACAATCATCTCAAGTGATGAAAAGCGGAAATTATGATGATCTAATCATCTGTTCTGGTCAATTATAATTAATGTTTACTTTGGTTTGTCTGATTGTTTGGTTCAGTTTTCATTGTAAGTGTAATTGTTTACAATTTGAAAACTTTGCTTCTTCTAATTGAAAATGACTACCTTGAGAAATTACAACCATTTAAACATGTAATATAAACTAATTGTAATCAAAATCAATCACAATTATCATTTTTCTTATTAGGACATGTTGATAATTTGGTTGAACAGCAACAATTAATAAAAAAAGTATTGAATGGTCAGAAGCTTGAAGGTCAGCGAAATGAATCTCATAAACTGTAAGGTAAATAACATTGAAAACAATTAACAGACTAAACATGATTTGGTAAATGGCAGCAAAAGTCAAACTAATGGTTCTTTAATGATGAATATTAATTTGTCAGAAAAAAATTGTTTAGTTGATTTAATTATTGAGAAATTGATTTTCAGAGTTCAGCTGATTTTGTTCAATATTGATCAGAATCGCTGATTAAATACACAATCGGTATTCAAGTTCATGCTGTAATGTGTATTGAGATGAGAAGAAAAAAAGAGTCAACATTGGTTCAATTGTAAATAATAAGAATGGACACTTAAGCTAATTATTGACAATCAAAGGTTGATTGTGTTTAACTAAGGCGTCAAGATGAACAGTGAAAGGTTAATATGAGTTAATATGATTTAATATGATTTAATAGGGTTGGATAATTGAAATGGTTAGTGGCCATTTAACTATATCTTTTGGGAAAAAACGATGAATGACTCAAATAAAGCAGCATTTGTTTCCCATCAATGTTGTTAATAATTATCAAAAGAATTAACATCCTACAGAAATGTAAATGTTAATAAGAGACAGTTAATTCTATGTAATCGGAAAACCATGAATTCGTCATGAGAGTACTTCACTAAGGGAATATCACTTCAATCCTGAACGCCTCTTCCCAAAGATGATGATGATGATGATGTTGATGAAAAAGTAAGGTAAGTTAATAATGGAAGCTTATTAAGAGTTTTTGGTGAGGAAGGAAAAAAGAAGTCGTTGAATCAGGAGAAACCTTGAATGAAGAGAAAAGTTCTGGCGAAATGGAGACTCGCCCATTCCACTTCCATTTTTATCCCTGTTCTAAAGAAAGCCATCTTCAACATTGGTATGCTCAACATATTAGCCGAGGACACTCTATACGTCAAGGAAAATCCCAATCTTTTAAGACAACAGTTAAAGGTAATCTAATGTTTGAAATGGACTGAACACGATTCATCATTATTATCAAATGCCTTCCCTAATCATAGTCTTTAGACTTGAATAATAATAGTTATTCAAATATTACGTATTAACCCATGTCAAGAGTGGAAATTTTACTCACTGATGTTGATTGGTCATCATCTTTTTCCACCCTAATGGAGATGTTTCATCAAGCTTCCAGTGGACAAGGTCGGCATTCACTTCGGCAAAGACAAAAGGTGCATCATAGGAAAGGCCAATTTCACCACGACGAACTGCTTCCACCGAGGCTGGACCAGTTCGATATAGTCCTTCGGATGTTTCTTGGGGAGTTGCATCGATAACCTGCCACCCACCATAACCAGCTGGTAGGTCAGGTCTAGTCATCCAGGCGTCTGTCCATACATGGAAATTCCAGATTGAATCAGCATTGACATCAGTTATCGGTTGACCTTTGGCATCGAAAAATTTATCCACAGTCAATGAATCATCAGTGTCATGAGCTGAGACAAAGTTGGTCACTGTTCGAGCTGGAATACCAAGAGCTCGACAAACTGTTGTTGTTACTCCAGCAAAAACCCAACATTGGCCAAATTTAACGGGTTCACCATTAGTTTCATAATATTGCTCTAAAATGGGTGCACTTCCAGTCCAACTCCATGGTGGAGTACCACTTTTATAATCACCAGACCAATTACCAACCAAAAGTCCATTGTCATCATGACTGTTGACCTAAAAAATCAATTTGAAAATAATCATTAAATGCTTGGAAAATTGAGAAACATTGAAAAATTTCAGAGCAAGTGTCTAACAAACCTTCAGTCAAATAAACTAGTTTTCACCATTTTATATTTTTTTCACGCAGGTGAATGGGATTAGCTTAATTTTACCCTTCAATGTCTCAATAAATCAATGTAAATTTAATCAAGTTTAAATTGTTTTAAATGGATAGGAAGCAAAAGGTATCAAAAGTTAATTTATATGACTGTACTTTACCTAGTAATCAAACCAACAATTAGACAGGAATATATTTTTTTATCTCAATGATTAACAGTACTAGCCATGGTCAGGTTCACAAAAAATGGCTTGTACTGATAAAGTTACATAAAATGACAGTGACTTGAATTTCAGAGTATCTCTTGCATTAAGATAGGAAACAAAAAACTTTACGACTAAATCAATTAAAATTAATAGTTTAATGTAAACAACTATTAAAGCCTGAATTCAGACCACATCAAGTAATTAACTGTGTTTTCAATCTGACACAAAATAACTTGAATTTTGACTGTTTAGAAGGTTGAAGTTGAAATATTTTTGATAACCACAAAAACTTACCATTTGTGCAATGGCTCGGACAACTTTAATGGGATTACTTCGGGCAGCATAGTCTAAATTGGTTTTACCCAACATGTACATAACAGCAGGTAGGACATCCCGGTTAAACTGTCCATAAATCCATTGTCTACCTTTGGGTTGATTATATGAACCAATGTATATTTTACCAATGTCCATCTGGACAAATTCGTGTTTCAAATCTTCCCTTTCCATGTAAACAGTGTCTAATTTAGACCAGGCATTAAACAGTATATAGATGTCTTCCCTTACATCGAATGACCGTATATTACGAGATCCATTTTGTTTCGTTGAGATACGTAGCTTCCAGGTCGACACAGCAGCTGTAGGTGGTACGTAAACCTCAATGAGAAGCTGATTGTCACTGACTGAAAGTATTTTGGCACGCCACTTATTAATATCCTTATTTTCTGGCGTATTAAGAGTTATTGGGAGATAAATTAACGTCCCTTTACCCAACTGGGGCCTTTTACCGTACATAAACTCCATCCGAATTTTATCTAATGAAGGTTTGTACGGTTTTATCAGACCAATGGTCATTCTGAAGGTTGCCCCTCTACGAATAATGAGAGGTGGAAAGTTGTTGTCAAGTAATTCAAACTTGCTTGTATCATGTTGCTTAGCATTTTGTCTCGCTAATAAGTCCACGGTATACACTTCATTGGGTTGAGGACCCACAGAGGAGGACGGAGCAGTTAATGAAAGTGATATGGATAACGATAATGAAATTAAAAAATTGGATAAAATGGGATTATGTGACACAGAATATAGAGGAAATGGAGAATAAACCGTGTCTCGTTGTAACAACATCACGGTTCTTCTCGGTTTGCACTCAGCTCAGCGAAAGTGAAAGTAATGAAACCTTTAAAAGCGAAAACATGAATAGTGAAAGACAGGTTGTGAAAGACAGGTTAGTGAAAGTAAAAGTACTGAAAACTTTTCACCGAATTCACTAATAGTAAAGAACAGGTTACTTTTACCTGTTGAGAACTTCTTTACGCATGTTAAGTCATAAGATCGAGTTACAGTTAACGCCATCTATTGCAGTTAGGAAACCTTATCTTCTTAAAGATGAAATAAACTTGAAGCCTTATTTCCTCAATCCTTAAAGGTTTTCAATAATTCCTATACAGTTGTTCATTTAATGAAATTTTCCTACTTTTTTACCTGCCAAATTTATGGGATTTGTTTGGCAGTCACTCTTAATCTATTGCCAAATTTGCCAGTTATGAGAATCGGGAAAAATTTGAAACCATTCTATTGAGGCAATTTAGTTTTAATTTGTTTTATTGACAAGTATACAAGGTGATAGAAACATTTGAAACATTTCAAATTGGAATCGCTCGTCAAGTCATTTTTTTTATTCAAATTCAATATCTTCTGGTTCTATTATCGTAATTTTGGGACACATGGAAAGCGATCCATTTTCAGGAAACATTACTAGAAGCCTGGTCAACCTATGGGAAAATTGACATTGAAAAAGACGGTTAATCTCCCATAGACTTAACATGTTAAACCCTTTACAATGTTTTCATTTTTTGTGCTTGCTCCTAAAATCAATGTGCGCTTTCTATGTGTCTCAAAATTACGATAATAGTGCCAAAAGATATTGAATTGAATCTTCTTTTTATAAAAGTGTAATTAAATTGCAAAACCTGATGTGTGATTGCAATTTGAAATGTTTCAAATGTCTTTTTCCTGCCACCCAGTAGTTTCAGCTGACCTTTTTGCTTTACATTCAACTTTATCATTATTTTGTTTTATGCTACTGTGTTCATCTTCATCGGCGTAACAACCACCTCAACCAATATAGCCATGAAAATTCACTATTATCATCTTCAACACCAGCTGCTTTTTTTGTGTGTGTACGATAATGATCATAGAGAAATGGGCAATGAAGCAACTGAAATGAAAATAATTATTGATATTAAACCTTGATTGATTGAAGGTGACTTCCATCAAATCTCAATTCCTCGAATCGAGACTAATTTTTTAAATTGAAAGAATCAAGGAAAGAAGATAAGAATGCGTGATGGCACACCACGTCTTATATAACGACATATTGAGATTTTTAATCTCAACAAATGGTTGATGCAAGTCACCTTGAATTGAAGCTACCTTGAAGGTGATAAAAAAGAAGCAAAAATGAAGGATGAAGAGGTTTGACATTGTTAGTATAGTACTGGAATCTTAATGCAAATGGTTCAAGGAGCTTACGAAGATACAATAAATTATATTCATCCATGTTTATAATGAATAGAGCTTCTACAAATCTAGACTTCACCTAAAAATGATTAGACCAAAATTTACTCTCTACCTTAGACTTGACCACTTTGGGAAAATTTCGGGCTTCAGGCCTATTAGATGCCAAAAGCGAGCCAAAGTCTAACATCAAGTCTAATTTAAGATTGAAAAACCCAGAAATCAAGATTTTGCCTAACGAAAGATTCATCTAAAATCAGTGGCTTCATCGATTCAATTTCAAACTCATTCGTTTTCTCGTGTTGCTGCAACAGAAAAGGTTTCTTCTGATGCTTGATGAAGCTAAACAAAAACGATGTTAGCCTGATGACCTTTCATGATCGATTGTCCAGTTTGAATTCAAAGCTAGACTAAAGGCTAAATGAGATGAGACTTTAGACATAAGAAGAGCTAATTTAAAGATTGACTTCAAAGGCTAATTTTGATTTTTTCATTTGACTTTGACTTGATTCAAATTGTTGACTCTTGAGCGGAATCTAATAAAGATTTTATTGAAATATCAATGACTTTTTAACAATTAACAATCAAGAAGGAGGAAGAAGAATGCAATTTGTAAAACAAAACACTTGCATTAGAGATGGAAGGGAATAAGGAATGACTATTTTGTATTTTGTTCATTATTACCATAATAGTATAAAATTAATGATGTTTAATAAGACAATGGTTGTTGTAAGTTGTTGATCAACATCAAATAAGTTAACAAGTTGTTCATTGAACTGGACACAAGCAAAATGATTAAATTAAAATACACTGTAATCACCATAGATGAATCAAACTATTGGTTGAATGAACTGGATATTTAACTCTCTTCCTTTTTTTCACTCTCACTTTATAATTTCAGTCTTTCACTTCTTTTTAATGATTATTTTGATTCACTTCTTACTAATTCATCTTTAAGGTTAAACCGTTCGTGATCTCATCAAGAATCAGCTTCACCTTTTTTCAGCAACAATTTGTTACTAAGTTAATCATATTAATCATATTAATCATATTATTTAATACTAGAAAAGGTTAAAGTTGGCTCCATAGATGGCAATCTAACCTTAAAGATGAATTAGTAAGATTTAAATCAACATAATGATTAAAAAGTGAAAGACTGAAAGTAAAAGTGAGAGGAAGAGAGTTAAAGTAAAAATGAAATATCCAGTTCATTCAACCAATAGTTTGATTCATCTATGGTGATTACAGTTGTGTCCAGTTCAATGAACAACCTGTTAACAGTCCTGTTGATCAACCACTTGCAACAACCATTGTCTTATCATTAAACTATTATGGTAATGAAAATATACAAAATAGCGATTCCTTATTGCATCTCTAATGCAAGTGTTTTGTTTTTCAAATTAACATCATTCTTCCCTCTGATTGTTAAAAGTCATTGATATTTCAATTTCTTAGATTCTGCTTAAGATTCATGATGAACATTCAACCAAAGGTGAATCCCATGTTTAGGTAATAAACAAAAATTAGAAGACCAAATAGCCAACATGTTTAATTGTTGACTAGTAATAGACATTAAATGTTGACAATGAAAATGAAGAAAAGGTTAAATCAAATATGGAATGAAAAGTGAAACCCAAATCAAGTTAAATTGTAATCTTTTAGAGGAAAAGTGAAGTTAAACTGCTAATAGCAATTGTAATTGTAATTTGATGATTGTTAATTGAACAAAAATCCCAATCAATACAATAATAAGTTGGTCAATATTTGGGTGTAATAATGAAAATAGCCTTAAATGGCATTGAAGTTGTAATTGCAATTGTAATTCAAATCTACTTTCCCTTTTTAATTGTTACTATTGTCAGTATTATTAACATTAGTTTTAACACGATTTATGTCAAATTGGTGTTAAATTATTGTTATTTTAGCAATCAATATTTTTCAATGTTTTTCAATGTTTTTTTTCGGATTGCAATTAGATTCATGTTTTTTTGATTTGTGTCATCAACTGATTACATTTGTATGATCAAATTGTGATTCTAATTGTTAATGACAATCTTTGCTTTTGGATTGACATTGAGATTGTTGTCAATGAAAGTGCTAATTGAATGAAATAACTATTTTGATTCGGAAGAGGAAACGATATGAATTTGTTGAGTAAATCATTAACATCTTCATGATTAACATGATAATCGTCTTAATCATCCTTATAACTTACAACCATAACAGCCAATGATTGTTAGATTGACCATGATTTGAATGATAATGTGAAGATGATTCTTGAATGTGACATTAAATGAAACAAATATTAACCATGATCTAGATTGATGTTTGTTATTAAATTGGTGACAATTTGACTCTTTAAATGTTTCATTAAATTCCTTCCGTTCATCCCATTTAATTAGTAAATTAAATCAAGGTTAACAGAGTGAAGAGACAGCATTGAGTGAAATTAATTTTCAAACTTCTATGTTACATCAAAAAATAAAATCAACTTTAATGTCACATCTTAAATCAGAATGTTTTTTTTCATTTTCATTTGACAGATAAAGGCAAAAGTCGAAACATTAATTAAACAAATTGACATTCGATTGAGTTCTAGTCATAATTAGATGCTTAATCTTGCAATTTTGAGGTCAAAAAGTCTGAAAAATCGAAACAATTGACACAATTGTCTTTGTTTAGACACGAAAATAAATTTTTCCGCTTTTCTCGTTAGCAGCTGCTATTATTAGTAATGGATATTTGAAAGGCAGAAATTGTAGTTTTAAATCATCATTCAATGAAAAAATTCAATTTTGTTTGATTGTCAACAGCTGAGTCCAGTTTCACAAATCAATGGCAGCAAACTGATGAGGCAAAAGTCCTTTTTTAGCCTGGAAAGCATTTTTTGGAAGACGAATCTCATTTGTGGTTTCAGTTACCAAAATAATTGAATTGTAAGTTATAATATATTTTTTGGTTCATTTGCATCAATTTAACTGCTGATCTCCTCAATTTAGTGGAAAGGACGCACCAAAAAATATTATTTATTGAAAAAATCAATGCCATTCTGAATCTCATGTAACGTGTAGACTAAAAAGACTGTTGCAGTGCTGGAATATTCATGACTGGTCTGTTTGACGGTCAGATTTGTGATTAAGTGCGGGACTTGTGAAGCCAGTAAGGAATCTTTGAGATGAATCTGAACTTGAGATAAAACAGCATTTGAAAGCTCATTTCAGGTTAATTTTAAAATGAATTTGTTGTTATTTGAGGCTCTGGAGTCCCATTTCACAGCTGAATGCTTGTCATCCAAGATCGAAGACCAAATTGAAGACCAAATCGAAGATCCAAGACCAAATCGGAGAGTGAAGAGCAAATCATGGCCAATAGGACAGCAAAACAAAAACGATTGTTCAACAGGATTTGGCCATAGAAACCAGTTGGAATGGATTTTTCTTGTTTAATAAAATGCTAAAGAAAGATAGCGAAAATGTTGAACCATTAATAAGCTGATAAATAATCAGAAATGAAGACGTTTGAGAAAGGTAAATGAATTAAACTTGAAAAATTGAATTCCTGAAAAGCGAGTTGAACTTACAGCTTGTTGGTTGTTTTTTTGAGAAATAAAGACATTTTCTTCCGTGATCAAATTAGTGAAACTTGTTTCCAAAGAAACAACTTAACTTGAAATTTACAAATTATTTCATACAAACGTATTTTAAAGCCTCTTGATTGATAGACAATTAATTAATTGTCAAACTTGAAATGTTTAATAGCTAATAATATAGCATCAGTGTTATTGATAACTGTGTAATTATTAGTTTGACAAAGTAGCAATTATATTCAATAGATAGCGCCTTCTTAATCTAAATTGCAAGTATTTTCTAGCTGCTTGTAATGTATGACTTCATTGAAGGTATTAATAAAATGTCAGCACATTCTCAATGGAATAAAGATAATTGATACAATAACGTATTTTGAAGCTGATCTTACAATATATCACTCCATAATCTTTCAAATTTTAATTCCTGTGAATCTTTAATTACTGTATTTAATTTTAAGTGAGTGAATTTCATCAAGAACTCTTTCTCATAATCACTAAAGAAAAAATGGCAGACAATTCTCATAATAAGGCTGACTATCAATCCATTGATGTAAGTATATCTTATTCATTTATTTATTTCTGCCGGTAGTATGATAGTATTAATTGATTGTATTTTTATATTTATTTTTCATTCACATCCCTATCGATGTCATGGAACTTTTAGGTTGCATCTTCACCAGACAGGTACGTTCAAAATTTTTTTTCATGAAGCTGTCCATGACTAAGCACATATCGTAACGCACTGTCAATTTTTTGTCTAATCTTGTCATCTCATTCATCTTTTACAGAGTTTCATTCGCTAAACCTTGTACATCAGTTGACCCTACCACGCAACCTGAAGAATTGCAACAGCAAGGGACAACAGTAACCGATATGTTCATAGAAAATGCATCTAGTGATAAAAGTGAGACAAATCAGGATGATACCGACATGAAAAGTTTTCTAACTCCTGATCAAACTGTTGTTGATTTAAATCACTGTCGGATCCAGAGAATTGAAGGATGTGAAATTCTCGAAAATGTTGAATCTCTTGGTCTTCGTAATAATCTTATCAAAAAACTTGAAAACCTTGAAAGATTAACATCTCTTCGAGAATTGGAGTTATATGACAATCAGATAACGAAAATAGAAAACCTTGATTCGCTGGTCAATTTGGAGTAAGTCTTTTCAGTCCTCTTTTCAATTCCTTATAACTTGATACGATTATTTTACTTTTGTTTTTTGTAGGATTTTGGATCTATCATTTAATCGAATCACGCAAATTGAGAATCTCAATAATTTGGTAAATCTAAAGAAACTTTATTTGATAAACAATCGTATTTCAAAAATAGAGAATCTAGATAATCTCGTCAATCTGGAAACGCTTGAACTGGGCTCTAACAAAATACGAGTGATTGAAAATTTGGATTGCCTTAAAAATCTGCATTCCTTGTTTTTGGGTAAAAACAAAATCACCAGATTACAGAACCTGGACAAATTAGAGAATTTGAAACTGTTTAGTATCCAGTCAAATCGATTAACTAAGATTGAAGGCCTGGACGAGCTCAAAAATTTGGAGGAAATTTATGTATCACACAATGGTATTGAAAAGATTGAAAATTTAACCAACAATATTAATCTTCAAAACCTGGACATATCCAACAACCGTATTGAAAGATTGGAAAATATCGGCCACTTGATCAATCTTCTGGAACTTTGGGCCAACGACAATAAAATAAGTTCATGGAAGGATTTGGAAATTCTGAAAAATTTCCCCAAACTGGAAACAGTTTACTTCGAACGAAACCCGATTGCAAATGATCCAATGTATCGTAAGAAGATCGTACTGCTTGCACCACATCTCAAACAAATTGATGCTCTTTTGTGCAAAAACTGAAAGAATTATCGTCGTGATATAAATCATTCTAAGTCCATTTTAAGACAGCATCTTCCTTCATCACACTAGAGTAATGATGCTCATTACTTAACCAAAGTCTCAACTATTGAAAAGCATCTTCCATCCGTTGAATCTTGATTTCCTAATGTTAAATTGCTTTTCATAATCTTGAAATGTAAAAGATAGCGAGTTTGATTCTAAAGGGCTTGCGATTAAAACACTAATTTTTGATCACTTGTATTTATATTTTCCTCTTGAAGAAAAAATTTATCCTCAAATATATTGTTATAATCCTGACCAATTGTGTTTATCAATTTAATTCAAGTCTAACGATGAATACGAACATGTTAATCTGTTATTTTACACAAAAGCTTACTCTTGATCGGAATAGAGATCTTTTGTTGTGAATCATAGAAACTGTGTGAACAATACAACATGATTTATCAATCGAATAAAAACATAATAAAATAATATCATGTTTTAAATGATTGCCTTTCATCAAGTGCATCAACGTTCTATTGCTTTCCATGTAACTATTGTCTAATATTTTCTTTTGTGACTCAATTGATGAAATTAAATTATGAGTTCAATATTTTGCCCTTTACTCAACAAAGATCATTGATCAACAAAGCAAACCATTCAAAAGTAATTATGCTCAATCGATTCCTTCCGAGTAATAACAATATGGTTAATGTCTCTTGGTATCCACAGCTAAAAAGATCTGGTTTCGGCGATTTCAGCATTTACGGGCAACATTTCCCTAATGATATCAAAATGAGCTTGATAAATAGAAATTTAAACGAAAAATTAACAAACTTACAACTTGTTAGTCATCATCAGATAAACTGCTTTACCTGCCATCTGTGCTCAAATGCTCAAATGCATACTGTTAAAATAAATAAAGGCGTATTTTGAAGCTGATCTTACAATATATCACTCCATAATCTTTCAAATTTTAATTCCTGTGAATCTTTAATTACTGTATTTAATTTCAAGTGAGTGAATTTCATCAATAACTCTTTCTCATAATCACTAAAGAAAAAATGGCAGACAATTCTCATAACAAGGCTGACTACCAAGCCATTGATGTAAGTATATCTTATTTGTTTATTTATTTCTGCTGCTAGCATGATAGTATTTATTAATTGATTGTATTTTTATACTTATTTTTCATTCGCATTCTTATCGACGACATGGAAATTTTAGGTCGAATCTTCACCAGAGAGGTACGTTTAATTTTGTTCACTTGAATTGCCCTTGAATTGGCTCATAGATTATCTCGGTTCATCTCAATATTTTTACCACTGCAAATCTCTTTGTTTCTACTATCCACTTGACAACTTGACATCTCGCTCGTTCTCTGTATTGTAGATCATTGTCAGATTTGATGTTTAACTATCTCTTGTCATTTCCATCTTTTACAGAGATCAACCATTTTCTCAGCCTGGCACCTCGACTCAACCTAAAGTCGATCAAGTACAGCAGCAAGTGGCCCAAGTAACCAACATGATGCAAGAAAATATATCTAAAATTCTGGATCGTGGACAAAAATTAGATCATTTAGAGGATAGATCTGGTAATATTAGAATACACTAATTACTCTTGAGTTCAAAGTCTAAATTTCCTCTCATTCATCTTTTTCCATTAGCCTTACTATCATCCAAGTCCGAAGATTTCAGAGTATCCTCCAGACGATTAGGAAGGAAGATGAAATGGCAAAATATGAGAGTAAATATTATTATTGGTTTAATCGTAATAGCTCTTATAATAATTATATACTTTGCGGTAAGTAATGATTCTTTTAAACCCATTCTAGACTTGATTTTATTTTCTATTAATATTTTTTTAATAATTAGTTTTGTTTTCTATTTTATACCATAGGTTAAACATTGATAATTTTTGTAACCATGAAACGAAAAAAGGATGAAAAGTTATTTTTCTGCTTCAATTCCTCCAAAAGAATAATCTAGAATAATCTGTATCTCTTCGCTGTAACGATTTATAATCTACATTGAAATTGTTATGAATTCTGTTATTACAATTCAGCACTAAAGTATGCATCTTCTTGTTTTGCGTATAATTTCCCCTTCCTTTCAATATGACTCTTCATGCACATATTCATTTGTAAAATATCATTTATTTTCAATTGTTGATATATTTTTATACTATTTTCAGTAAATCACTAATATCCCAATCATTCCTATTTCTGAAAAACCATTCAGGTGTTTACTGATATCCAATATTGAATTATAATCACCCATCAACCTTTTCTGTAATTTCTGAGCATTATGTTTCTTTCGAACTTTATATGCTTAACTAGGGTTTTGATTTGACTATTTATTGCATAGTTATGAAACTGTTATCAAATTATATGTTTCATGGATCAATCTAATTCTTTTTAATAAAAAAAAAATGCCAACAAATTGCAGTTTCTTTGCCTGCGTCTTACGGGCTTTGAGTAAAAAGTAATCGATGTAAATTCGGGACGGGTTTGTATTATAGTCAAAAATTTCAAAGCAACCGAAATTTTATTAAATAGATGAAAATAAGCAAAAATGGATAGGATCACAATAAAAAGGCTAATAAATTAAAGACAAACACGAGAAATAATTCATAATGGTTTGACAAAACACCAGAGAAAGTGAAATGGGTTTTGTGGACAAAATATAAGTGTTCTTAACTAGACGAGATTAACTTGCTAACCGAAGTATACTTTGTAAATCTTTAACTTGAATTTTTTCATGAGTAAACTCTGGAATTTAACTCGATAGATTTAGCACGCCATTTAGAGAAGACATTTATGTCTGCTAAATCAAGATCTTCTTCACTAATGTCGTTTATATAAGAATCTCTAGATCCAGATGCTAATTTAGCTTTCAACTTTTCAGCTTTCATTTTTTCTAATTCATTGACTTTGGCCCATTTGTTGTACTGATCCTCAATTTCATCGAAATCTCGGTCGATATTAATTTCCTCTAAAGATTCTTCAACCATGGTTTGAGCTTTATATGATTCCTCGGCAATAGCTTTTTTAAAGAGATCCATTTCCTCATCAATGGGATCCTTATAAGGATTGTTTCTAATTTTAGCATCAGCTTTGGGATCATCAAAAAACCCTTTTGGAAGTTCTACTGGTCTAGGCATAGCAGCATCATCTTCTTTACCATCTGATTCACCATCTGGGTCTGTTCGAGATTCTGGATACATTTTTCTTTTCTTTCTATTAGGTTCTTCGTTTGTTGTATTATCTGTATCAATCAGTCCAAGCAATCTTTGAGTGGACACAATTGTGGATGAATCTTGATTATTGCTGAGCTCTTTTTTGTTGAGATGGATTTTAAATTTTTGATTCTGAATACCTGTAAGATTAGAGGATAATATTGGAGAGAAACATGAGTAGTGTTTAACAAATATTTGTAAATAAGAAAGCTTTGATATCTTACCTTGGTAGGCCATATTTGTGAATGAAAAGCCAACTGGTTGATGGTGAGTATCAATTAATCTATTGTGTTGATAATGACAATAATAATAATAGATTAAATTCAAGTTTAAATGATAAAATAAAAGAAAATTTATCTCTAGAAAGCTCAGATAAACACCAGACTTCACTAGTAGTGATTCACGACTGAACAATAATCCCACCTCTTTGAGAACAAAGAAGAGGTTGTTTCCTTGGTGACGTTGATCATCCAGGAATTATTTTTTTTCAACAAAAGTCCGAAAATTTGAATGTTTTTAAATGATACCAAGTATGTCATCAATTTTAAAACAATCATAAGCCCCAATTAAACTGCCAAAATAGGTTTGGCATTATTGACGCAATTTTCAACTGGTTGAAAAACCAGTACAAAGCCTAACGTTACCAAGAGTTTTCTGAACTTATTGATTCATTAGTCGTATGATTCAATCAGTTTGATAAATCATGGTTAAAATTGATACAAAACCTTCCATCTTGGTCCACTATTTTCGCCGTTACTAGATAAATTGCTTTAAAATTGGTCTACGAGATAAGTAGAGCCAATTAGTATAAATACAATGTAGAAACTTTTCAATGAAATTTTTTTCCGATTTAACCCAAACCTGAATTTCCAAGTTAGTAATGAAACGTTGTATGAATGCATGAAATACATGAAAGCGAGTACAAAAGGGGATTTCGAGGAGATTGAACAGTGTCATACACTTTCTATTTAGGCAATTGCAGCTGATAACTTAATTAACGCTTAACATTATACTTCGCTACAAGTTTACTTTTCAATTAACATAACATATTTATTAGTCGGTCATGTTCACCTGATTTACTGTTTGAATACAAATCATAAAATTTAATTTATGGAGCGCTCATAACTAAACAGTAGCTATAATCATAACGATACATCGTTCTGAAGAGAAGTCTTTTTGTGCAGACAATTATTGGGTTACTCGGACCAATGTGGCATTGAATGGACATAACTTTCCTATGAACATCGAACAGGAAAATTAATAGTTATTCACTTAGATTGATGACCAAACTTTCAATATTAACAGATTTCCCAGCAATTTTCTTACAACAAATCAACACACAATACAAATTGAAATTAACCCGATTAGCCGTACATTTTTTGATTAATTTGATACCAATGATAAAATTGATGATAAGCTTTTCATGAGTCCATTCAGAATCATTCGTTTATTTGATTGAGTGTTTAATAGGTTATACAATGGTAACATTTACATTTTCCAGGACATGGTTCACACAAAGTAATTTTGTGAGATTCTTTGTATATTCTGTTGAATTCAATTTGTTTGTTGGATCAAGAAACTTCCATGGACTCCAGCGATAATCATTTGCATCTTTTGATCGATGAATAACCGCAGTGATCTTAGCCTGACTTGGCTCAACTTGGATTGTAAAATTAGCCCTTTCATAAGTCGCCCAAGATTCATTTGCTCGTGGAAAGAAATACTGTCAAAATTAGAAGAAAACATGAATTAGAAAAGATCATTGAAAAAGACAAGACATTATTGATAATTGTAAATGGTAAATCTTGATAATGGTAATGTTTAACGATTAATTGAAAGATTAGTAAATGTACTAACCGCTCCTGATACTATTTTGCGAAAGGTTACATTGGATCGACAGTCATTTTCTTGAAAAATGGTTTTCAATTCATCGACTAAACATTTAGCTGCATCAATAGGGAAACGTCTACTGCTAACACTGACTCCAACTTTTCCATTGCAGACGCAGTAATCTTGGCTGATGTTGGCATCTTCACAGGTACGGCTGATAGGAATCTCTTCGCGAAAAAGTGAATAAGCAACTGGAATGTCTGTGCGAATTCCAACTGGTTGGAATTGACCTAAAGAGGACGAAAGAAGAGAAACAACTTTTAATAACCACAAATACGATGATCTAGATAAATGACAGAATTTCCCGTTTTTCTCCATAAAACTACCATTGAAACGAGATAATTCATTATCTGATAATATTCAAATTAGAGTTAAGCAAGTAAAAACATTGATTACCTTGAGCTGTATCGAGCAATATCTGATGAATATCATACCAACTTGACAGTCGATTTTCATTTAAGGAAAGATATTTCCGCAAATGAGGATATTTTGAGTCCAAAGAGTCTGGGATTCTAATGGCGAAAAATGGAAGACTTCCTTCTGCTCGAGCATATGGATTCTCAATTTGATCGCCCCAAGGCTGAACCCATCTACCGATTCTAGTTCCATGATCACCCATTAAAATAACAATTGAATTATCCAACACTGAAGGTGATAAAGAGCGAAGAAACTGAGCCACAGGTTGATCGACCATTTGAAAATTATTGAAGTCATCATGGGTCATTTGGCTATAAAAGGCATACAAAAAATAAGGATTTCGTTGGCGATTGATCACATCTTCGGCATATTTGGAACACATTGATAGAAAGAGTTCCACTTTGCTTCCAACTTTCTCATAACAATAGTTGATAGGATTATTCAAAATATCCTGCCAGTGCTCAGTGCCATTTGGATACATGTGATTCCAATACTCAGTTGGATAAAAATCAACTGGAGGCTCATGAAAGCCTCGACTGTAATATGAAAACAGACCAGCCATTGGATGATCCTCTAAGAAACTTGTCACATAACCAGATTCATTGAATGCATCCCAAATGTAAGGTAATTCATGGTCCCAATCAATACCTGCATTGTATTGAGCTACTTGGTCAGTCAGCATCTCTCCAGTAAGCAAAGTCACTGAATTGGGGAAAGAGTTTTCACCAACACGAGTTAAACCCTTAAGATGATGAAAATTACCAATATCATGCATCGCCTGATTAACGGCAGGCATAAAGCGTTGGTAGCTCAGGCGACCCAGAGATTCAAACACTAAAATTATAACGGAGGGATTGGTTAGATTTTTAGATAATGTTGATTTTTCGAATGTAGGAACATGGAAGTGAACATTTCGATAGATGACTTGTTTTGTTTTTCGATTGATGCAGCTAGTGTTTGCAACATTTGCACCGTTTTCAAATTGAACACCATCGGTTGGAGGGATCACATTCACAGGGCCGTAAGAAATACTCCAATCAGTTTGATTTCGATATATCCATGAGTAGTAACACTCAACATCTTCATCGATATCACCTGGAATCTTGATGACCAAACGATCTTCTGAGTTGATAACAGTTAACTGAGGTGATTGCTTACAGTGAAGAGATACGTTGCGGATGTAAGGCAATATTACTGGATCAAATGGATCAATTTTAGTGAATACACAACCAGGAATTGAAAAATTTACATCGACATATTCATAGGCATTGCTGGCCACTTGAGGATAGCAAAAGTTTTTCTTGATAACATGTGTGACATCACCATACATGGAAATGTTGATGATGAACAAAACTACAGCTAGGATTAAACATATTATGCTGAAAAGAATCGAGATCTTTTTTCTACTCATGAAGACTAAAAAACGTAAAAAACTAGGTTTAGATGTTTTAGGTTTTCTTTAAATATTAGCGAGACTTAAATACATTTCGCACAATTTATAATGAAATTAACCCAATTTTCTGGTTGATGTAAGTAGCAATGAGCAGCAAGCATTCATGAGCTCTTTATATTTTTCGTAACAAGTTACAGAAACATAGGAACACGCCAACATGTTCCTCATGTTTCTATCGCTGTTTAAATAGTAAAAGAGTATCATTTGATTCTCGGTCAACGTAATATCAAATGTCATTTAAGCAAACAGGAGCTGGAAGTCATGGAAACAAATAAGTACCCAGGCAGTATTGGCTTCCAGATGATTAGTTAAAAGTGATGTCAATTTTTAAAGTAGAAACCAGTTTATTTTGATTGAGTGTTTAATATTATTAATAGATTTAAATAATGGCAACATTTACATTTTTCAGGACATGATTAACGCAAAGTAATTTTGTGAGATACTTTGTGTATTCTGCTGAATTCAATTTGTTTGTTGGATCGTAAAACTTCCAAGGACTCCAACGATAATCGGTTGAATCTCTTGATCGATACACCATTCCAGTGATCACAGCTTGACTTGGTTTAACTTTTATTGTTAAATTTGCTCTTTCGTAAGTAGACCAGGTTTCATTTGATCGTGGATAGAAGAACTGTTAAAATTAAAAGAGAAAAATTAATTAGAAAAGATCATTGTTTTGAAGGGAACAGAAACGAATAATGTTACAATTTCAGGATCTGAAGTTCATAGCTGAATTTTAGGATGTGTAGCTGAATTAATCTCAATAATCAAGTCAGCTGGCGAATGTAAAAACAATAAGATTATGTAGTGTTTTATTTTCGTTACAGTTCATTCAGATTAAGACCTAACCCCAAAATGGAAACCAAAATTATATTTACATGCATTTGGTAAATTTTATTTGACTATACGAGCTGAATATGTCAAAAAACGTAAATGCAACTAAAGTAAATAATAATCTGCTACAGATCTTTATCAAATAAATTATTTGATCCGTTCAATCGATTATGAACTATGTCATTTTAGATAGACTTTATCGATCAGAAGATCAATTATGAATTAACCTGAGTAAGTAAAGGAAAAAAGGCTGACAATAAGTAGCAATTTTCACATCATTATCTATTCAACAAATATGACTTTTTACGGTTGAATGTTTTCCATCAAAGTAAAATCACATAGAAAGGGTAATGGTTTTGATTTAATGGTTAAAGCTTGGTGAATGAACTAACCTCTCCTGACAATATTTTTTCAAAGGTTATCCTTGATCGACATTTGTTTTTGTGGAAAATGGTTCTCAATTCATTAACTAAACCTTTGGCTGCGTCAATGTGAAAACTTTTCAAGGTGGGATTGATTCCAACTCTGCCATTACAGGCACAGTAAACTGGACTGATGTTGGCATCTTCACAGGTCCGACTGATAGGAATTTCTTCACGAAAAATTGAATAAGCAACTGGAGTTTCTTTGCGAGTTCCAATGGGTTTGAAATGACCTGAAAAGATAGAAAAGTGAGTAAGAAAAAAAAATTACAAAAAACACATTGATTATGCTAGATAAATAAATGGTTACTAAACTATACTAGTATTAGTACACTAACTGTACTAGTGATATGAGAAATTCATAATCTAATCGATCTGCAGCCATTGATTTGTGAAATGACATAGAAAATGAAATAGCAAGGTTTATTTAAATGCGAGTTATTCATATCAAGGTAAAACATATTAACCGAGATATTGAAATATTGAAATCAAGATAATCGATAATGTTATTACATATCAAGAGGATAATAATAACCTTAAATGATAAATTGTGGAGAGGAACTACGAAGTTTGTTTTGCAACATGACTCAAACAGATACTTAATGTGAAAGGTTTTTTGTAGGCGTCTGAGGAAATATCAAACTGTTATTAACCGGAGCATGAAAGATTAGATATATTTTTTGATTATGAGTTGGAGCAATTAAAAAATTAATTACCTTGAGCTGTGTCTAGCAATATCTGATGCATATCAAACCAACTTGACAGTCGATCTTCATTTAAAGAAAGATATTTCCTCAAGTGAGGATATTTTGAGTCCAAAGAGTCTGGGATTCTCATAGCAAAAAATGGAAGACTTCCTTCTACTCGAGCATATGGGCTATTTGTTGGATCACCTAAAGATTTAGTAACATTTCCAACTCTAGGCCCATGATCGCCCATAACAATAATAATTGAATTATCCAACACTGAAGGTGACAAAGAAAGAAGAAATTGAGCCACGGGTTGATCTACTAATTGGAAATTATTGAAATCTTCATGGGTCATTTGACTGTAAAAGGCGTATAAAAAATAAGGATTCCGTTGGCGATTGATCACATCTTCGACAAATTTGGAACACATTGATAAAAAAAGTTCCACTTTGCTTCCAACTTTCTCAAAACAATAGTTAATAGGATTCACTAAGAGATCGTACATGTGTGCAGTTCCTTCTGGGTACATATGAGACCAAAATTCAACTGGATAAAAATCTGTTGGACGATCGAGAAAACCTCGATTGTAATATGAGAACAGACCAGCCATTGGTTGATCCTCTAAGAAACTTGTCACATATCCGGATGCCTTGAAGGTATTCCAAATGAAAGGTAATTTATTATCCCAGTGAATTCCATAATATGATGAAGCTAGATCATCTGTGATTGCCATTCCAGCAAGCAAAGCCATTGAATTAGGGAAAGAGTTTTCTTCGACACGATTTAAACTTCTGAGATGTTGAAAATTACCAATATCGTTCATCGCTTGATTAGTGGAAGACATAAACCTTTGGAAGCTTAGGCGACTCAGAGATTCAATCACTAAAATAATAACGGATGGATTTGCTTGATAATTGGTTACTGATGGTTGTTTGAATGTAGGAATATGGAAATGAATATTGCGATAGATAATTTGTTTTGTTTTTTGATTGATACAGCTAGTGTTTACAACATTTGCATCGCTATCAAATTGAACACCACCGGTTGAAGGGATCACATTCACAGGACCATAAGAAACTGCGCCATCAGATTTAGCTCGATATACCCATGAGTAATAACAATCAACACTCTCTTGAGTATTATCTGGAATCTGGATGACCAAACGATCATCTGAGTTTATAACAGTTAACTGAGGTGATTGCTTACAGTGAAGAGATACGTTGTGGATGTAAGGCAATATTGCGGGATCAAATGGATCAATTTCAGGTAATATACATCCAGGATTTGAAGAATTCCCATGATCATATTCATCGGTATTGCTGACCATCCGAGGATAACAGAGGCTTTTCTTAATAACATGTGTAACAACATCATCAATGGAAATGTTAGTAATGAGCAGAACTCCAGTCAAAAGTAAACATACTATACTAAAAAGAGTTGATAGCTTCTTTCTACCCATGTGAACATAAAAAATATAAACAAACCAGCTTTTCTTTCTAGCATAAACGATAGTGTACAAGATCAAATGATCACCATCAACGTAATTATGTTAATAGGAGTGGTATAAATGAGTTATGTAGGTTGATTGTTGTGTTAGCAACTAAGTGATAACTGAGCTGTGAGAAAAGATAGATAAACCAGATGAGATAACGAAGATTTAATAATAAACAGAACATCAGGAATATCGTGGAATACTGGATAGAAATCAAACTCCGGGAAAATATCTGGTAAATATTGGTAAACGGTCTGTTGGCGATTTGTTGCTTGGAAAATTAGGAAACCGGCGTTATGGTGTAAAGTCAACATATGAAGGTACAGTTAGCATAGTGGAACTCCTCTTTATTATTATTAATGTTGAGGATAGACATTAAATGGACAGTGACACTGTTTATCAATTAATTATTCAATGAAGAGAAGACCAAGATTAGATATTGAAGTGATTAAATTATTGTCAAAATAAGGATGATGATTTTGCAGAGGTTTCAAAGAATCCGAAAACACTTAAATTTTGTTCAATTTTGTTCCATTTTGTTCAATTTGACTACAAACCAGGCAACTGAATAACATAATTTATTTAGATATTTCAAAATTATAAATGATATGGTGTTAACAAACCAACAGCCATGATTAACAAATAGTAACGATGTAAAAAACATGAACAAATATGACTTTTCGAACTTGAATATCGATTTCGAAGATAGATTTACGCATAAACCAAAAATCAACACATAGGCGATAGTAAAGCCATCTGTTCAAAAAAATCGTCCCTTATTCATGTTTTGTGTTTTAATTTTTATTACATTTTATTTAATTGTTTATGAAACTCCGTATAATCAATTAACTATCATTGACAAATCAATTAGATCCTGAACGGCTATTTTTGCATTTATTATATGTCGTTCAACTAAAAAAGACGAAGTGTAATTTCAGCCAATGCGTTGAGATGGAGAAAATTATTACATTGGCGTCATCTATCGATGATGAATGAAGTTAGTAAGCACGATTAGATTTCTTGGTAAATCTTATTACATCGATTTCATGGCTTGATCAAAAAACCATTAAAATACTTTTTTGTGATATCTGATGATTTAGTTCTACTGGATTTTCCGATTGAAGGGATTTTTTACTATTGGAAGGATGAATGCTTATCATACAGATCTATATCTCTTTTAAAACTAGTTGAGAAGAAAAAATGAAATCATTTAAGGACGCTCCATGCGAGTTGATAGTTGGTTTGATCCTTCGACCAGAACCTCAACCTGATATGAGGGTTAAGACATCCTTCATTTCCACCACCAACTTTGCTACTAGGGTTAATCCAGTTCCACTTCTATCGCGACCGCCTCGGCCTATCAGTTCCTTTGTCATTAAACATACTGTATGCTGAAAATAATCGGTATCTTTTTTGTACTCATAAGAATCTAAAAATGTAAAAAACTAGATTAAGATGCTCTAGGTTTTCATGACGCGTTACAGGAGCATAGGAAACAAGACAGCATGTTACTCGTGCTGCTATCGTTTTTAAATCGTAAAACAAATATCTTTTTTATTTTACAGCAAACGTAATAGCAAGTGTAATTATGACAAAACAGGAGCTCGCAGTCATCGGAACAAATAAGCATCCAGTCGCTATTGACTCCTAGATGATTAGTTAGAGTGATGTCAATTTTTTTAAAGTAGAAAACCGTTTATTTTGATTGAGTGTTTAATATTATTAATAGATTTAAATAATGGCAACATTTACATTTTTCAGGATATGATTAACGCAAAGTAATTTTGTGAGATAATTTGTGTATTCTGCTGAATTCAATTTGTTTGTTGGATCGTAAAACTTCCAAGGACTCCAGCTATCATTGGCCGAATCTCTTGATCGATATACCATTCCAGTGATCACAGCGTGACTTGGTTTGACTTTTATTGTTAAATTTGCTCTTTCGTAAGTAGACCAGGTTTCATTTGATCGTGGATAGAAGAACTGTTAAAATTAAAAGAAAATATGAATTAGAAAATATCATTGCTTCGGAAAGAACAGAAATGAACCATGTTACTATCTCAGAAAGAGAAGTTGATAGCTGAATTTTATGATGTGTAGCTGAATTAATCTCAATAATCAAGTCAGCTGGAAAGTACAAAAATAATAAGATTATGTAAATTTTCATTTTCATTACAGTTTATTCAGATTGAAAAACGACCAAAATTCAAGATGAACGAACCAACGTCAAAATGGAAAAATGAAGCAAACAAAAATTATTTCATCATGCAGAATCGTCAAGTCGCATTGAAAAAAGCCATATCAAAATGATAAAAAACTTTTAATTATGATTCCCATGTCTAGTCTTGTTTAGATTAAAATTAAAATAAACTTCCAGTGTTCCTTTGACTAAACTATTTGCATTCTGTTTTTCATTTTGAATTTACCCGCTTTCAATCTGAATTAACGGGTATGATTTTGAAGCCTTTATTTCAATCTAAAGTATCATGAGACCAATCTAATTACTTTTAATAATATTACTCAATATTATCAGGATGAGAATCGATACAGAAAATAACAGTCTTTCAATAAATGGAGTTATGAATACAAACAAATGCCTGCATTGAGCACCTATCTAGATTTATTTGGCTGTACAAGCTGAATCAAATAACGTAAACGTAACTAAAGTAAATAATAAACTGTTAAAGATCTTTATCACAAGAATTATGCGATCCGTTCAATCATCTTTCTTGTCATTTTAGTCAGACTTTATCGAACAAAAATCAACTAATGAAATAAACTGAAGATTTCCTTGACTTGTGAGAAAGTAGAAGCAAAAATACTGAAAATAAGTAGCAATCGTCACATCATTATCTAAACAACATAAATGACAGTTTTATGGTTGAACGTTTCTCACACAGAAAGGGTAATGGTTTTGATTCAAATGAAGCTTGGTGAATGAACTAACCTCTGCTGACAGTGTTTTTTCGTAGGTTATCCTTGATCGACACTTGTTTTTTTGAAAAACGGTTCTCATTTCATCGACTAAACCTTTGGCTGCGTCAATATGAAAACTTTTAAAGGGCGGATTGATTCCAATTCTTCCATTACAGGCACAATAAACTGGACTGATGTTGGCATCTTTGCAGGTCCGACTAATAGGAATTTCTTCACGAAAAATTGAATAAGCAACTGGAGTTTCTTTACGAGTTCCGATGGGCTGGAAATTACCTGAAAAGGTGAAAAAACGAGTAATAAGAATTAATTGCCACAAAAAATTGGTCATGTTAAATGAGATGAGCACTAAAGCTTACAAACTTGTCAGTGCAAAAGTATTGGGAACTGAGCATTCAAAAATTTTGGCTTCGAAATAAAAAGATAACTCGACGATCATAATTCAGTTTCATAGTTTATTTACTGAAGATCAATTAGACCCGATTCCAGCTTTGTAACTTTCTTCTAATATAAGACATTCACGATTCAATCCATGAAAACTTGAACTTCATTTATGGTTCTATTTTTCAATGTTAATGGTCTAAAAAGGTGGCAATCAACTGATTAATAAAGAAATTTTAATTTACAATTTTTCATTTTAATCAACGCATAAAAGCGAGTAAGCAAACTGCGTTTGCACTTGTAATTTGTAATTCTGATAAATACAATGAGATCGCCGTAATTCATGATTAACATGAATTTTCCCAATACTTTTGCACCAAGCATTAACAAGTGAGATGAGATATAACATGAGACATAATCTGCTTCATCTGAAGCCATTGATTGATGGAATAACATAGAAAATTAAATATTAAGGTTTGTTCGAATGCGAGTTATTAATATCATGGTAAATATTGAAATCAAGATAATTAACAATGCTATTACTCATCGAGAGGATAATAACATCCTTAAATGAACAATTGTAGAGAGAAACATGACGATTGTCTTTCTTCACATGACTACACAGATACTTAAAGTAAAAGGTTTTTGAAAGCGTCTAAAGAAATATGAAACTGTGATTAACCGAAACATGATAGAGTAAAGATATTTTGCAATTTTTAATTCAAGTAAATGAAAAATTAATTACCTTGAGCTGTGTCTAGCAATATCTGATGAATATCATACCAACTTGTCAGACGCTTTTCATTTGAGGCAAGATATTTCCGCAAATGAGGATATTGCGAGTCCAAAGAGTCTGGGATTCTCATAGCAAAAAATGGAAGACTTCCTTCTACTCGAGCATATGGAGTATTTGTTGGATCACCCAGAGATTTAGTAACAGCGCCAACTCTAGGCCCATGATCACCCATAACAATAACAATTGAATTATTCAACACTGAAGGCGACAATGAGAGCAGAAATTGAGCCACAGGTTGATCTACTAATTGAAAATTATTGAAATCTTCATGGGTCATTTGACTGTAAAAGGCGTATAAAAAATAAGGATTCCGTTGGCGATTGATTACATCTTCGACAAATTTGGAACACATTGATAAAAAAAGTTCCACTTTGCTTCCGACTTTCTCAAAACAATAGTTAATAGGATTCACTAAGAGATCAAGCATATGTTTTGTTCCTTCTGGGTACATGTGGGACCAAAATTCAACTGGATAAAAATCTGTTGGACGATTGAGAAAACCTCGATTGTAATATGAGAACAGTCCAGCCATTGGTTGATCCTCTAAGAAACTTGTCACATATCCAGATTCCTTGAAGGTATTCCAAATGAAAGGTAATTTATTGTCCCAGTGAATTCCATGATATGACGAAGCTACATTATCTGTGATCGCTTTTCCAGCGAGCAAAGCCATTGAATTAGGGAAAGAGTTTTCTTCGACACGATTTAAACTGCTTAGATGTTGAAAATTACCAATATCCTGCAACGCTTGATCAACGGAAGGCAAAAACCTTTGGAAGCTTAGACGACTCAGAGATTCAATTACTAAAATAATAACGGATGGATTTGTTTGATAATTAATAGATGGTTTTTGTTTGAATGTAGGTACATGAAAATGAACATTGCGATAGATGACTTGTTTTGTTTTTTGGCTGACACAGCTAGTGTTTACAACATTTGCATCGCTATCAAATTGAACACCACCGGTTGAAGGGATCACATTCACAGGACCATAAGAAACTGCGCCATCAGATTTAGCTCGATATACCCATGAGTAATAACAATCAACACTCTCGTGAGTATTATCTGGAATCTGGATGACCAAACGATCATCTGAGTTTATAACAGTTAACTGAGGTGATTGTTTACAGTGAAGAGATACGTTGTGGATGTAAGGCAATATTGCGGGATCAAATGAATCAATTTCAGGTAATATACATCCAGGATTTGAAGAATTCCCATGATCATATTCAGCTGAGGCATTGCTGATCATATGAGGATAAGAGAGACTTTTCTTAATAGTATGTGTATCAACATCTTCAATGGAAATGGTATAAATGAACAGAGCTCCAGTTAAAAGTAAAAATACTATACTTAAAAGAGCTGACAGCTTCTTTCTACCCATTGGAACTTAAAAAATATAAACAAATCAGCTTTTCCTTCTAGCATGAATAAATCCAAATCATGTACAAAGTGTACAAGACCAAAAGCGTATTTATGTCAATAGGAGTGGTATAAATGTTGTTGTGTTAGCAACTAAGTGATAACTAAGCTGGGAGAAAAATTAGATAAGCCAGAGGAGATAACGAATATTCAATAAGAAACAATTCATCAGGGATATTATGGAATATTGATTATAAACCAAAATCCTAGTAAATAACAGGTAAATATTAAGAAACGGTGTGTTACTAATTTGTTGCTTGTAAAATCAGGAAACCAGCGACAAGGTGTAAAGCCAACACATAAGATACAGTTATCGAAGTGAAAAAACCTCTATATCAACATGAATAATATGACGAGGATAGACACTTAATGGACAGAGGCACTTTTTATCCATCAATTATTCAATGATGAGTAGACCAAGATTAGATTTTCAAGTGATTAAATTATTGTCTGAATAAGGACGGTTATTTTGAAGAGGCATGTCTGCCATTTTGTTCAATTCACGTACAAACCAGGCAACTGAATAACATAATTTATCAGAATATTTAAAACCACATTAATGATGTAAAGTTGACAAACCAACGGTCATGGTTAAAAATTAGTAATAACGATGTAAAAAACTGTTTTTAAAGCACGAAAAAATATGACTGATCGAACTTGAATATCGAACATAAACATTACGCATAAACTAAATATGCGATAGTAAAGCCATCTGTACAAAAAAAGCGTCCCTTATTCATGTTTTGTGTTTTAATTTTTATTATCACATTTTAATTTTAATTGTAGATGAAGTTCCGTAAAACCAATTAACTAGCATTGACAAATCAATTAGATCCTGAACGGCCATTTGAGCATTTATTATATGCCGTTCAGCTAAAAAAGACGAAGAGTAATTTCAGCCAATTTGTTGAGATCGAGTTTCATCTCATTTTATATTTTCGCACTTGCCTGAGAAATTATCGCCATTCAAATTCCGCATTTAGCAAATTGAACAGGTATGTCAATGAAAATGATTAAAATTGGTTTAAAAAATTAAATTTTGAAATTTTTGGTAAAAGGCAAAATTATAGACATTGGCGGCATCTATTGATGATGCATAAAATTGGTAAAACACGATTAGATTGCTTGGTAAATCTTGTTACATCGATTCCTTCACACAATCAAAAAAACCATTTAAATATTATTTCGCGATATCTGATGATTTTAGTTCTACTGACTTACCAGAATCAAGTGATTTGTGTACTATTCGAAGGAAAGATAAATGAACTATAGATTTTTAACTGTTGTCTAATTTTTTGCAAGAGGTATTTACCTTGAAAACAATTTAAAGTCTAACAAAGTGAACTGTTACACAAATTCACCTTCAAACAAAAATTAATGTATCAGAAGATGAAATCATCAGTGAAAATGTTCACCATACAAATCGATATCTCATTTAAAACTAGTTAAGCAGAAAAAAATGAAATCATTTAATTAAGGACGCTCCATGAGAGTTGATAGTTGGTTTGAATGTTGTTTTTAGCTTCTTGTTGAGAAAGGTAGTGTTATTGGTGTTATTTTTTGTTTTTGTTTTGTTTTTTTAAGGGTTGATTATATTATTTTTTACTTAATTTGTGACTTTTTCGGTTTCTTTAGAAGAAATTTCTTGGTTCATCTTATTCATAGGTGGAGGATTATTAGTACTGTTTTCCACTACTGTTGATGATGTTGCCTCCTTATTTGAGAGTCTTTGTTTATTATTGTTTGAGTTTCTGTTGGATGTGTTACCATCTCTTGGTTGTGATCGTCGATTATCCATCATACCACCCGAGAACCTTCGGCCAGAACCTCCACGAGATCGAGAATTACGAGATCTTTCATTTCCACCACCACCTTCTCTACTAGGGTTGTTTCCAGTTCCACTTCCGCCGCCGCCGCCTCGGCCTCCTCTATCAGTTCCTCTATCGTTTGTGCGAGGACCACGTGGACCTCGTCCACCGCCTTCCCCGCTTCCATAGTTGCCCATGTCTCCACCGGTCCTATTTACTGTTCCGGTGCCGGGTAGAGAAGACGGTTGAGATGAAGCAGCATTGGTTGATGAAGAATGTGGCACATCTCGGTTACGCAATTGTAGAAATATTTCTAACTTTTCTTTTCTGAATTTTTCCATCTCTTGGAGATGTGAAAGATGATAGTCCAACAAAATTTTTGCATTTGTAATGGATTCTGTAGTTCCAACAAAAACGAATGGTACATTCTCTCGAGGTGGTTCGTTTTCACTATCACCTTCAACTTTAACTCGGACTACACCAGATTTGTCAACAATTTCTTGAATCACTTTGCCGTTGCGACCAATTACTTTCCCAACTAAACTACGAGGTACTTCGATTGCCTTTTCAGCGTACTCCAAGATATTACGAGCTCTCCGGCATGCTTCCGCTGAATTTCCCCTTATCCTGAAAAGAAAGGAAGAAAAAGTTGTTAGAAAAATTGAGTCAGCGTACAAGTGAGACAAAATCAAAATAACATGTTAAAAATAGTCACAATCAGAGATGCTGTTGCAGAAAGAATGAAAGAAAACCATGGTCCTTAAACCATTCTCTATTTCATTCTCTCGACTCACATCTCAGTTTAGTTTCTTTTTACATTTCTTGAGTGAACCTTCAAAGATATAAATTGAGAAATGAAATGATAATCAGACCAGAGCGAAACAAAGGACAAACGCATATAGAGCTTGATAGTGGAACTGAAAACAGTAACTTTCGTAGTGATAGAAATAGATAAACAAAGTTGTAGTAAATTGACATATGAATGAAAAGATTGCGAATATATAATTTGTAAAATTTGTTATTTAGTCAAAGCTGTCAAATATGAGAGAAACAGAAATGCTGAATAATAAAATTATCTTAGTTACTATCAAAGTTAATTAGCAATTTGACACCAACATAAAGCTTATTTTAGCAATGTAAATGAACGATTATCAATCTTTATATTCTGATTAGTCTAGGATAATGGAAAAAGGATAGCTTAAACATTGGCCAGGCGTTAAATAAAAATCATGAGACTGAAACCTTAATTAACGGAATTTGGCTGAAATAAGCAAAAGCTTCATAGACAAGTGTACAGCTTGAGTTTTAAGGATTAAGAGTTCAAAAAACAACTTACTTAAAAGTACAACTATTTTCATCCAACTCAATGGAGACAATGTTATCGACTTTTCTTGCGTTTTGGATGTTCGCTCCGTGACTACCAATAGCAAGACCCATTAAATGGCTTGCTACCGTAAATTCATCTACATAGCAATTGGTTTGACCAGTAGAATAGGGGTAGCCGGTAGTACCGTAGGCTGAATTGTAGCCGCTTCCTTTAGAGGATTCCAATTGCTTGGCTGCTTCTTCTTTTTTCGCGATTATTATCATCTTTTGTTTAAGATTACGAAAATGCATATCACTGAGCATGTTGGCTCTCTTTTTCATTGAAAGAATCGCAAGGTTCTTATCCTTTGGAGCATAGCCGATTGCGATTAATACCTGTTTCGTTTCATCATATCTCACTACGATAGCTTCTATATATTGCTTAAAGTATTTATGAGCTTCTGGTCTATTAATCCAGTTGTAATTAGTTGTCGTAGATTTAAGATCATCCGGTATAGGTATCTCAATCTTGAAAAACGGGTTTGTGGTTAAACAGGGATTCGGATTTTTGTATCTAATCCTTTCGGAAGGTACAATCTCTGAGTAAGTACTACCATGACTATGACTACCCATTTCACAGTTACTTGTTGATGAGTTGTTGATAGATTGATATTCCACAACGTGAAAGTCTCCTTTAATCATCTTAACGATGGCTCGCCACCACCCACACTGTTCACCTTCATTGCTACTCGTTAATACTTCTACTTCCATGTTTTCAGTAATAGGGGGCATTTCTGAGCCATTACCACTGTCATTTGACCCATTATCCAAATAATTAGTTGGAGGGGGGAGTCTTATCCTGTTAATAGGAAATTCACTTTGAGGCTGCCAATCATTTTCAAAGGCTAAAGTGATCTTGGCGTTGCAACTCGATGTACTGCTGCTTTCTGCTAGTAAGAAATTAAAGTTTTAAAAATTTGATTAGAATTGGATATTATAAAAGCCAATAAGAGTTTGTAAAAGAGCATGATAAAAAACAAAAAGAAAAACGAAAGACGGAGGAAAAGCAAGTAGACAGAGGGAGAGAAAGGGAAAATGAATAGAGACTGAAAAAAGGAAACAGAATTGAGAGCGAGATGAGAAAAATGAAAAATGACCCTAAATATGTTAGCATAGGGACAACTATTTAAAATAAATCAATTAAAACAAAGGATGCATTTGATAGATTATAGAAAGCTACATGTAAAAGCGTTGGAAATTGCAAATTGAGAGGAGTAATAAGTATAAGCAAGGTAAGGAGGCGAAAAAGCTAGATGCATCAGAAAGGTAAAAAGACATGGTTAGGATAGAGAGAGAGAGATAGAGAGAGGGACAGATAGAGAGAGAAAGGACACATGAGAAAAAAAGAGGAGGATAAGGAAGAGGACAGAGAGACCAGGAAGGACATGAGGTTGATGAAATATTAGACCAAAGGATAAAAATTCAGAAAAGATTAATAAATTAAGAAATACATACCATCGTTTGTTAAATTACTAATGTCTTCATGTACATCTACTATAAAAGCTTTATAAAAAGCTCCATTATCACCTCGTACCTCAACGATACCTTCTTTCAACAGGTCAGATTCCATATTGAAAAAAAAACGTGAGTCTAAATGATGAGTCTATTTAACAATTAATAAAGTAAGATTGTGATCAGGATGTTGAACAATTAGCGTAAATTGATTAAACTATCCTAATAATACAATATAATAAAAATGCTAGAACCCAGCTTTTGACTTGCTGCTTGTTGTGCCGATAAAAGTGTATCACAAGATGGCGCTTGTTGAATTAAAAGGGACTGTGTTCTTATAACGATATGAACATGAAGAAGCCTCAAATCAAGAAGATTGTCTATTTTGCAGTTTAATTGCAGCATTAACCAAAGAAAAATTACTCTCACCTTAAATCAAATCGCAAAGATAATTAATCAGATCGTCTACCAATCCAATTTGAAATTTCATAACCTTACACCTAAAGTATTAGATTAGATAACTTGCCTTTCAATTTATCACACAAATTATCTTGAAAAGACAAAATTTACAGTCAAAAATGGGAAATCAAATTAGAGTAAAAGCCGATAAGTGGTTACGATTGGACCGAAAATTAAACCACTTTGGATAACAATTAAAACGAAAACAAAATTGCAACTTGTTAGACTCAAATTGTAAGATAAACCATTCGATATCTTAAATCACCTGAAATTGAATGTAAAACAAGCTACCGAGTCAAGCCATTTAACATTTACAATTGAAATAAATCACCATTTGATAAGTAAATGAGACAATCGATGAAAAGACGATTACAATTGAAATAATTTGTGAAAGATTTAATTTAAAAGATTGTATCTGATAAAGACTGGATCTTGATTGTATCTTAAAATGAGATCTTAATAATAGTAACATAATGTATTGCTAGATGGCAACAGCTACTTCCTTGAACCCAATAAACTAACTTGTAAATGTTCATATTTTGACCAACTGCTATAATTAAAGTGATTTGAAAGGCAAACGATTAATCACTTCACATATTGGCTCAACATGTTAATCTTTAATCTCAATCTTGAATGTGAAATGTTTAATCTTTTAAGTGAACCAAAATATGGACTACATGTGTGAAATAAAAAGTGAAATTTGATTAAACCTAAATGTAAATATGAGAAAGATTTTATAAGATTAACAATTGCTCATCTGATCTATTGTTTAGTGAATCTCAATTATCATCTGTTTACATTAGAAACATTGATTAATATTAAGGAATATTAAAATTTTGAATCGTTTTCTTTTGTTAACAACAAGCTTCTAAACTTATCACTTGAATGATTATTTACTTAATTTACATTACTCTCATTACTAATAATGTATTATGAACATGAATTATTGTTTACTTTTTTATCAATTGACAAATTTTTCTCTCAAATCTTAATAGTTGTTGCTTAAAAAAAAATCAATTAATATTTGACTAAAATTATACTTGTTAATCAATAATACCAATCATTTTTGTCCTCCAACTTTGTATTCATGTTTACAATGTTTGAATAACAACATTTACATATCAATACATTTCAAGTAATTCAAGTCTAAAATAAACTGCTATAATTGAACAATTAATTTGGTTGATCAATTATTGAATAACAAAATAATAACAGCAAATGATAAATGTAAATAAATCAAATGAACTTTCAATTTAACCTTTAAAAAATGTAATTGATACTAGTAAGAAATGATTTGTTTTAACCATTTTTTCCGGTTTTTATTTTCAAACCCAAAAGACAAACCTAAAACCAGTTTTGCCATTTTAATTATTTAAGATAATCAATGACATTGTATTTTTGTAGTCTTACCTTTTTAATTTAATGGTCACGGTCAACAAGCCTAATTATAATAATCAATTTGTTTGCACATCCGACCATAAATCATCGAACAACAAATCATCAGAAGAAAAAAAAATCATGAATTCTTGATATTCAATGTAATCAATGAATTGTAATCATTTAATGTAATTTATTGTTTTCTTGGTGTATACCTAAAATTGTATTGTATTGTAATATTGCCAGTTGAAATCAAGTTTAATCACTTCCCTTGATTACATATTTGAATGATTGTAAACATTAACAGTTTGAGCGCAAGTTTTCACCCCAAAACGAGTTGATGTTTAATAATCATCGTATTTATAACCAATAATACGTAATATATTGAAAATGTTAAATCATTCAAATGTAAACAATTATAACCAGGAAACACAAAAGGAGAGATTCTAATGGTAAAGAAAGTAACCATTTTTTGTTACCAGATTTCAAGTAAACCTAAAAAACAGGCAAAAACCAATTATTAATAATTTCAATTGTTTTATATTTCGCTTAATTTTTTGACATTTATCCAAATCTTTGGCTTATTTAATATGTAAATCAGTTGGTAATTAAGTTATCTTTTTAATTGGAGACAACCTTTAATCTTAATTGTTACATGAGTTGAAGTTGATATGAAAGAATGAAAAGGTGACAAACTCAACATGTAATTGTTGCAAAATGGTATAAAATATTTTTTGATATCTCAAATGAAACCTTATTTTTTCGCCGATTTTATTTCGTTGTTTTATGGTTAATTCATACGTGGAAATAGGACTCCTGAGTAAGTCATGTTATTGATTTCCATGTTTACACGCAATGAACTGTCAGTTGAATCTCGTCCTTCGTTTGTGTCTATTTTAACGTGCATGGCCGGCATTCCTGCATTTATCAGAATCCTTTCCACTTCAGGAATATTTCTATCTATTCCCTGATTATGAGATGTCGAGGAAGATGAAGATGATGGAGGTGAAGGTGAAGGTGAAGGTGAAGGTGAAAGTGAAGATGCATGTCTAACTGTTGAACCATTAACCTTAAAAGAACCTGCGCCATTTTGGTGATTATTATTGTGTAAATCTCTATTCGGATCAATCTGTCGTCCATTCATAGCTCGTTTAGGCTCCAAATTGAGTGCCACTGCTTGAGCCGAAGCTATGGCTTGAGCAGAGGCTAAGGCAAGCATAGGATTGCGTGAAAGGGAATGAATTGGTACACTATCCTCTTCACTCGATGAGGCACCAGAAGGAGTTGCAGTCGAGTTTCGTTTAACTAAACTTAAGGGTTGAGTTACAGTCATACCAAGGTAGGGCAGTCCAGAGTTGGTCGGTCGACCATTAGAAGGTCCTCCATTAGACGGGCCACCATTGAATAGGAAACCACCACTGAAAGCTGAACCCGAACCCGAACCTCCAGTTTCAGTTTTGATGTGTGCGGTGTGTCCACCGTTGGACGGGTGACCCTTAGCAGGACCCCCATTAGTATGACCACCATTACCCATAGAACCATTATTACCAACTATTGAATTACCCGAAATGCCCGACCCACCAGCAGCTAGTGATAAAGCCACGTCTACATATTGACCATTGGATAATCTTCGACCTTCTCTTCGATTACCATCAATAGCTTGTTGAAGCTCTTCGGGAGTCGACAAGTTTTCTCGGTCACACTCAAATGGATAAAGATACTTCATATACTGAGAGCGCAATGTGAAGGCAGCACTTGTTATGGACGAAGGCAAATTCAAGCCTTTAGTTATTTCCCTCCAAATCTTTTTATTAATAACTTCAACTAAGCCACCGTGATGAACTACCAGTTTGTAGAGTTCGAAGAGATCGAGGACCTGTTTGGCCATGATTGGTATTCGATTAACTGGGGTACCTGGATAATGATGGGAAACATGACATTTAATGAAAGGAACAATTTAAAGGTGAAATTCTATTCATTTATAAATCAATTGACAAGACTCAGTGTAACTTAATGTTAATCTATGTGTGAATTGTCATGACGGAGAGAGAAGAAAACGATATAAGATGAAGTTGATTATGATGATGATGTTGATTAGAGATGAAGATGAACCAATATGGTAACACCCAGATTGGATCGAGGCCCATTTAAGTTGTTATTTATGGAATTTTCATGGAAAAAATAGAGGAATTGAGAGTAAGAGAGAGAGAGAAAATCAAGTGAGATAGTAAAGGAGAGATGATACGGATCAACAGGGAGATATATAGAGGCAAAAGTGGTAAAACTAATAAGTTACGCCCGGAAGGCGATAAATTATTATTGAGTCAACTTGTAATATCATTCTGATAGTACATCAAGACGAATATTCAACATCATTATCATTAACACATATCAGAGAGGTGCTTATGCTTCAACGATGTCAATTGAAATGCACCATCAACTTTATATGTGTTTCTATTGTTTCATTTATGTTGACAGAATTATCGTTTTCAATTTTCTTCAATGCGTGACATTATTACCATTATTATTATCAAATCATCTTATCATCATCAGAAAAAAAAGAAATGATCATCTTCACTGTTAGTCTATGTGACAATTGTAACAAGTCATTCAAAGAAATAATAAGAGAACAGAAGAGATTAATTCAATGAGCGCGACTCACCTCTTTTGGTCATAAATGAAAACAGATCATCTAAAAATTCTTTTCTTTTTGGGTCTGGAGTCAGCTCATAGAGCTGTTTAAATTGATCCTCGAAAGAGTATTGTAATTGATTATCATGTTGATTGTCCTGTTGTCTATCGGGTTGGTCATTTTGTTGTCCAATATAGCTCATTTCCTCTTCGTCTTCACTTCCTTCCATCGCAAAAGATGGATGAGGTTGCTTGTTTTTAACCCGAATGGTGGTAGCTTAATGAAGAAATGAAGAAATAAAACAAAAAAAAATAAATAAATAAATAAATAAAAAACTTGATAATAGATGTTAACTTGACAGAGACTGGATGAAAATGAGTGACAACATTAACTTAATCTTCAATCTTATGGCAACTTTAATACTTTAAGAAGCACCAATTAAATCCTCTGTTCGAGGGAGTAAGTCCAGTGGGGTTCATACCTTAATTTCACCACTAAAGACGATTGTCAAGAAAGATCTTCTTAAGACGGCTTTAACTCATTTTCCTAATGGCTTTCAGAGACATATTTTGCTCAATTATTTTGACATACTTGTTAGCTTCAAACAATTTAATTCACCATGGAAATGATTACTAGAGGGCAAAGAGTATAACAAGAGGTAACACGCAATGTTAACTATCTTTTGCAAAAATAGGGAAAACAAGCAGAACGCGATGGCGCCACCAACAATCCTTTTAATTTTCTTTAATTTTTCAACTTCTTTTTTTCATCAAAAAATTTGTTTACATTTATTTTTTTGTCATTTCTCTCTCTTTCTCTTTCTCTAACTCCCTCTTTCCTGATCCTTATCTGCTTCATCTATAGACTCACTGCTCTCCCTTACTTGAAGAGGTGGCAAAAATTTAATTTTCAACTTTTAACTGACAAAAAGTGAGAGCCATCTATTGGTATCGAAGCCCTATGATAATTTAAACATTGCTTTCGTCTTACTATTGGCAATATAATAGACGTTATTTTTTTGAGTTATTTTCAGCAAAATTCATTTGCGCAAACACGGTAAACTGATTGGAGGAAAAAAAAATAATTTTCAGCTTCATCCTGTTATTTCAATTAATTATGATGTAATTTTCGATGATCAACCAGAAAAGTGACAAATGAGAAATTAAATTTTCTGTTTTCTGTGAAACAAATCAGTTTGATTTTTCAATTGAACCAACTGCTTTCTGTGACCGTAAGAGTTATCTGAAACTTATCATTTGTCGATAAAATTTTTTCCTTTTTATCAAAGATCGAACACTTTTCTCAATTTATTGACAGTTCTCTTGGGTTTTGGTTATTAGCCTTAAAACTCTAACAAATAATAAGTCTCAATATTCCGATAATGGCAGCATCTACAATCATCATTCTTTGACCAGTCATTAGATTTTATTATGGACTATAAAAATAATATGACTGAATAACGAAGAAAATCTGAGCTCATTCATTTAATAATCCTTCAAATGATAAGATTTGTGTTTGAGTAACCATTTACCTCTATAAATCAACATAAGCAACATAAGCAATACAATGATATAATTTTTTTGTACCATCTTCAATGATCTCCGAAAACTAACTAAAGAAAGGACCTTACGATTTGATTCGGGAGATTTCATGATAAATCGATAGAGACAAGTGAACTGAAATGACAGAAACAAAGACATTGCACAAAAAAGCAAACAAAATGAATGTTGTTCAACTTGAGAATGAGCTTCATAGTAGTTTCATTACAATAGATCTGATTAGACTTGAAATTGGAGTAAAAATCACAAAAAATTTGCATGTGAACACTTCACCAAACATCTTTTTTAACTTATCGATTCATCATGAAATTTCTTGCATCGACCAGTAAGGTTCCTTCCCATGTAAGAAAAAACTTTGAATTTGTTCAAATTTCGTTGGTTAATTTGCATTTTTTGGGCAAAATAAATAATCATTTGAAGCAAAAATTGAATAATGAAAACAAATTTCTTGTGACAAGCTATGCATCAGATTTACTTGATTAACTTTGTATTTTAATGTAAATGAATTGAAAACTTTTGCCTCTTTTGGTTGAATAGGTTTGAGGGATTAAAAGAAGCCTTAGAAGCTTTAGGGTGAAATGGATATGAAACACCTGTAGCATTGGGTGATTAAGTTATCTATTTAATTGGAGACAACCTTTAATCTTAATAGTTACATGAGTTGGTGAAAGCATGGCGAGGTGACAAACTCATCATGTAATTGTTAATAAATGATATACAAATGATATTGAAATTTTTCTTGCATTTTATTTCTTGTTTTATTGTTCCTTCATGGATAAAATCACTTTCCTGAGTAAATTAATGATTTCCATGTTTATAAGCAATCAATTGTGAGTCTCTATCATACTAAGTGAAGTGGTTCGTTGAAGAAACGAGAAAAGCAGGATGTGAGTGATTTGGTGTTTTATGAACTGGTTCCCGCTCTCGGGTTTTGCCTGTACGTGTTGTTGGGTGAAAAGAGTGAAAACACGTTCTTCTATTAAATAAGTAAATGTTTATTGATATCAAACAGTATTACAAACTTTCAATTTTTTTGTCTTTTATTTCATTTTTGTGTTTTTAATTGTTATTATTGTTTGGTTTTGGGTAAAGGATTCCTGAGTATGTAATGTTGTTGATTTCCAGGCTTAAAAGTAATGAATTTTCAATAGAACCTCGTCCTTCGCGATTGGGTATTTTAATGTGAACAGTGGGCATTCCTGCATTAATCAGAAGTCTTTCTTCATCGGAAAGATTTCTTTTAATTCCCTGGCTATTACTATTGTTGTTATTATTATTGTTATTATTATTATTATTATTAAATTTAATGTTGTTATTTGAGTCACCATTGCAATAACCATTAACTTTGAAAGAACTTGTACTATTTTCTTGATTATTATTAACCGAATCTTTGTTTAGATCAATTTGTCGTCCATTCATGATTCGCTTAGTCTCCAAATTGAGTGCCTCAGCTTGAGCCGAGGCTAAGGCAAGCAAAGGATTGTGTGAAAGGGAATGAATTGATACATTATCCTCTTCACTCGATGAGGCACCAGAATTAGTTGCAGTCGAGTTTCGTTTAACTAAACTTAAGGGTTGAGTTGAAGTCATACCAAGTGAGGAAAGTCCACCATTGGCAGGTCGTCCATTAGAAGGTCCTCCATTAGACGGTCCACCACCATTAAACAAAATACCACCACATAAAGCGGAACCCGAACCTCCAGCTTCAATGGACGATTCCATCATATCTGAATATTGACCATTGGATGATCTTCGACCTTCCCGTCTATTACCATCAATGGCTTGTTGAAGCTCTTCGGGAGTCGACAAGTTTTCTCGGTCACACTCATATGGATAAAGATACTTCATGTACTGAGTGCGTAATGTGAAGGCAGCACTTGTTATGGACGAAGGCAAACACAAGCCTTTGGTTATTTCCCTCCAAATCTTTTTATTAATGACTTCAACTAAGCCACCGTGATTAACTACCAGTCGGTAAAGTTCGTAGAGATCGAGGACCTGTTTGGCCATGATTGGTATTCGATTAACTGGGGTACCTGAATAATGATGACAACAAAAAATGATATTTAAGCAAAGGGAACAATTTGAAAGGTGAAATTTGCTCATTGATTCAAAATTGATTCAACTAATTGCTAGCTTCTACAAAAGTCCACTGTTGCATCAAATGGATGATGAAAGATAATTATCAATTTCCGATGCAATTAAACTTGAATGAAATTCACAGTAACCACCTGTTGTATATGCATTATTAATTATACAATAGGAAAAAGTGTCTTATTCCTAAGCTCCACCTAAGTTTGTTAAACCTTCATCTTACCTATAACGATATATTCAGTATTCAAGAGTGAAAAGTGCTTATGCTTCAACGATGTCAATTGTAACAAAACTGTAATTTATTTTTTCTCCTGCATTTTCTTCTTCTCTTCCCATTCTCATCATCATTTTCATGGTTTTGCATTGAAAGAGTGAAGAGAGAGAAGATGAAAATACCGAGAAAAAAAAAGATGTTTAGTTATCATCAATCTCTCATTCAATCTTACAATTGAATTAATTGTCTCATTTAGATTGATTTTTCTTGCCCAATTTTGCTTGAAATTCAACATTAAAGCCGCTTATTCAACTTTCAATTCATTAACATTCACTTCTCTGAGCTTTTATTCATTTGACTCACTCATAATAATGAATGATTTGATGATGATAAAAAAAAGCATCATTAATTAACAATGTCAGTTTTCCTTTGATTAACTATGATTTTCTCAAACATTTTTAAATTTATTTTACTTCTTTTGCGTTGGTTGATTATATCTGTTTGTATGTTTTTTGCTTGCTTGCTGTTGTGTTTATGTTTGAATTTAATTTTGTTTTTTTTCATCATATTTATATATATAAATATATATATTTGAAACTGCATAGAGATTAAATATTATTCAGAAGCAAATATAATCGATTAGTTTAGTTTTGCAAATTATTAATATAACTTTTAGCTTGAGAAGTGCAGAGAAGTTGAAAAAACTAGTAAAAAATCATGATTGACATTGGGATAAGTTTTTTGCTTCTCTCTCTTCTTCTTTCAATGCATGCAATTTGTTAATAGATGATGAGAAAGATGGTGATAATGATGGTGATGATGATGATGATATCGATCTGCTTCATTATATACTGATGATGTAAACTGATGGGAAAAGTTGCGAGTCGTAATTGAATGAAGTATTAAAGGGTTACTCATTTATATGCAGATCTCATGGTTACTCATTTATAGATTGATAATGTTTATTGATTAAAAAATGAGCCAAAAACAGTAAATGATGTTGAATGATGAAGATAATGATGATAATGATAATGATGTTGGGATGATGATTAGAGGGATGATCGCTACTGATGATCATGTTGATGTTGATGAAAGATGATGACTTCAGTTGAGTAAACAAAAATTCAATAAATAAAGGTGAGAGAAGAGGGAATGAAAACAAGTCATGATACAAGTTTTTGGTATTTATTGGATGATGATAAGATGATAAGGAGAATAATGATGATAGGATGATGCAGAGTTACATAGCGGGATAGATGATCCAACAACCACTTACTGATTTCATGAGTGGCCTAAACGGTTTGAGGCCAGTTGAGTGAAACTCATCTCATGATTGAGCGAAAAGCATTTGACCAAAAGTCACCTCAACATTGTCCATCAGACAAAACTTTTTAATTCAACAAATGAACTCAATTTTGTGCTTCAACTTTCAACTCGAATTACACAAAAAATTCATTTTTCAACTTCTTTTCATCTTCATCTTCTTTCTGTTTAATAATTGAAATAAATGGATAAATCATTTTGTCAATCAAGAGTTGAACAGTTGCATATATTGTTTAACAAATATTGATATAATAAAATGTTAACTGTATTTAAATACATTCAACCTTTCACAATTCAACATCAACTTCAACGCGTAATTGGTTTGATTAAATGACTACAGAATCATTGATGATAAGCAATAATGATAACAATAATAATCATCTAATCATAATGTACAGAAAGGCCAATGATTGGAAGAATGTGAAGAAAAGATGAAAATGATGAAGATGGCGAGATGATGACGATCAATGCATAAAGTATCCTTCATTTGTCTTCATCTTCATCTATTCTCTCTCTCACTCTCTCCCTTTCAAGACTGTTCTTGTTATTTTTACTTGGAACCAATTATTAAATTTAACTTGTAATAATTAAATATAATTCAATTCAATTTGATGTTGATTGACGTTAATTTGATGCGTGATGATAAAAGCAATACAATCATTCATAATCATCGCCATCATCCTTTTATTTTGCGTATTCACCATTAAAGTTAAAATCCTTTCATTTGAAAAATGAGTTATTGTCTTGCTTTCTCACCCTCTAAACTAAAATGCAAAACTCGGCTCATAATTATTGATTACAAAAGGAGAGAGAGAGAGAGATAACTCAATGAGATAGAGCAAAGAAGAGAGAGGAAGATGAAGATCAAGAAGATGATGAAGACGATGAAGACGATGACTTGAGAGAGAGTTGAGAAGCTCAATAAGAAACGTTTGAATGGTAAAAATGGTCGACATTATAATAATTTTAACGATAGATGAAAAATATGGAGACCAGATGTAAGGCACTATTTCCGGTCATTTAGGACCCAAGAGAAGAGAGAGAAAGATTTCTTCTCTCTTTTAAACATTTCTTAATCTTCTCCCCCGAGAATGGCTTTGGTCTGTTTTCATCATCACCTCCATTTGTGTGAGTTAAGCTTCAACATGTTACTTGCTGTAGCTTGAACCATCCATCCTCATCCCTTACCCTCATCTTCATCTTCTTGTTTTATCTTTTAAAAGACACAAATTCTTTCACAAATAAAGAGACAGGCACGCCCGAACAGGCCTAAACAGCAGTAACGGCCTAACCAATACAGAATTGCAATTAAAATAATTTTGGCATAAACACAATCAATCAATTGAGGCAAATTTTAAAGTGATTTTTAAGGGGTTACTTTTTTTCAAGGTCATAAGATGATCGTCTCTAACATTTCGCCTTTGCTTTATCTTAGCCCATCCACTTTATCCTCATCATCATCCTCACTCTTTATTCCCTTCTTTCGCTCTCCTTCGTCTTCCTTCTTCCTTTTCTTTCGGCGTCCATATTCTAGGAATTTGAAGCCATTATTATTATTATTGTTTATAGGTAGTTGTTGTTTTTGTTATAAACTGCCCTACGGGCTTAAAGTTCATCTTCTAGATGGGTCAATGTTGACTTAAGTTGAAGCGAAACAAAATTATTCACTTTTTTTGCCTTTTTTCTTATTCTTATTTTTCCTACTTTACTCTCTCCTCTCTCATCTTTACCATCTCACTCTCTGTCATTCTCACTCATTTCTTCTTATCCCATCATTTCTTATCAGTAATTCTCTCTCTATCATCATCTTCTAAGAAAAAAAAGCAATAAGTTCTTTATATCTTTTCATTATAATTAACAATCAACAACCTTGGATCAGCAAGACTAAACAAGAAGCAGGCAAAAATGTAAGCAAAAGGAGAGCAAAGAAAGCAAAAAAAAGTCAAAAAAATGTTAAAACAGATGAAACTGGAATGATTGTGAAAAAACACAAAAAATGAAATGAACAAGAAAACAGAGGAAAGGAGAAGGAAAACAAAAAAGAAGTTGGAAAATGAATGAAAACAAAGAATAATTAGAATAATTATAAATATGAATATGTATAAATGATAAGTAATAATGAAATTAATACGTTGAGGACTCCTGAGGTAGTTGAGAAGCAATCATTTATAGATATTGCTATCATCATTATTTAAGGTTCAGGTAATCAAGTTGAATAACTATTGAGAGGAGAGAAGAGGGAAAATTATAAGATTGAGAGAAAAATGAACTTTTTTTTCACTCAATTCTTGATTCCTTTTGTTCATTTCATTTCTCGCTTAAAACTCGCTTTCAATCATGAACATGAAAACAACCTTGGTTAACATTATAGATCAGTAATTGATTAAAATGCATTTTCATGTAACTTTGATTATCATCTAAGCCAAACCTTAATCTGACAGGGAACAACGAATCAAACTGCAATTTATTTGAAACACGTGAATGAATTGACTCTGATTGGATAAAAAAGAGAGAAACTAATGATGAGAAGAGAGGAAAAAAAATGAGGAAAGAGAAAGAGAGAGTTGAAGATATTTTTAGAGAGATGATGATTATAGGGAGAGAACGATTTTTATACATTTATATTTATAAATATTGACATCGAATAGATGGTTAATGCAAATCGAGGGTGATGATGAAGATGATGAAGATGGGTGATGGAGAGAGAAAGATAAAAGTGAAAGTAAGAAAATGATCGTAAATCGTTTGCACAAGCATTTAAATGATGTTCAAAGGAGATGAGAAATAAATAGTAAGTAATAACTTTCAATTGATGTAAGCATCAATCGTCAAATGTGTGAGTGGAATCGTTTGCTAATCCTACAATTTTCATGCTGCTGTTCATCTCTTAATAGATGATGATGAAGATAATGATCATCTCGATGATGATGATGGAGAAAAAAAAGTGTTTTGACATAGAATAAACAAAATTGTAAAGAGATGACGAAGAGAGAGAGGAACAAGCGATAGGAAGATGAAGTTGATTATGATGATGATGGTGATCAGAGATGAAGATGAACCAATATGGAAACTCCCAGATTGGATCGAGGCCCATTTAACGTGTTATTTATGGAATTTTCATGGAAAAAAAATAGATGAATGAGAGAGAGAGAGAGAGAGAGAAGAAGAGGATATCAGGACGAATATTGAACATCATTATCATTAACACATATCAGAGAGGTGCTTATGCTTCAACGATGTCAATTGAAATGCACCATCAACTTTATATGTGTTTCTATTGTTTCATTTATGTTGACAGAATTATCGTTTTCAATTTTCGCCAATGCGTGACATTATTACTATTATTATATCAAATCATTTTATCATCGTCAGAAAAAAGAAATCATCTGAATTGTTAGTCTATGTGACAAATTTTCAACTTCTTCATTGAGTTTAAGCATTTAAAATCAAATCAATTTTTCCACAAAAATGAACAAAATATCAAGATATGGATTCAGTAAGGAACTGGCTCTAGGTGTCGCATTCATTAGCTCAACTGTCCTCTTCAAGTGTCTCAAAATATTTTCAGTAAACAAAGAGTTTTATGGTTTTTGAGCAAACAAAATTAAGTCAAAAATTATTCAATCGTTCTTGTGTCGCACTTATTCTTACTGTCTCAAACGAGCTTTACTGTAAAAAAGAGACAGAAATGGTCTTCACTGTTAGTCTATGTGTCAATTGTCACAGTCATTCAATTAATGAAAGATTGATTGAATATCGACTCACCTCTTTTGGTCATAAATAAAAACAGATCGTCTAAAAATTCCTTTCTTTTTGGGTCCGCACTCAGCTCATAGAGCTGTTTAAATTGCTCCTCAAAAGAGTATTGTTGTTGATGGTCATGTTGATGGTCATGTTGATTGTCTTGTTGTCTGTCGTTTTGATGGTCATTTTGTTGAACAACAAAGTTAATTTCCTCTTCGTCTTCACTACCTTCCATCGCAAAAGATGGAAAAGGTTGCTTGTTTTTAACCCGAATGATGACAAATTAATAAAGAAAATAAAACAAAAAAAATAAATAAACTCGATAATAGATGTTAACTTCACCGAAACTAAATGAAAATGAATGACAATATTAACTTTATTTTCAATTTTATGCAAAGTTGATTGTAAGTAATGATTAGCTAGCGATATCTGGTGGCTCAAATGGAAACTTCCCTTTACGTTGAATCAATTTAATCAATGCGATTTCATTATAAGGAAGTTTTAGTTTAATCAGATAATTCAAGATTAAGTTAAACCAAATTAATAAAAGGTCAAAGGTAAAAATAGCCACAAGTGCCCAAGTTAAAGATTTAAGGAAAAGTATTGGGTCTTTTCCTGGTCGAGCAATCCTCTTAATACTTTAGGTACACAAGACTTGAGGGGAAAATTCACCTGAAATTTGAATAGTTTAATCCATTGTCTGGTTGAATTTCGAATAATTAAGTTCGATATTTTCGTAAAAATAAACGGTAAAGGGTCAAACAGAGGAAGGCGAAATAGCGAAGGGTAAAATAAAGAAGATAAACAATGAAACTGATTAAAGATTTTTCTGAATATTGTTCGCAATGCTTTTATTGCCATAAACTGAATCGGCTGAATATACCAATCAAATTGTTTCCTCAATCTTGGCTCGATCGATTAGCAATCGATCAAAAAATAAAGGTGAAAACTTTTGCTATTATACAGCAAAATGTGCATCGATATTTTTCGTGGATTTGACTTCATTTTGCTTTCGCTGTTTTGTCCTTCTCGGTTTTGAGCTCAACCCCAAATAAACATTTGTATGTACTTTGGAAACATATATTCCGTTCATCCTTCGGACTATTCAAATAAACTCTCTACTTAGGTTCACGAGTTTGTAAATGTTATGCAAGGCTTAAGCCTCGAGCGTCATATTGCGCATCTAAAAAAAATTAGACACCGAAATTAGTCGATGCTAGCATCAACTGACTGACTAGTGAATTTAAAGCAACCGACTGACTATTGATCGGCAAATTTTGGCTGTTTTCAGCCTTTCTTAAGAAACAATTCAAAAATTTCAACGAATTTATGATTTTGATCAGCCTCTCAGAGACAAATGAGCTTTTGATCACAAGATATTGAGTTGACTTAGTCGAGATTTCATTGGTAGCTATCGGTACATTAGGCCTTGTTGAAGACCAATAAAACAGAATCAGACTTTTATATTTCGTTATTAATTAATTATCTTGAACTTTAATTAATCACAAATATTGTATCATCAATAAACACCTCACAACAATGGCTGGAGCTTTGAGTATTGTTTCTGATGCTCGAGCTGGACAAACACCTCAAGAGGCTATTCTCGAAATTTACACTGGACAACACAAATTTACGTAAGTAAACAGTTAATCATTTCAATCAACTCATTCCACTAACCACTAGTCCAACTGAATATGAAGCATATTTAACAGTCCATTCCATTGATCTATGTAAATCTGGTGACTTTTGTTTACCTCAAAACTAATGTCCATTTTCAACTAAATTTACCTCTAATCCGCTCATCTTGAGGTCAACATATTTAATTTCAAGCTTAATAAATTCAAAAACAGCCAAAGGGCATTAAGGTCCTTTGGATCGTGATAATCCTTTAAAAGTTGAATTAAAATAAGGCTTAAAGCTTAATCTCAAGGCTTATAACTGTTGAAAATCTGAACCCTTAATTAACCCACTGTTACTCCATGTGTCAAATGTCACAAATCAGTCAAAGAAACGAGAAACGAAGAGCGCGACTCACCTCTTTTGGTCATAGATAATTTCAATTGTTTTATATTTCGGTTAATTTTTCAACATTTATCCAAATCTTTGGCTTATTTAATATGTAAATCATTTGGTAATTAAGATGAAGTTGATTATGATGATGATGTTGATTAGAGATGAAGATGAACCAATATGGTAACACCCAGATTGGATCGAGACCCATTTAACGTGTTATTTATGGAATTTTGATGGAAAAAATAGAGGAATTGAGAGAAAGGGAGAGAGAGAGAAAATCAAGTGAGATAGTAAAGGAGAGATGATACGGATCAACAGGGAGATATATAGAGGCAAAAGTGGTAAAACTACCACTAAAAGCCGAACCCGAACCTCCAGTTTCAGTTTTGATGTGTGCGGTGTGTCCACCGTTGGACGGGTGACCCTTAGCAGGACCTCCATTAGTATGACCACCATTAGCCATAGAACCATTATTACCAACTATTGAATTACCCGAAATGCCCGACCCACCAGCAGCTAGTGATAAAGCCACGTCTACATATTGACCATTGGATAATCTTCGACCTTCTCTTCGATTACCATCAATAGCTTGTTGAAGCTCTTCTGGTGTCGACAAGTTTTCTCGGTCACACTCATATGGATAAAGATACTTCATGTACTGAGTGCGCAATGTAAAGGCAGCACTTGTTATGGACGAAGGCAAATTCAAGCCTTTAGTTATTTCCCTCCAAATCTTTTAACTCAAGTTTTAGTTAACATAAAATCGTGAAAAGGTGACAAACTCAACATGTAATTATTTAAAAATGATACAAAATATTTTGATATTTAGAAATGGAAACTTTATTCTCATCTAATTTATTTCGTTGTTTCATGGTTGCTTCATGCGTGGAAATAGGACTCCTGAGTAAGTCATATTATTGATTTCCATGTTTATACGCAATGAACTGTCAGTTGAATCTCGTCCTTCGTTTTTGTCTATTTTAACGTGCATGGCCGGCATTCCTGCATTTATCAGAATCCTTTCCACTTCAGGAATATTTCTTTCTATTACCTGATTATGAGATGTCGAGGAAGATGCAGATGATGAAGTTGAAGGCGAAGGTGAAGGTGAAAGTGAAGATGCATGTCTAACTGTTGAACCATTAACCTTAAAAGAACCTGCGCCATTTTGGTGATTATTATTGTGTAAATCTCTATTCAGATCAATCTGCCGTCCATTCATGGCTCGTTTAGGCTCCAAATTGAGTGCTACTGTTTGAGCTGTGGCTAAGGCAAGCAAAGGATTGCGTGAAAGGGAATTATTTGATGCACTATCCTCTACACCCGATGAGGTGCTTCGAGTCGGTGTCGAATTTCGTTTAACTAAACTTAAAGGTTGCGTTGAAGTCATACCAAGTGAGGAAAGTCCACCGTTGGTCTGTCTACCATTAGAAGGTCCTCCATTAAATTGGGTACCACCACATAAAGCGGAACCCGAACCTCCAGCTTCAATGGACGACTCCATCATATCTGAATATTGACCATTTGATGATCTTCGACCTTCTCGTCGATTACCGTCAATAGCTTGTTGAAGCTCTTCTGGTGTCGACAAGTTTTCTCGGTCACACTCATATGGATAAAGATACTTCATGTACTGAGTGCGCAATGTAAAGGCAGCACTTGTTATGGACGAAGGCAAACACAAGCCTTTAGTTATTTCCCTCCAAATCTTTCTATTAATAACTTCAACTAAGCCACCGTGACTAACTACTAGTCTGTAGAGTTCGTAGAGATCGAGAACCTGTTTGGCCATGATTGGTATTCGATTAACTGGGGTACCTAAAAAATGAAGATGGTAAATGACACAAGTCATTCAAAGAAATAATAAGAGAACAGAAGAGATAAATTCAATCAGCGCGACTTACCTCTTTTGGTCATAAATAAAAACAGATCGTCTAAAAATTCCTTTCTTTTTGGGTCCGCACTCAACTCATAGAGCTGTTTAAATTGCTCATCGAAAGAGTATTGTTGTTGTTGATGGTCTTGTTGATGGTCATGTTGATTGTCATGTTGACTGTCCTGTTGTCTGCCAGGTTGATGGTCATTTTGTTGTTCAACATAATCAATTTCGTCTTCGTCTTCACTAACTTCCATCACAAAAGATGGATGAGGTTGCTTGTTTTTAACCCGCATGATGAAAAATTAATAAAGAAAATAAAACAAAAAATAAATAAATAATCTTGATAATTGATGTTAACTTCACGACTGAATGAAAATGAATGACAATATCAACTTTATTTTCAATTTTATGCGAGATTGATGAAGTCGATTGATGATGAGTTAAGCTAGCGATGTCTAGTGGCTGGAATGGAAACTTTCAATTTAGGCCTGAGGAGATCGCTGTTTTTCAGGATTGATTAAAGGATTGGCCCTCAGGCAAAACCTGGATTCATAAGCGAACTTTAATCGATCCCAAACGACCCCTTTTCAAAATTTCTGGTTGGTGTAAATTTAATCAAAACTTTTACGCTTAAGGTTTTAAATTTGTCAGTTATTTCTTCTAGGATAACAACTAGCTCTACAAAAAGTCGGGATCAGAGATGACTTTTTGTTTGTTTCTGTGTTGAAGCTGAATATTAAGATGCTCAGTTACAAACACGAATCGTTACAAAAACTCATGAAAATATAAGCTCAAGAAGTAAACTCACTTACGCTCCAATTTCGCCGAACGCTCGTCTGACCAAGTTTTATGCATCTAATAAAAGCTCAGGTTGCAAAAATGAACTTACAAATGGCCATAGAAAAGCATAAATTTTTCTAGAAAAAAGGCGATAAATCGAAAAGCCTGATTCTGTTATATTGACCTTCAACAAGGCCTAATGTACCGATGGCTACCAATGAAATCTCGATATCGATATGAGGCTCCCTCGTGAGCATTTGTACAGATTTTGTTCTAACTGAATTTCCATGTTTATACGCAATGAACTGTCAGTTGAATCTCGTCCTTCGTTTTTGTCTATTTTAACGTGCATGGCCGGCATTCCTGCATTTATCAGAATCCTTTCCACTTCAGGAATATTTCTATCTATTCCCTGATTATGAGATGTCGAGGAAGATGAAGATGATGGAGGTGAAGGTGAAGGTGAAGGTGAAAGTGAAGATTCATGTCTAACTGTTGAACCATTAACCTTACCTTAACTCTTCTGGGTGTCGAACATTCTCTCGGTCACACTCATATGGATGAAGATACTTCATGTAATGTGTGCGCAATGTAAAGGCAGCACTTGTTATGGACGAAGGCAAACACAAGCCTTTGGTTATTTCCCTCCAAATCTTTCTATTAATAACTTCAACTAAGCCACCGTGACTAACTACCAGTCTGTAGAGTTCGTAGAGATCGAGGACCTGTTTGGCCAATATTGTTACTCCATTCACTGGGGTACCTAAAAAATAATGAGTGACCATTAGAAGGTCCTCCATTAGACGAGCCACCATTGCATAGGATATCATCACGTAGAGCGGAACCCGAACCTCCAGCTTCAATGATTTGGACACTAAAGTCAACAGTCGTAAAACCTTAACTTGAGCTACAAATCCAATTATTGTTTTCACTAATTTTAACTAAGAATTGACCGGGAACTTGAAAATTTAACATTGTCGATCATGAACAACAAATAAAAAGATCATTTTCTTGCGATTTTAATACTTCCATTTTGATTAAAAAATGAATAATTCTGATTGAATTTTTATTCTGATTTGGATTAATAGCTTATGCTAGAATTTTACAATTGTTTGCTCTAGTGTCCTCGATCTCTTCGAACTCTACAAACTAGTAGTTCATCACGGTGGCTTAGTTGAAGTTATTAATAAAAAGATTTGGAGGGAAATAACTAAAGGCTTGAATTTGCCTTCGTCCATAACAAGTGCTGCCTTCACATTGCGCTCTCAGTATATGAAGTATCTTTATCCATTTGAGTGTGACCGAGAAAACTTGTCGACTCCCGAAGAGCTTCAACAAGCCATTGATGGTAATCGAAGAGAAGGTCGAAGATCATCAAATGGTCAATATTCAGATATGATGGAGTCGTCCATTGAAGCTGGAGGTTCGGGTTCCGTTCTACGTGATGGTATCCTATGCAGTGGTGGCTCGCCTAATGGAGGACCTTCTAATGGTCGACCCGCCAATGGTGGACTTTCCTCACTTGGTATGACTTCAACTCAACCCTTAAGTTTAGTTAAACGAAATTCAACACCAACTCGAAGCACCTCATCGGTGTAGAGGATAGTGTATCAAATAATCCCCTTTCACGCAATCCTTCGCTTGCCTTAGCCGCAGCTCAAACAGTGACACTCAATTTGGAGTCTAAACGAGCCTTGAATGGATGACAGATGGATTCGCATAGAGATTTACACAACAATAATCACGGTGCAGCTTCTTTCAAGGTTACTGGTTCAACAGTTCAAAAGCTTAATTTTGTTATATTTGTCTTCGACAAGGCCTAATGTACCGATAGCTACCAATGAAATCTCGATATCAATATGAGGCTCTCTCGTGAGCATTTGTACAGATTTTGTTCTAACTGAATCTCGAACTTGAACTGTAAATAGTTGAAAAAGGATCCAATAGATGACATTACAATTATCTAACTGTGCATTGAAATGAATCATTTTGAGTGAGATAACTTTGGATGATGGAAAGATGAGAAGATGCGAACACAGAGCGCAAAAAGAGAAAAAGAGAGACAGAAAATTCTGAAGTTACCTTGACAACGAGCAGGTACCAGGAACTCAATTTTCATTTGGTTTCATGCTTCAGTCAAATAGTTGAATCAAATGAAAAAAGACATAAAAAAGGAAAGACAAATAATCCCTTTTAATTTGTAAAAGCTGTTCATTTTTGCATTAATCAGTGTTTTAATCCTTTCCATTTTTCCCATTACAGTTTCAATCATCAATCTCACCAACTCAACAATCTTCATCATCTTCTCTTATTCAGCCTTCTTATCCCCATAACATTGAAGATTACAACAAAATCGACTCTTTTTCTCGTCTTTTTTTACAGTTTCATTTATTGTGTCAATTTTGTTAGCCAAGTGTAATTGAAATTAAACATTGAACAAGATTTCTGGTTAACTCAAGGCTTTGAACCAAAGACAAACGGATAATTTAGTGTCCATTTTTCACCTGCAAATGACCACAACAAGATGAAATGTTATATTAAATTGTGATTTGTTTCAACAAATTTCTTGTGTCATTCAATTCATCATCAAAATGAATAATATTGAAATGTGAATCTTGATGAAACCAGGAAAATAAAGACGTTCAAAAGACATTTCTAGTTGCTCTTTTTTGCAGCAAACAAAATCAACTTTATTTGCTTTTTACATTTTTGTTAATCTCGTCAACTCTTTCAACCCTTTAATTCCTTCAAATCTTGTAATCATTAAATCCTCAAATCTTCCACCTTTCCTTTCCTCTTTAATGTATTATAATTAATTATCTTGAACTTTAATTAATCACAAATATTGTATCATCAATAAACACCTCATAACAATGGCTGGAGCTTTGAGTATTGTTTCTGGTGCTCGAGCTGGACAAACACCTCAAGAGGCTATTCTCGAAATTTACACTGGACAACACAAATTTACGTAAGTAAACAGTTAATCAATCAACTGATTTCAACCATTTCCTTCTCCATCCTTTAATGTGTATTTGTGTTCAACTGAATCTCATTAAACCATTAAAATATTCATAATAATGACCAGAAAATGTCAATCGATTGAAACCTTTCAAATATAAATCATATTTAAGTCCATTCCATTGATTTATGTAAATCTGGTGTCTTTTATTTACCCAAAACTAATGTCCATTTTCCTCTAAATTTACCTTTAATCCGTTCATCTTAAAGTGAAAATATTTAATTTCAAGAGCAATTTCAATAACAGCCAAAGGCCATTAAAGTCTTGATTAGTCTTAAAGTTGAATTAAAAATAAGACTTAAGTTGAATCTTTAGGTTAACTGTTGACCATCTGAACCCTTAATCAGCCCACTTTTGCTTTTAAATCTAGAAATGAATACTTCTTTATGCTGATTCCTTTTGTGTATTTATGATATTATTTGGCATTTCAGGTGAAAGGTAAACTGTTGGTTGAAAAAGGGGAAACTTCTGTGAACCTGAATCGGTTGAAAGTGAAGTGTCTTACAATGTCAAGTGAAACCAGAATTTGTTTCATTTTAAAGAAGATTAAGTTCTGAAGGCTTTCAGATCACTTTTCTGGTCATTCATGAGCAACATTTTTTTCTGCTGATTTCCAGCAAAAATGCCAAAGCTTTTTGCTCTAATAAATTAGTTGATTTATTATTTACTGAAGTTCATTGTTGCTAAAAAGATGATATCTTGAACAATCTAAATCTATAGTAATAGCTCTTTAGACTCAGTCTTTCTGAACATTCAATTGAACCAAATTGATGATCAATCATTTGACCTGGTTAATTTCAACCTGTTAATCTTGGTCTTTGATCAATTTGAAGTTGTCAAAATTGACCAAAAATGTTGATCAAAACTGTCATTTGCAAGCTTGTTTATTACATGATAATGGCTCATGTAACCAGCTAATATTTAAATATGAGTTTTGAAATGTTGTTCATCAGTCTATTCAAGAATCAATTGATTTTTAATTTAATTGCTTTTCTGTAAACTTTACATTGCACTCTGGTTGAGTTTTAACTCTACATTATAATATTTTATCGATTGAGTTGAGACTCAATTTTCTCATGGAAAAAAAGGAAAGAAGAAGAAGAAAAAGCTAAGTTTTTCGTTGATATAGTTACCTGGTTTTTTCATTCCTTGTCAGATTCTCATTGTTTATCAACAAAAACTTTTCACTCAGAGACTCAGTAGGAACGCGATAATGATAATAATAATGATGAAAAAAAGGAAGGAAAAAGCTTCATGTTTATCTTTAATATAATCAATTGAACTTGATACAGAATGATTCTCAGCATGTTACATGTAACACTGTAAATTACTATTTACTATATGATGATGAACAAGTTGATCATCATGATCGTCTTCATCTTCATAGTCATCACAAAGCTCCCTGATTGATGTTACTTTACAAGTAAAATGTTTGAGCAAATATGATAAGAAAATTTTGATCAACAGAAAGAACAGGGGAAAAAGTAAAAGAAACCAGGTAAAGACTGAGACAGTGATGAAGACAGATTGATAAGGATACATTGAGAGCTTCAACTGATCGGAGATAACTTCGCACATGACCCAACTTGGCCATTCTGGCACAAATTTCACCATCTTTCGAAAGGCTTAATTAAAATAGAAGATTGAAATAGCGTTTTTTATACCGACATTCGGTGTTGTCAAAAAGCTATTTTAGGTAGACTGAGTGTTGGCATTTAGAAAACGCTGTTAAAGCTAATTTAGGTTGAGCGGATTTCGATTCGATTTGTGTCCAAACGGACAAAGAAAGAGCAAGATAAAAAACCTTAATATCCGATTTTTTGGTTAAATTTGATTATTCCATGTGATTAAAACTCGAGACCAATAGGTTGACACTTTAGGCCAAGTAAGTTGTTTCTTTATGCAGACAAGTCTAGACTCTACCGATCAACTCGACAACCTTGATCAGCCTCTTTTCAAGCAACACTTGAGCTCCTCGCAAGATGGTAAACATTTGTATCAGAAAGCTTAAGGCAGAAGCGGACTTGTCTATACTATTGATCGGTTTGGAGCAACTCTCTTAGGTTGAAAGATTTATGTTGCTCGGCCTAACTGTAAAAAGATGAAGATGAATAAAGATTAGACTAGACGATCGATCGTCAGTATCGGAGCGTTTGATGCAAATTCATTGCATTAGGTTAGTTCAATCAGTCATGAATGCAGCAGTCACTAGATAAATCTAATTGTGGTTCAATTGTGAAGCGCAAACATTTTCCTTCTCATTTGTACTGATACCAAATATTGATCATATGAGAATGTTAATATTATTACATTTGGTAATTTTCATTCTTGTATTTAACCATCATTAATAACATTACTTATATTACCAACTATTAATAGTAGTTAGGTAAAGATGAACTATTCATGTAATTAATGTGAAACAATTGCAATTTAATCAAAGTTCAATTCTGTTCTTTATCATTATTATTTTTTTTTCTCTTCATTCCCATCATTATTCAGCTTCTTTTGTTATTAATTTACAGTTTGTGAACTAATATTGTGCTGAACAAAAAGAGCTTGTCAAATGCAGTTTTCAATGAAAATTGAACCGCAATTTGTGAAGTTTACTTTGAATGATGAAAAGTTGCTATAATTGAAATCATTTTTTGCCACTTTTGTTATTTGCAAAACTGATTTAATGGTAAAAATAGCAATATTTTGCCATTTAATTAACCAATTAGTTAAATGAGAAATGATTGCTTCTAAACTGAACTAATTTCCTTTCGTTTTTTCCTTCCCATTCCTGTTTCATCATTTGTATTATTAGGCTGATAGTTTCAATGAATTAATCATTATTTATTCATTTCGAGTTTTAAACTTTGATAACCTTATAACAACAGATATCGAAGTAATGTTCAATTATTTGTTATGTTGACTCATTTTGTTGTTACGATCGAAAGATAGTTGCATTGAATAATTGAGAATGTTCAGGATTTAGGAAAGAATGAACTTTAAATGATTCAGAAGAAGAAGACAAAAGCATTCCATTTCATGAGAAACATTAGATTAAGATGTGATTCTCAATCAATACTTGAAAAGTTAATCTTGAACAGTTTTTTTTACTCAAACACAAGTTCATCTTTTATGAATGCAAACTCAAACAACTGAAACAAATTCAACATTTAAAATTGAGAATCAACAGCTTTTTGTTTTCATCAGAAAAAAATCGAAAAATAAATTATTGAATAAATTCCTTCCATTATTCAACCTTTCACCATGAGACCTTTTCCACTACTTGAGAAGTAAAATGTGAAACATTTGATAATTGAATTTTATTAAATGCCATCATGGAAATGCACAGTTAAATCTTAAATCTTATCTGAACAAAAAAGGAAACAAGTTCAATAATGGAAATGGTTATGATGAAAATTTTATTAATGATAGTTATGCAGAGGGAAACATTAAATCTGTAATGAATAATTGTTTATGTAAATATTATTCCATGGTTGTTGCAGGAGAAAAGGATGAGAAAAGAATTGCAAATGAATAGAAAATTCATGATGAAAAGGAAGAACAAAAATACAAAGGAATAACAGATGAAAATATTTCAATATCATTTACATTGCAACTTGATGAAAGCCTGAGGCTTTCAACAATTATCATCAGTAAATGCTGTAAAAGTATAAAATATTTATCCATAAAAGTTTACTTTGAAATTGTCTTTATTCTGAGAAGAAAAAAATTCATTTGTGACAAAAATAATTCTTAAAACATGAATAAGTTAAATGTTGCTTTTCATTGGAATAGGTAAAAGTTAAAGATTTCTGGTTCATCTAAAATTATATTTACTTTAAACTGCAAAATTAGATAGACACTGGGAGTGAAGGGAAAAAGCGAGGAAGCAAAAATCGATATTATCTTGTATTTATAAATAAATGTAAGCAAATAATATGCAGCATTAAGTTGGTCTCATGCAAACTCGATTAAAGTATTTTGCTTAAACCTTTAGTCTGTAAATATACTCACTGGGAGTTGAAATGAAAAAACATTGAAAGGTAACAAACTTGGCGACACTGAAAGGAAAATTTGAAAAGAGTTTTAAATCTGACGAAATTGAATAACTTTAAATTTTCTGGTTATCAGGTTGGCGGTTGAAGCGCTTTCATCCTGCTTTTAATAGCATTTCATTTTTGATCAAAAGGTCTGAAAATCTGTCAACAGTAAATTTGATTTCATTAAAAGTTGAAAAGAAGAAAATTGGACAAAATTTAAGCAAAAAATGAAACTTTTTTTCAAACTCAGAAGAAAAGAAATGTTCAAATGAAGAAAAAAAATTTGATTTGATTACATTTTTCCTTCTTTTTTGTTCGAAACTCATTTTACGAGAAAAAAATGTTTTAATGCAATAAAATGAACATTTGCATTTGATTTTGTTATTAAAATTTTGGAAAAGTTCTGTTCGAATTTTTTGTTTTCAAGTTTTCTGTTTTCAGGTTTGAATGTTTTTGATCGAGTTGAGCATTTAGCAATTAAAAGTGATTCCTGTTTTGAGGTTGAAATGAAAGTGTTTGCCTGAGTTCATGGAGTGAACATTTGCTCAGGTCGAAATGGTGGAAATGAAGCGATCAATAGATTCGATAACCTGCAATTATATGTTAACATTGATTGTTATTGATATAAATTGTTTGGTAAAAAGAAAAGGTAACAAGAAGAAAATATGAGAAATGGTAAACATGATGAAATGAATCTGAAGAGCAATCATGAACCTCTCAACATTCAACTCTCTCCTCAACATCATTATAATCATTTGCCTTTTCCGTTATGAAGTCATCTAATGGTTTATCAGCAACATTTAGTCCATTTACAGTGAATGTTGAAAATGTTGCTCAGATAATGATGATAATTTTGTTTACTCTTCTTGTTTCACATTCATTTTACAGGACGATTCAATATGAAAACTACCATGTAAA